AACTGCCACTTTGACGCCGTGCTCGTCTCTTTCATCAACTTCTTCACCTCAATCCTGGCCACGCTGGTGGTGTTCGCCGTGCTGGGCTTCAAGGCTAACATCATGAATGAAAAATGTGTTGCAGAGTAAGAACAACATCTGTAGCTAGCCCTAAAAATTAACAAAATACCTGCCTTTTAAAGGTGCGGTTCACTGGTCTCAGGTAGTAGAAGCTAAGCGTTAGCATTAGCAACTCCATCACACAGCAAAACTCCTTCACGCTTGTGTTATTTATGGAGATAAAACATTTGCAGAGCAAACAGGGTCAGTGGTAAAGTTGTGTTACTTTAAGCCAATCAGAGGGGAGAAGTTCAAATATCATGAATATTAGTGAGTAAGACTCAAAATCCTGCCATTTTTGTCTGCGTTTTGGTCATTCTGCTCTTTTGTTTCTATAGAAATGGAGAAAAGATTCTGGAATACCTCAACTCTAACATCCTGAGTCACGATCTCATCCCTCCACATGTGAACTTTTCCCACCTCACCACATCAGACTATGCTGAGCTGTACGGCGTCATCAAGACTGTGAAAGAAGGCAGCTTTGCTCAGTTGGGTCTGGAGCCTTGTGTCCTGGAGGATGAACTCAACAAGGTGAGTCTCTGCTGATCAGTTAACCAGCTCGTGTGCTAGATCTCACAGCCCTGGATGTCTCTCTGCAGGCGGTCCAGGGTACTGGTCTGGCCTTCATTGCCTTCACTGAGGCCATGACCCATTTCCCAGCATCCCCATTCTGGTCAGTAATGTTCTTCTTCATGCTCATTAACCTCGGCCTGGGCAGCATGATTGGCACTATGACTGGCATCACCACACCCATTCTTGATGCTTACAAAGTCCAGAAGGAGCTTTTAACAGGTACTCCTACTCCTCACCCTCACTCCTCATCTCCTTCACCAACACTTTCAAACCTCTTAATAATTTTTTATTATATTATTAAAGTACATCTGCCTGAATGTGTGACTGCAGTGAGAATAAAACCAGTTGTTAAAAGCCAAATAACTTTCTTTTTCAGTGTGTTGCTGCATTGTGGCGTTCCTTTGTGGCCTGCTGTTTGTTCAGCGCTCAGGAAACTACTTTGTCACCATGTTTGATGATTATTCAGCTGGCCTGCCTCTCACTGTGGTGGTAATCCTGGAAAATCTGTCTGTCGCTTGGATATATGGCACCAAGAGGTGAGAGTGAGCGTGTCTGTAATTACTTCTGAGAAGCGCTAAATGTGTGTGAAGTATTGTTTTAAATTGGTGTTTTTGTCAGGTTCATGCAGGACCTGGAGGACATGCTGGGCTTTCGGCCATCAGTTATCTATTTCTACCTGTGGAAGTACGTCTCTCCTCTCTGTCTCATCGTTCTCATCTCAGCCTCCGTCGTAGAGATGGCCATCAGCCCACCGGGGTACAACGCCTGGGTTCAGGAGCTGGTCAGTCTGTGTGTGTGTGTGTGTGTGTGTGTGTGTGTGTGTGCGTGTGCGTGCGTGCGTGTGTGTGTGTGCGTGCGTGCGTGCGTGCGTGCGTGCGTGCGTGTGTGTGTGCGTGCGTGCGTGCGTGCGTGCGTGTGTGTGTGCGTGCGTGCGCGCCTAATTATTCAACTGTTCATCAAAGGCAATGGAGACCGCAAGCCTGTGATTGGTCAGGACTCCATTTCCTTTCAATTGGTCAACTGCAAAAAGAAAAAAGTCACTCTACTTGTCACACTGGTGTGTGTGACATTTGTTCTCTTCATTCGACCCATCCTGTGGGGAAGCAGTGAGCTGCAGGCACAGCCGCACTCGGGAGCTATTTGGTTTAACCCCTCAATCCAACCCCTTAAAGCTGAGTGTCAAACAGGGAGGCAATGGGCCCATTTCTAAAGTCTTTGGTATGACCAGACCAGACCTGAACCTGATCTCCCAGTCTCAGGGCGGACACTCTGGCCACAGAATTATGGAAGCATGTGTCTAACAGAAATCTAATTATTATACAGTAGCAGAAGTTATTTTTCATTTTCTTCTTCATCATTGCTTATTCTGTGTAACGTACCAAAGGGTCAAATTTTCACCTTCTAATTGACCACAGGATGGCCTTTCATTTGCAGACATAAGCCCACTATCTATCAAGCCTCCAGATCCAGGAGGTTCTGCTCAGTGCTTGTTTGCATACAAGAAGACATAACTAAACTGTCAAGGTCTCCTGCAAAGGTCCTGCAAACTCTGTGTAAAAGCCAGACTGCTGATTGCTCACCCTAAAGAAAAATCAAACCTACTTGAAGCTCCTACAGGACTTTTCAACTCATTAGCTTAAATAATCATAAATGTTGAAAGAAATGTTTGAATAATATGTGCTTAAACCAATGATGGCTTTAAAATGAATATTGCTCTTACAATGGTCCATTTCAGATCTTATGATCAGTAGGTGTTTCATTTTAACAAGTTTATCAATATTTACACTCCCACACATTACAATAAGATACTCATTAATGTAATGTTCACCTCACATAAGTGTTTTAAAGCATTCTCATTCACAAAGCATTAAACACCATTGTCACCAAGTCACAAAATGGGTAGTAATGAAGAAGAAAATGAAAAAGCAGTTTGTAGAATTGCTTATTCATTTTATTTCTGAGCCAAATTTGGCAGTTCTAATATGAAAATGAACATTTTTTCTGCTACTGCATAATAATTTGATTTCTGTTACACATATGCTTCCATACAAGCTGGTTAGGCCAGGCTAAAGCCAGAGTGTCTTTGTTCACAGCCAGGTCATAAAAAGCGTGTGTACCACCTCTTCCTCACCCCTTTTATGGAAGTGTATTACCGTTAGTGCTGGGGAAAAATTTAGGATCATTATCTCGTGATGACGAGAAACTTTCTCATTAAAATTAAACTTTATCCTTACAGCGTGATAAATCTCATTTTAAGGAGAAATTTTCTCGTTAAACCGTGAAACTTTCTCGTTAAAACATTAAATGTTTTCGTTACAACGTGATATAAATCTTGTTTAAATTAGAAATTTTGTCGTTAAAACGTGAAACTTTCTCGTTAAAAAGTGAAACTTTCTCGTTAAAACATGAAAAGTTTTCGTTACAGCGTGATATAAATCTTGTTTAAATTAGAAATTTTGTTGTTAAAACGTGAAACTTTCTCGTTATGTGATATAAATCTCGTTTTAACGCGAGATATTCTCGAAGTAAAACTTTCATAACTCGTAAGTGCTACAGGGTGAAACGCCGACATCTCACGGGATGTTTGAATCACGTCCAGAAGAAACAACGTAAGATGGAGTCAGAGAGAGCTTCTTTAGGTCTTTTAAAGAAGCAGTAATAAGTCAGAAGAACATATTCGCTCACACTTTCACCAGGTTGTCCTCCAAATTGATAACAATGGAGAAAACAGCCTGAGCTCTCACAATTTCTTGTTCAAGCAAAATTGCGTTACTTCCATTTTGTAGTTGAGGTGCAGCTTTTAATGTAAAAGTTGACTTCCTGTTTGTGCTTTTCACAATAAAAAACTTTAAAACCTTTTCACATTCACAAATGATATGCGTAAAATATATGTCCCGATATTAAGCTAGCATGTTCTTTCTGTGTGGGAAATCTATGGGTGTTTTAATGTTATTTGCCTACAATTAAATACAACCTCAGCGCATGCATGGCACAGCCAGCAGTGAAGAGAGCTAGAGAGCGTAATTTGTTGTTTCAAACACGTTGCTTGGCGCTTTAGACCCGGTTGTTGTGGCGCTGCCGCTGCTGTACTTCCTAACGTTTTACCATCAAGAACTGGAATAGCTGCCTCTTTCATTCTGAGTAGAACTCCAAAACGTATAACGACTTATTAAACGCTGCTTTTGTCAGTTGCTAAGCAACTGACCGATGCTCCTCGTGCGATGTTGACTTGTGCCAAAATGGACAACCAATAATACCTTAAAGGGTCTGAGATGTTTGTTTATTGTTTATCCAGTGTGGCTGGTTAAAAAAACAGTTTCGTAGGTTTTGAAGATGTTTCTTGAGTGATTGAGTTTTGAAATTTCTGTCTCTTCAGGCACAGGAACGCTTTCAGAGCTACCCTCCCTGGGCCCTAGCCACGTGCTTCGCTCTTATTGTTGTGGCCATGCTTCCTCTCCCCATCGTTTTCATCGCTCGCCAGTTTAACTTAATGTCAGATGGCTCCAACAAGCTCTCTGTCACCTACCGGAAATCTATGATGAAAGACATTTCCAACCTGGAGGAGCAGGACGAGGCCAGATTTATCCTTGGAGCCAAGCCCGGCGAGGCTCCGGCATCTGTTCCAGGACACAGGCCCTACATGACTCCAAGGGGTAACACATCATTGGATCCCAATTCTCTCTCTCCAAACATCTGTTACGGCACAAGCTACCAAAACGCTGCGATAAGCCCCACCACACCCACGACGCCGCCTACACCTGTCACGCCAGAGTCTGACTCCTGAAGACCCTCCCCTAACAGCAGGTCTTTTTAAAACCTTTTTTGTTTTTTCAGCCATCAGGTCTTCACCAGGCACCGCTGAGTCACCGAGGAATCTCGCCACTGCCCTGCTGTTATCACGCAAAGCCAAACAGTTTAAATATGAGCACAAGATGAAATGTTTTCATGTCCCCCAACATCTACACAGCTTTTTATTTAAGATAAACATTAACGTGTGAAATCACCAGTTACATAATTATCACAGCTGAGTGAATTTTTTTGCCTCAGCAGAAGGATTATTATCAGAGAAATATCCGTCACACGTGTAATCCAGGCTGTGGCTGCTGCCTCGAACGTTTGAAAGGATTCAGCTCATGACAGCGGAGAGCTGAAGTGAGTCTGAGTCATAAAACACATCTGTAATGCTGCTCTCCGTCACAAATCTGACTGCAACAGCCACAAACAGCACAATACATGCCTGTTCTCCTTAGGTATCTAAATTGAAAATACATCATTTAAAATTTTTTTACAGGATCTTAATCACATACACACACACACACACACACACACACACACACACACACACACACAATAAGGCTGCTCTACAGAATGTTCTGTTCAGACCCAAAGTCAAACCTCCTGCTGGAGTTTTTTTGTAAAATTCTTGTTTTTTCATTTTGTAAATACAACAATAATGTAGAAATAAAGTTAGCATAATGTAGAATTTACTACGTGGAAATTAAAACTGTCACTATCCCTCATGTTCCTATATCCCTACATGTTCTGTAGGACAAATAAACACATTTTATTACCTTTTCACCAAAGACTAAAATGGAAACGAAACACTGGATGTCTAGCAATAAAAATAGGAATTAAGCAACAAGTTTGATCTTTTAAAAGGGATATTTGTGGAAAAGTTATGAAAACTGAATCATTTTCATGTTAGGTTGCTCTGAATGAGATTAGCTCATAGCGACTAGCTAACAGCTAATCTGATCGAAGTGAATTTCTGTCATCTTAAAATGACTTTTATCTTAACCCTTTATGGTGGGTTTTGCAAATTCTATGTAAAGTTTAGATCAATGTCAACGTTAAATCAGTTATGTGTTAGCAAAAATGGTGATGTTGGCAGCAGCTAGCTGGAGTTTGGTGATACTACTGTGACTAGTGCGCCAGTGGGAAGGTTCGTTTTAAATGTTTTAAGACCAAACCTTCAAATTAAAAGTCATGGTGGGACACAAAGAACATTTTTCTTAACTTAAGAAATGTAAAAAGGGGGCAGCAGTAGCTCAGGTGGTAGAGCGGGTTGCCTCATGAGCGGAGGGTCATGGGTTCGATTCCAGCTCCTGCCAGGGGTATCCTGTTGTTGTGTCCTTGGGCAAGACAATTCACCCAACTTGCCTGTGTTAGTGGTGGTCAGAGGGACCGATGGCGCCAAATCGCAGCCTCGCCTCTGTCAGACCTCCCCAGGACGGCTGTGGCCACAAGTAGCTTACCATCACTAGCAGTGTGTGAATGTGAGAGTGTGTGAAAGCGTCTTTGGGTGTCTAGAAAAGCGCTATATAAGTTCAATGCATTATTATTATTATTATTATAAAAATTAGTTATGGTGCATTTTTATTCATCCTGCTCAAAGATTATCTTCATAATAGTCAAATAAAAAATTGTTGATCTACATCAACAGCGAGCTTAAAAGACAAAAATCCATCGCAGGACAAATGCAATAGTGGAAACACAAAGTTACTTTATGGACCACAAATGGCCCCCGGGCCACACTTTGTACACGCCTGTGGACGAAAAGCATAAGAGCACAAACCCAATTGCACAACGTTCTCTGTAACAAAAGTAACAAAGATAAAAAAGGACCAAAATATTTAGAAACCTTCGTAGCAAAAATACAAATAACATGAACTCATCAGCTGACCTGACAGAATGCGCTCCAGAAAGCCTTAGAAACCTCACTTTCACAAACATGCAGTTTTTGTAGGATCCTACAAATATTTGATTGTTAGTATTGAATACTACAGATGTTTAAGGGTTATTAAAGGCAGGTTCAGCAGTGGCAATGAATGTCTTTCTGATAAAAATGTTTCATTTTTGTACGAAACTGTTCAACCTGAGCACATTTAAGTTCCTGTCATACAGAAAAAAGTACATTTGTTTATTTTTTTATCGCAATATTCAGTAATAGTAACTTAAGGTATAAACTGATATTTATTATTCTGTGTATTTGTAGTTATATAGGTATGATAAACAACAAAGATTTATCTTTCAAGAGCAGTTAGTATATATAAAGTATTTTTTCATCTTGTTTTGATGCTTGGATGTAATGTGAGATTTTTTTCTTCATATTAATGGCACTTTTCTTGTGAGATGTGAAAAGTCTGCTAGATGATGAGTTATCATCATTATCACACTTCATGTGACGTTTACTCACCTGTGTTCACCTCTGGTTTTGTTATTTCAGCAATGTTTCCATGAATGCTGCCATCACAAACGGCTTCTAAAATGAAGTCAAAATAATTTGAGTCAGCTTTTTTCAGTCAGTGTCTTACCTCCTGTCAGAATAATGTGATTTAAGGAAACCCAGCTAGATTCTCAGGGTAGATAAAAACCTGATTTACACAACTCTGGTGCAGAGTCAGACACACCAACACATTCTCACTCCGCATTGACGGAGATGTTTTTCTGTCAGACTTATCCGTTGCATGGGGGGCAGTGGCAGCTTGTCCGTAGGGGGCACAAGGGCCCTACCCCACCAGTCTCACAGGAAGAAGAAGAAGATCGGAATCATAATTTTATTTTTTAATCATGAAAATTAAACGAAACAATCGATACATCACACAGACGTAAGTGCTGAGTATAATCTGTATTTGTGTAGTTTAAAATAGTTCTCTTACACTGGATAAGATCATATTGCATTGTTGCTACTGTGTGTTTTAGCATCATCTAGTGTTGTTGAAGTATAAAATGTGAATTATATCAAAAGATCCGTAATTAGGCGTCCTCTAGTGCTGATATGGGATTAGTGCATCTGAAAACAGACAGCATAAATGCGCCCCACCAACAAAAAACATTCACCAGCCGCCACTGATGGGGAGTGTTGCCAAGCAACCCTGCAACCCTGCCCGGACAACAGAGGGTGTAATGTTTTTTCTGGGGCTGTTCTGCCACCATTACAGTCACGTCTCTGGTCAGAAATAGTTTGTTTACTATTGTGTGTTTATATTTTGTTTATGTATTTCAGAGACTTTTTAACGCAGACAAATTTGTCCCTCATCATCCTCCACCTCTTCATGCAGTCACCTCCTCCAAACCGTCATTTCTCCCCATTTCCTTCCACAAATAAAGAGTTTTCTGCATATCTTTGTTCTCCTTCAGTCACGGTTGTGTGAACGTTCAGATTTCCACGAGATATTCCTCCATCTGCTCCGTGTCTGCCTATGGAATTTAAAGAGCAAGTCACCCCCAAATCAACTTTTTTCCCCTGATAAACTAAATAAACGAGTGTCTAATCGTGCTGCAGACACGTGTAGTCAATGGTTTTGCACTTAAGTGCATTTTAGTTAAAATTTTAATTTTCTGCCTAAAACTGTCAGTGTTGTGCCGTTGTCAGGTAAAAACTCTGCACTGTATTTGAATTTAAATCTGCCACTGCTATTGGCTAAGAAGTATGCTATGATGTAAGCTGGTACATTATTATGTAACAATGTCGTTGTGAGCCTGTGTGTGTGTATTTGTTAGCGGCTCCGCCCTCTCGGTCTGCCAGGCAACAGCATTTGTTGCATTTTTTAAACATGAAGTGAGAGTGGTAGGGGGTGACTTGCTCTTTAAAGGAAGTGGTATATTGACCAATCATAGGTCTCCGTCACCCTCTGTGGGCCTGCTGCTGAGCCCTTTTGTTGACGCATCGTGGCGTTGCGTCTCTCCTTTGCCGAGTGGACAGAGAAGTATAAACCAGGCTTAACAGATTACTGTAACAGGACCCATTTAAGAGCTGACAGTTAAGTTTGAGCTACAAAAGAGCAAACAGTTTCACGCTGCCTCATTTATACACAGCAGCTGTTTAAATTGTCCCCATTTCCTAAATCAAAGAACATTTGTGTTGTCACATGTATGTCAGAATACATGCAGAAGTGCACAAGATGAAACAGAAATACTCGACACATTTGATCGTTTCTTTGTTACACTGTATTTTTAACTAGTAATTAAAACCTACTCTTAAGTGTAATGTGCATATAAAGATGGTGTTAGGAAGCTTTTGTTCTTCCTGTGCTGCCATCTACTAAATAATCCTCAGAACAGGTTTAAAAATGTGTGATAAAGCTCAAACTGCAAATATTATTTTGACTTAATGTCATGTTTAGAACAAGTGAAGTCACCGTTCATTCACCAAAAAGCACATTTCCTCGGTTTAATGCTTTTAAAAAGGAAGGGGTTGCAATATCCCACCACAAATCTCCTTTTTCTACCAACTGCACATTATTTTTTACTCTAGACTCTCGCTTTTACTTTTGGGTCGAGTTTGTTTAGAAGATAAAGGTTAACATAAAAATGTAATTGTATTGTTTATCTTTGAATTTGGAGATGTGTGTTTACGAATGTGGAAAAATGGGACACCAGATGTGAGACTTCAGTGCTGTGAGTGGTGGTCTCAGTTTTCCTCCATTTAAAGTCGTATTTTGAAGCAGCCGCCCATGTGGACGTCTTAGTTTGGGTGAGATCTGTAAATAATCCAGTGTAACCAAACTATGTTAGGTCAAATGTTTTTTTTTCTGCTTCATCCTGTAAAGTTTCCAGTTTAGCTGTTAATGTAACTAGTAATAATGAATGTGACTAATGCACTTTTTTCACCTGACAGAAAATAAACCTTGTTTTGTTGCCATGGCAACATTGAGTTGAAGGTCAGTGTAGCAGCAATAACCTGGTACTTCACCTGCAGAAAGGCAAAGTCATCACAAGTGTCTAATGATAGAATGTAGGGATAACTAGAAACTATGTTAGAGAGCAAAATGGAAATAAGACTCAAGTGCTCGAATGAGTGTGTGTGCGTGCGTCTGTGTGTGCATGCATGCGTGCGTGTGTGTGTGTGTGTGTGTGTGTGTGTGTGTGTGTGTGTCAGGGCCTTTTAAACACTGCGTGTACAGCAGGCACAGGTCCCTTAACAGCTTCTCCTCAGTCTCATGGTTTTATGATTCTGACATTTAATGTAAAAGTTATAAATGTGGAAAACTAATCACAATAAAGAGCGGACAAACTTCTGCATCATTCTGCTTTCTGGTTTTAAGATTTGTGTTCATTATTATGTTATATTTTCCAGCAGATCAAACTCTGGATCACAAGTTTGACTGGGTTATAAATGTGATTAAATGTTAAATATTTGTGTGCAGAAATCTGTTGTCGACTGAACAAGAAAAGAAGCTGATTACAGAGTGAAAACATCACAATCTCATGAGAAAACGTTGTGTTCCAGTCCACAACTCGGGTGTCACTTCCTGAGTGCTTCAGATGAGCCTAACTCTGACTGGCCATCGGAGGAAACTCTGCTCCCATCGCATCTTTTGACAAGCTGTCAAAACGTGTTGCACGCTACAGCTGATACCGCAAACGGTTCCTTCAGAATAAAGCTGAACCAACTCCTTAAGAGTCCTCCATAGATGCAAATAACTACCTGTCGTGACCTGGAGACATCTCAAGACCGGTATAGTGGCACTGCGGTTTCCTCTACGGACTTCTGTACCTTTGGGGTCCACGGGCCTCAACACATTCCGGATCTACCACGGGGGTCTCCGAGCTGGTACGTAGACTCGAGAGATTGCATCTGATGTGGTTTTATAAACCATCACTTATAGTTTTTAGCAGACCAAATTCACTCCCAGTTTCTCCGGATACGAAGGTTCTGATCACATCACATCCACAGCTCACAATCCATCCACTTAGATTCATTCATCATATAAAGTTTCCTTGTTGTCATGTTTTTAATTGTTTAGAAATACATTTCTTAGTTTTTATAAACTTGACTCTGTCTGAATTAATACGAAATGTCTGACAATCCCTGAATAAACAAATAATTCTAAATCTTTAGGTTATACCTTCAAGACCAGTCAGACTGGATTTTCATATTCATATGGATACTCACATCTTATTGGTCAAAGTGTATCAAGCTTTAAAAATCAAATACATATGTATGTTACTCCTCCACGGGGCGTGTTTTAATCTTGTGTTTCCTTTTAATTTAGTCTTGAAATGAAGATTCAAGATTTAATGATGGGTAATTTTTCCACCGTATATTCCTCAGTAATTATTATAATTATTTTCTTCAACCTATAAGAATTATAATTAAAAGAATTAAATGATAATTCAAAAAGTAAAATGTGAAGTAATAGATCATCTGTGCTGCAGCAAACATCTAGTGGTCTCTGGTGAAGCCGGCACAGCGTCCCAGATGCTTCTGCACTGCTGCTGCGGGGCCTCTTCAGCTGGGACCCGCTCGAACGCTCTCTTCTTCTTTTCATCATCTCACCTGAAGTGGTGCTCCTGATCAGAGGAGGTGAACTCACGCTCACATTCAGGACAGCTGCAGTTTGTCTCGTCCCGGTCGCAGAAGGCAGAAGCCGTCTCCACGGGGAATGAGCAGCAGATCTAGCAGGTGGTGGTTCTGTTTACAGGCTCTGTGTTGTGTGCTTTGGTTTAATTTCCTCAAAAACAGACGGCGAGGCAAAGTGGAAACGGGTGTATCAAGTTTTATTTAGTTCAGGTACTGCAGATGCTTTACTCTTCAGGTATAAATATCTGACATTTCCTCTAGATTCGTACATCCTGTTCTGCTGCAGGTTTGCTTACACTGATGCCATAAACATAAACCTCATTAAATCTGACGTAGCCGAGCAAAACAACAACAATCCCAAGACAGTATAATTTTATTATAGTAATTAGGTCGATGAAAAACAAAAAGCCATGATAAATAGGTTTAACAATTTACACGTGTTTAAATTTTCTTAACTTTCCAAATAAAAACAAATAAACCCACAAGGGGGATGAAGAGGAAACTTGTTTTGTAACTCGTCTTTAGATGATGTTATCTGCTGAAGTTCAGAACTGATGAGTGAAATCAGAAACTACAAATGTAAACTTGTTCCTCCTTCACTCCAAGGCAAACAAGCACCGTTGGTCTGTAGGTCAGAAGGTCCACATGAAGGTCTCCGCGGTCCCAGAGCCAAGGCAGGAGAGAAGAAACTCGGACAACCATAATGAAGTTAAGAGGTTTCCACCGCTACTGACCACTAACACCCTTCCTGAGGAGGTTACATCACAGGATGAAACCCAGTCTCATCTTTTTAAGAGTTAAGATATAAAAATCACTACAAATAGTTACAATTAAAACTGAAAGTAAACAAAACCATCAAGTAGTACTTCCATCTGGATTACTGACCTGCTGTCTGCGATGGATACGAGGCACGCAGATCAAACCACATCCCCTGCTTTTGTTACGGGGGGGGGGATTACAGAAGAGCCTTGGTATAAAAAGAGGATCTTTATACATTTTCCCCTTTTGGACATTCATGACATTAATGAATGTCTAACAGATAAAGTGTCTGAAGACGTTTGGTTGGATCCTCCAAACTGATTAAATAAATCAGCTTCTGAGAGGAAAACCATCTATTAGAACCTGTAACATAATGCTGATTGATCAGAGTTTTGTTTTTATCAGCTCCCACAGGAAACAGCTTCTTAAAAAGGAGAAAAAAATAACAACAACAATTATAATTGTAATAATAAAGTGTCTGAATCTCACTGCAGAAGTTCCTCCCATGAAATGGGTTTGGAGAAGACCTCGCGCTCCAGCCAGAGGTCATAGTTCATTTGAAAGTCCTCGGGCAGGTCCACCCGCTGTCCCAGGACGCTCTGCAGGCAGTTGTCCACCGGCAGGAAGTCAGGATTGCTGTGGCTCTTGTCGTAGCGGCGACTGTTGAAGCGTTCGATGCTGGCGCGGAGAGCGCACTCCTCAGCCTGGAAGTCCCAGGGACGAGCGTCCAGGTCTGCTCCAGCAAGCAGACGACAGGTCAACCCTAGTGGTCTGTTCTGATGTACACAAATCTAAAACTCTAACTTTATTTATAACATAATAAAACAAACAACTAGGTCTTCTTGTTTGTTTGAATACAATAAACAGCAAGTGACCAAGAAATAAAACCACACACCTAAAAACATTAAAGTTGTGTTTACAGATATGTAAAATAAAATGCAATGGAAGATTTAAAGGTGCATGATGTAAGAATCGAGTGAGAATGACAACCTGTTGTCTAATTTGGGTACTGCAGTCTAGTAATGTGCGGTATAAACACTGTAAGACATAACCAGTAAGATTTGGGCCTAAAATAAAGGATTGTTTACTAGCGGCTAACCGGTTGCATTTGCTGATGAGGAGCGAGACAGTTTAGCGCTTCACCCGCTTTTGCATTAATGTTGTGAATCTGCGTCAGCTCTGGACGAAACGCAGCAGCTGCTGCAGATCAGAGCGCGTGGATGAAGGCGTGTTTGTAAAGAACACGGTTACCGTCGGTTACACAGACCTGGTTTGGATTTTAGATGGTGAGCCGAGAAACATCCTCAGTAAAATATGCCAGATGAGAGTAAAGTCGTATCAGCGTTAAAAGCTTGTAGACTACAAATCTTGTTAGTTTGCCATTAGTTTTGTAACATGAACTAGGGCTGGGCAACATGACCTAAAAACAACAACACAGTATATAGAGGATTTCACCTCGATAACGATAAATGGACGATAACTACAGATATGCGCAGAAACAAAAGTTGTCCACTAGATGGGGCTGTCACGTGTATTACGTTGTCACATTTTACAGCTTCTTAAAGGGACATGAACGTTGCCAACCTCCACACATCTTTTCATTGTTTTATTATCAAATTTACTGACACATCTCTGTCTGTCTGTCTGTGCTGGTGCACCCCACGGTGGGTCAGACTATCAAGGATCACCTGATCGGAGCGCAGTGAAACAATTCTTTGCCAGCACAGCAGAGGGCGTAGCACTTTTCTGAGGTATCCTGCCATCCCTGCAGTCACATCCCTTGTACGTTTATGCATTTCAGTCTTTTTAACACGGACACATTTGTCCCTCGTCAGACATGGCAACCCCGCTGATTCAGATTGTCTCTCTTTCATTTTTTCTAAAGGAGTACAACACACTAGAGCTGGGTGATATGGCCTCAAATCTATATTGCGATATAATCTGAAGCATGTGCGGTAACGATATACCGTAAATCCTCTAATATTAGCCTATATTTAATTAACTGCCGGGTATCATAGTTTGGCCGGTGTCGGCGGAGGTGAATAATGGCCGTTTTTTTATTGTGGCCGGGCGGAATGTGGTAACAAGCAAGTACGGGGGGCGGTTGTGTCATCCGTCTCACTTTTGATTTGCCAGTGATAGACCGCGAGGGTAACTTTAACCGTGCGGAGACGAAGAGGAGGCGAAAATTTGATATCAAGTTCAAAGAGAACGTGCTGATTATGCTGCAGAACACTGGGGAGCAGTAGGGGTTGTATGAACTAGTCGACTTCACTATAGTGACTTTTTATGCCTGTCATCGACTAGTCGCTGTCACGTGATAATGACCGGCAAGATGCAGTCCACGGAAAAGACAGCAGCCTGCTGTCAGCAGGTGACAAGCTCCTGCGCGTCGGGAGGCAACACGCTGTGCCAGAGCGTCGGTACTGACACCCACCGTAAAACGGACATTTAACCAAATTGTGACCTTTCCCCTCTTGCAATTTAACCTTCCCCTCACCCCCATCCTAACCTTAACCAGCTTGCGCATGCAACACTCTGATTGTTGACGCGCTCCAGACATCTGCGTCCTGAGCACGGCCACAGTAACATTATCACATCAGGTGTGGCCACCTCAAAAACTAATTTAACACGTGATCGTTCATGTCGGCTCATTTCCTTTTATGTTTTCTGTCTTTTATTTGTGCCTGATGCTTTTCGCTGCTGTGGATCAGGGCGCATCACCTGTTTTGTCCTTGGTGACGCACCTAACTGATGTGGCCGGCGAGCACTCCGCTGTTTTTGCGATCGGTAGATCTTTTAGAACTGCAGTTCAAAGGTAACTCATAAGTGAATATATATGAACCCAGGTAGCAGTTTCTCTTTAGGCTTGAGAGGAGATGCAGGAAGATAATCAACAGGCAGGACAGAAAAATAGTCAAATAAAAGCAAGTTAGTTTTTGTACCTGGTGGTTGCAACAAACAGACACCATTGAAGGTAATCAGAAGTGAGGAACAGAAAATGAAATAATTATTTTAATGTTTAGAGCAGCAGGAACTCTGAGAGGCTGCAGGCGTATCAGTGAGATTGCGGCCGCTGCGCAGGGAGAGGGGGGAGATGGCTGAAGCAGAAAATACCGTTGTTAAAAGAAATGTGTTTAACTTTGAAAATGTGGGCGCAATTTTAATTGTCAAAAACTCCAGCGAACCATTAGTTCATTTTGCTCAAATAGAAATAGAGGCCTGCCTCTAATTCTGGCCCTCCTTCCAATAAAGGCGTGGAGCTTGATGAGCTTGAGTCAAATACAGGCCCGGGCCTGTATTAGAGGATTTACGGTATATTGCGATATATTTTTTTCCTCTGTTCATATATGTCAAAATGACATGCTTTTAAATATCCTCATGTGGCAAATATATGCCACTTGAGGCATATAGGCCTCCTCCTCCACCCACTCCAGGCTTGCAGTCACTGCCATTCTGTTTCCCCAATGTCAGCAGGGTGCACATCTTAATGACGCCATGAGTTATTGCGATATACCAAAAAACTCTATCATTACCCAATTTTATATCGTTTCTACCTTATATCGTTTATATTGCCCACCCCTACAACAGACAACCCTCCATGAGAAGGAAATGTGTTTTAAGATAACCTTCCTTCTAACACGACTTGGACGTTAGACTGTTTCATGATTGTTTCACTATAAGTTTATTACTTAGTGTACCTTGAAAAGCATTTTATTTACATAAATCTCCTGTAAAATGAGAGCAAAATAAAAACGTGAAACTATAATTTAAATACGGACTGAACTAAGAAGAGCTTTTGAATTGTTTTGTAAATAAAAGTCAGACCCATCCATCCAGAGCAGGAGGACGAGGCTTTGGGTTTCACTCACCGTTTCCATACGCCCAGTCGTCGTTGAGTCTGTGTCGGACTTTCTGATAAATAGCAGACATGGTTTTCATGTTGCTCTTCCTCCACTGCCGGCCTAAGTATTTGGTCTGAACTTTGAGCAGCTTGAGGACATAGAGCTGCATCATGGCCTGCTTCACCTTCAGCGCCCTCTTCAGGATGGGAGCTGACTTAAACACGACCAGCATCTGGTGGAGAGAAGCAGATTACTAACACACACATGCACACATACACACACACACACATGCACACATACACACACACACATGTGTCATGGGTTTTAACAGTTTCCACATGTACTTCTCTCACCATGGTTCTGGAGTGTTTCCATTTGGTCAGTTTGTTCAGGATCCTCAGCAGGTTGATACACGAGAACAGATTCCTCCAGCAGAACTGAGTGTTGTCTCCAGCTTCCTGCAACCCAGAGATCATTCAAAGGGGGAAAAAAATCTGAAACTACACAAAAGAGTTTTTAACCCTTGAAGCTATTGTGTTCAAACTAGTTTCAGTGGTTCTTGAGCCAGAAACTTCAGCGGTTTCACATTGGACAGCACTCTACTGCCCAGAAACTGTGCAACATTTTGTGGTTCAGGTAAGAACACTAGTGGGAAATATTGACCTGCTTTATGCAAAAGCCGTTTATTAGGCTGGTAGCAAATACGATGGTTAGCTTTTTCAGTTTGCTGATCGTCAATAAAAAGCAGAAGTTGGGTTATTTTTGGTTGGAAGCACGTACAGTGCATACAAATGTTGCACTGTACGTGCTTCTCTTTTATCTATGTAAAATAGATTATACATACGTTGTCGGCTTGCCGTGTCTTGTTTTTTCCGTTTTTTTTTTTTTTTTACGAATCGACTAATCATGGCAGCACTAAACCAGAGTGAACATCAGCCCGACCTACACTTGTTTAACGGAGCTGAAGGAGGCTTTGAAATCACAGACTGATGGTGACCTGGCTTTGTTTCTGTTAGACTTGTAAAGATTTTTTTTGTCAAACAGTGAAGATATTTCTACTTAATGGCATATTTTAGTATCAATAGCATATTCTACAGTAGCCAAAAATAGATCGACATAATGTTGCTATGCATTTTGGGATTTAGCCCTAGACAAGCAAGTGTGTATTTTGCCTGGGTGCCTATGAGTCAGAATCACTCTGGTCATCTCAAAGTTGCAGTTTCATCTCCTAAATACGTTCAAACAGGAAGGAACTAAGCACCGCTGTTGCATGCTTTGTTTGCATAGCATTAGCGCCCAGCTGCACTTATGCTGTGACACCAACTGCAGAATATGCTATTGGCTCATGCTAGCGGTAGCTTATTGTTAGCACCAACTACAGCAGGCAATGGCGGGGTTGTTTAGGACAGTTGTAGTTCTTTCAACCAGCAGGAGGGATGAGTGGGAAACGTATGAAGTGTTGCTTGAAGGCTACACGATGAGTCAGAAAACTCACCAAACTCTCTGCGGTCAGCTCAGGGAGCTCATGCACCACGCAGTGGGGGAAATCAAGTACAGAGATGCTGTTGAAGAGACAACCGTTCAGTTACGTCCACCATTACCAGGAAGTTATTATGACTACAAAACTAAAAATAAAAGCATGACAGCACCTGTTCTTAGCTGTGATGTAAGACATTATGTTCTGGTTGAAAAACTTCAGGATGAGTGGGATACAGTTGGCAAACACCAGGTGCTGAGCCATGTACTCAAACTACAAACACACACACGCTTAGTTAAGGTGGATTTGCCTCCGATGAAATACTTTCTCATCAATAAAGCACAGGAGGTGTTTCACCTGGTAGATGTGGTTCAGCTTGAAGTGCTTCAGCAGCAGCAGAAGGATGGCAGAAATGGCTTTAACAATGATTTCTTTGTGCCGGTTGACGTCGACACCCAGCTTCATGCTCTGTAGGACCGTCGTCCTGCAGGGGGAGACAGGAGACCAGATCCTCTCGGAATAAAAATCAAGCTCCTCCCACTTACATCCTCACTGTCTGTTACAGACTTTTTCTGGATATAAACAGTTTTTGCAGAGTTTTCTTTTCAAAATAAAACTGTTTTAGATAGTATGCTGGTCTTCAGTAAACCTAGGAGGTTCGAATGAAGGAAACTGGACTTCTTTGGTTCTTTGAAAACCTTTTGCTTTTTTCCACTTAGAACTGACAAAAATCTTGGGATGAGAAGCGAAACGTCTTCAAGGACCCAAAGAGTCCGAATAACTTTACCAATCACTCAGGAGGGTTCCTCTGGGGGTTTCCAGGAGTAGTGCATTGATAGAAAAAGGGGATAACAATAAAATGAATATATTTTTAAAAGGTATAAAAAGGTAATTTATCAGCATTATCTAAAGGTGTGGAACACTGAAAAGCCATTTTTTAATGATTATAATCAGTCACTTTGAGTTTCTCATGCAGCTTGAACATGAAAATAGTCTCCTACACATAGGGATGGATACCAAATTCGGTACTTCTTAAGGCACCGACCGAATTCAGTAGTACTGACTTAGTACCGATTCACTTTCATTTTTCAGTTTCATTTGTAGTTTCTAATACATGGTGTCCTCATCAGTTATTCCAGAGGGGAAAGGAGAGGATTAGGAGTACATGGAGCTGGGTTTGTTTTTGCATCATTTAGAAACAGTTGTTGTTAAAAGGTTTTCATATTGAAGAATTTTGTACAACACTACGATGATAAAATACAAACAGTTGTATGTTATTTATCATGATATTAATCAAATATGGTTAAATATTGGGAAAATAGTATATATTTAATTAAAAAAGCAATTTGAATAGTTATTAAACACTCAAAAGTATCGAAAATTGATATTGTTAAGTACCGGTATCGATTCGTAGGTACCGGGAATTGGTACCATATCGATTCAAATGTCAAAGGTACCCATCCCTACCTACACCTATCTCCTGCATTAGCTTCTGATGGAAAATAGACAATGAGACTCTAGGATTTGAAAATAATGCTGTCAGGTTGTGTTATGCTATTTTATTCCTGCACCTCCTGTTCCAACACCCCCACCCCAGCAAGGTGTTCAGATGTTTGATGGCATGAGGGACAAAGTAGTTTCTAAGACTGGTCTGGGTTTGATGAGAACAACCGTTTTAGACATTAGTCAGTAAATTTTCCACTCACGGCATCTCCTCTGGCAGCACGTCTGCTAGGATGTTAATGGAGTCCGTTTTGGCTTTAGATGTGGGAGCAGCAGCCAGAAGGATCTTCAGCAGTGCAATCTAACATTTAGATAACAGAAAACATCATCTAATCATCTATTTAAGCTCGTTTAACTTAATCACACACACACGCACACACACTTCTTTGTTTACATTCAACTTTTCTACATTTTATTTTGTAGTATTTTACCTTTATTTATTACTTGTTTCTTCTAAATATTTATTTCAAGAAAAGTGTGTTCATTTTTTTAAAAGTTCAAAAGAACAACCCCCCAGGGGGAAATGAAAAATGTAGACCAGACAAAAGCGCAGGTCTCAGGATCTTAAATGTCAAACTCAAGTCGAAATAAATCGTATGCGTTTCCTAACTAATCCTACAGAAAGTATTAAAGTGATGTCATTGCCTAATCTTATAATTGTAGCTGATGTTTGGACTGGCTGCATTTCAGGTTCCTTCATATAGCTAATATAATTACCGTATTTTCTGGACTATAAGTCGCACTTTTTTTCATAGTCTGGCTGGTCCTGCGACTTATATACCAAAGTGACTTATATACCAAATTATGTATACCGCGGGCCGGCTCCGGACCAGGAATGAGCTCCCTTGCCCGCCATCACCTGCTGGAGACCGTGGCACGCTGCTGCAGGCCGGCTCCGGTCCAGGTTTCAGCTCCTCTGCCCCGCTGGGAGGGTTTCAAACACCGCCATCACCTGCTGCAGCCTGTGGCGGGGTGCTGCAGGTGCTTTCCCCACCCGCTGGGAGAGTTTGAAACACCGCCATCCTCTGCTGGAGACCGTGGCGCGCTGCTGCGCCCTGGTTGTTTATTCTGTTATTGTTACTTGTACTTGTCTTACAATGTGAAATGCTTGGTCTCAGACTTTGTAAAAAATAAAATAAAATAAAATTTCCCCCCAAAATGCGACTTATAGTCCAGTGCGACTTATATATGTTTTTTTCTTCTTCATTATACATTTTGTGGCTGGTACGACTTATACTCCGGAAAATACGGTACTCATTTCAGGAGATTCTTAATCTATTCTAGTTCGACACAGGTTGTGTGTGATGAATAAGCCCAGGAGAGAGCCGAGAACAGCCATGTCTATAATGACGTAATAATTACTTCCAAACAAGAGTCAGTTTAAGCTGAGATCTACAGCTGGAGATCCTGAACAGTCACCATACAGTGAGGTTTTATTAGTGAACATTCACAGTAGCTGAAAGTAGACCCTGTCTGAAGAACCAACCATGTATTGAGGCAAACTGGGCAGGATTCCCTGATAGAGAAGCTCAGTGGAGCACATCTCCACTTCTTCTTCTCCCTGAAAAGAAAAACAGAAAGGACAAGAACTGTGACCCTTCAAGCCCTCTGCAGATTACTGTTCAGGCCGCAATCAGGGTAAATTATTAAAGATTTGCTTTCCACTCACAACAGAGAGGGGAGTTTTCTGGTATTCCTCCTCCTTTGCAATCTGGATTTCTGCTATGGAAATATACTTATGCTGGAAAACCAAAGGGAAAAATAATCATTTAGTAACAGGTGTGTTAGGCTGCCCTGCAGCAACAGCTCCACAAACCTGTCAGCTTACCTGCTTTAGTGTCTTGATGCTCTCGTGAATGGGTCTGGGCAACCCAACCACTGTGTCAGTATCACTGCAGGACACAAAAAGCAGCTTTACGCTCCCACATTATGACGTTAAACAAAGCTGTTCTCAAGTTTGGAGCTGCTTAAAATCAAACCCACCTGCCGAGAGTGTAACCGATGAATTTACTTCTACTTGACTCCAGAAAACTCTCTATATCTTTTTCTCTGTTGGAGAAATAACAGTAATATCAGAAACATCTCAAATCCTCAAAATAAACAAAAACAACTTATATAAATTAGAATTTCTGTTCATCAGCATAAAAAGTATAGTTTTAGTGGTTTTTATGTCATGTTTTCATTTCTTTTACTATGAGCCTTTTTATTGTAACTTATTCTCAGCATTTCAGCAAATTGCTGTTGGTTTTACTGTATTTGGCTTTTTAAGCACTTTGGTCAGCTTTCATGTTGTTGTAACGTGCTATATAAATACAGTTGACTTGACCCCCCCAAAAAAACTGAATCTGTAGTCATGAACTGTTAAATCTAGTGATGCACCGAAATGAAATTTTGGGCCGATACCGATATTAAGATCACCGTTATGGCCGATTACGTAGGGTTAAGTTATGTAAACCCCGGTTCTTTCAGAACAGAGTGAGGTGTTTCACTATGGGAATCACCCTGGCGTGACCAACTACGGAAGCTCCAATGACATCACGTCTGTCCCTGACAGACCGGTTGCGCCGTGCCCAGGCTCCGCCCACCCAGTATATACATGGCCAACCTTGTTTCACTCATACGGACGATTTCTTACCGATAATGCAAGAAGGGAATTGTTGGTGAAACACCTCACTCTGTTATCAAAGAACCGGGGTTTACATAACGTAACCCTACGTTCTTTTTCTAACTTTGTTCGGTGTTTCACTCTGGGAGATATGGCCCACTCCTGGATTGCATGTCCATCCCGAAGCGAGCTGCAGCCAAATTCAGCTTAACCACTAAGCAGATGCTGTGCATCCTGCCTCCAGCACTGAATGCGCCAGTGAAGGTTGAGACACATCCAGCCTGTAAAACTGCGCAAAAGTTAGCGGTGTGGCCCAGCTAGCTGCTGCACAAATATCCTGGACTGACACCCCCCGAAACAGGGCCCAAGATGTGGCCATGCTCCTTGTAGAATGAGCCCTCACCCCCAGAGGGGGTTCAGCACCTTTGCACCTATATGAAAGGCTGATTGCTTCTACAATTCAGTGTGCCAGTCTCTGCCGAGACACAGGTTTGCCTTTATGGGCCGTGGCCCAAGAAACAAACAACTGGTCTGATTTTCTGAGACCAGCAGTCCGGTCCATATAAGCCCTTAAAGCTTGAACAGGGCGGAGACAATTAAGCTTCTGCTCTTCTGCTGAGGAAAAAGGAGGTGGGTGAAAAGCCAGCAGCTCCACAGGGGAGCAGCTATAAGACGACTGCATTACTTTAGGCACAAAAGCTGGATTGGGCTGCAGACACACCTTAGTGTAGCCAGGGGCCCACTGTAAACAAGAGGGACTGACTGACCATGACTGAAGTTCACTCACTCTCTTTGATGTAGTTAAAGCTAAGAGCAGTGCAGTTTTTAAAGAGAGAAATTTCAATCCAGCCCCATCTACAGGTTCAAAAGGATGATGACGGAGGGCCTCCAGAACAAGAGAGGTCCCACAGTGGTACCAGTGGCCTAAAGACTGGTAGCTTAAGGCGAGCACCCTTCATGAAGCAACTCGCTAATGGGTGTTGCCCCATTGGTTTGTCACCAAACCCCACATGGCATGAAGAAATTGCAGCCAGATAAACCTTAATATTGGAGAAAGCTTTACCCTTGTACATCAGACTGCAAAACACAGAGTACATCCACCACCGAACACTGAAATGGGATAACATGTTTTTCTTCACACCACCCCTCCATTTACAGCTGTAAAGAGAGCGAGTTGAGGGGGCCCTAGCGTCTTGAATGGTGTCAATGACACTTGGGGGCAGGCCACGCTCATATTCCACCTCTCACAGGCCAGGCCCACAGAGACAAGCGGTCTGGGTGAGGGTGATTAATTTCTCCCCCGGCTTGGGACAGGAGATCCCTGCGGACAGACAGGGGCCAGGGTTTGTCCCAAAGCATCTGGATTATTTCTGCCACCCATGGCTTGGATGGCCACAATGGAGCCACCATGATCAAAGACAGGCCCTGTTCCCTTACTCTTATTAGAATGGAGGAAATCAGACTGAGAGGAGGAAACGCGTACAGCAGCACTCTCGGCCACTGGTGAGCCAATGCGTCGACTCCCAGAGGCGTGTCCGTGTCTGTCAGGGAGAAGAAGAGTGGGCAGTGGGCGCTTTCCCATGAGGCGAATACATCTACGGTAGCCTGACCGAATCTCTGCCATATTTGGTGCACCACCTGGGGGAGGAGTTTCCATTCTCCGTACAGAGGATTCCCTCTGGACAGAAGGTCTGCCCCTCTGTTCAAGCTGCCCGCCACATGTGTTGCACGGACTGCTCTCCCCATCAAGGTGGCCCACCAACCTGTAAGGGACGCATCCGTCGTCATGGTAACTCTGGACACCACCGCCCCCACCGGAACCCCAGTTGTGAGAACTTTTCGGTCTCTCCAAGGCTGGAGAGCCGACGTGCACGCCGGAGTTATTTTCACTCTGCGGTGGAGATGAAGGCGGGAGCACAGTCTTAACGACCTCACCCACCGCTGAACATCTCTCGTCAGAAGAAGCCCCAGTTTCACCACAGAAATCATTGACGCCATGAGGCCGAGATGGCGTGGGCAAAGTCTGTACGACCCACGGATTCCTTACTGAAAACGTGTGGCATACTGTGTGAAGGACGCAATCCTCTCTTCTGACAGCGAAATGCGGTAAGAGAGAGAGCCTATCTGAAGACCCAGATATTCTGTGCACTGTCTGGGGAATAAACTGCTCTTTGTTCAGTTTATTTTGAACCCCAGGTCGGTCAGACGGTTCAACACCACCAGCGCGTCGCTGGCTGCTTTCTCCCGGGAGAGAGCGCAATGCTGATCCCACGAGTCCTCAGTGAGGACAGCGCCGCCTCCACACTTAGTGAACACCCTCGGTGCTAATGACAGCCCGAACTGGATGGTTTGAAACTCGTAGGCTGTGCCCAGATAGGCAAACCTGAGAAATTTCCTGTGTGGAGGATAAATAGAGATGTGAAAATAGGCATCCACGAGATCGATTGCGACAAACCAATCTCCTGGGCGGACGGAACGGCAGAGTGTTTTGTGAGGCAACATTCTGAAAGTGTACTTGCGTAAGTGTTTGCTTAACACACGCAGGTCTTTGGAATGAGGAAGTAGCGCAAATAAAAACCCTGGTGGGCCTCGTCGCTCGGCACCATCCTAATCGCTTTTTTGTCCAGCAGTGAAGCAATTTCATTTTCCAGGATATGCGCCGAATCCTCTCTTGCCACTGACGTTATTATCCCGTTGAAACGGGGCGGTTTTGAGGCAAACTGAAGGCTGTAACCCCGACAAACTGTCATCAGAACCCAAGGAGGAACTGCACATGCGCGCCACCTCTCGGCCCGAGCCGTAAGCGAGCCGCTGTTGGGTGACGTCATCTCCGTCACCCGAGCAGCCTCAACTCGTCCTGCGGGAAAAGCGAGAGGGTCCTCTGCTGGGTGCAGAGGGACCTGATGGGGTTTGTTTATTATTTTTTGTGGGGAGCTGTCTGCCCTTGGCTGAACGCCTGGCTGCAGAAAGGCCGTCTTTATTCTTAAACAAGCCCCATGAACATTTCTGCACACCTTTAGGAACAAAGTGCTTGGTGACACTGACTGTGTGCTCATTTGAAAACTGAAAAGTGTTTGGTGACACTGTGTTTTCTGCTCCACTCGTCTCTCTGAACCGAAGAGGGAGGAGCTAACAAAACTCCTGCAGGACTGGGAACCACAGGTGTCTGAACCCTGAACACAGAGGTCTGTTTGTACCTCTGAAAACCTCTTCTTCTTCCGGAGAGGAGAAGCAAGAGCAGCTAGGATGTCTTCTTCCTCTTGCCCTCGCTGGGGTGAGACGAGCGGTTCCTGGCGGCTGCTGCTGCAAAAGAGTGCTTCCCCCACGGGCGAGGGTTCTCCACCTTGTTTGGCTGACCACCTGCTGATCGCTGTGGTCTAGCCCCACCCTGTCGACCCTTTGCCGCTGAGGCAGCTGCCGCAAACCCAGGCTTGGGTGCCTGATGGTTATGTTTACGAGGCAAGCAGAGATTGATGGCCTCACCTTCCTGCTTTCTGCGGGTACTTAGTCTCAGTCATCTTCTCCAAGGCAGGGCCAAAGAGACCTTCGGTAGGGTCATATGCTGCACCCATGACATCAGCTTTCTGGGTGTCACCTAGGCCTGACAGGTTTAGCCACAAGGCTCTCTCACCTGAAACCGCCAAACCCATCACACGTCCACAGCCCTGGACTGCTCCTCTAGAGGAGCGCAGGATGAGATCATTCAACACACAGATTTCATCCCATAAAGCCGGGTTAGGCGCCCCAGAGTCCAGCTGACGACCCATTTCCTCCAGGATTTCTCCTTGATAAGCTGACATGAGAGTAACCGCGTTGAGGGAACACACAGATTGGCCAGCATATTTGTACATCCTCTGAAAAACGGATGCCGTGAGACGATCCGTTTTAGATGGGAGAGAGATGCTGGATGATGCTGACACGGATCTGCGGTTGGGGTGAAGGTGGTATGCCACTGAAGGCTCCACCGTTGGGGGTTCGGCCAGCTCCAATTCCCCGATTCCATGCACCTCCAGTTTAGAGCATCCCTTGGTGGGGAGTTTGCTCTTAAATGGGCTCGACCAGTAACGGCTCATTTCTCTCATGCTGCTGGGACAGCCGGCACGAGCTGCTTGGGTGGAGCGGAGGATAGTGGGAGCCTCTTACCATCCTACAGGTCTCGTTCCACCCCTTCTGCCCCTTGGGCTGCAGGCCACTGAATGTTCATCTTTGCCGCTGCTCGTCTGCAAACCTCGTACAGATCAGCGTCCCCCTGCGAAGCCACCCCAGTGCCGCTAGACGGCCTAGAGTGTTGAGCCGGGAAGGTGGAATCCTCTTCCTCCTCTTCCATGTCCAAGTCGAGGAGATCTGAGTTCACATCACCTCCAGCCTCGTCATCACCGGCATCAAGCAGCCCGCTGTCCACCAGCCCCTCGAACAGAGGAGGTAGCGGGGGCTCCTCTTCCATCATATCCGCCCAGCTAGTGGAGGCTCGTGGCTGATGGTTGTCACCTGTATCAACAGGCGTGCCCGAGCAGAGGCCTGGGTCCCGGCCGTTAGCCACTGCCACTCTAAGTCTCCTTTCCCTGATCTTCTCCGGCATGGAGGAGCAGTGAGGGCATGTCTGCGGGTTAGCCAGCGATGCCTGGGCGTGAGCAGCACCCATGCAAGCTATGCACATAGGATGAGGGTCCCTGCCTGAAATAGAAGCCCCACATGATGCCGGGCACAGGCGGGATGCAGCCTCTTTAGCCTTCGGTTCCGACCCGTCCGTTGGGATAGGGGTGGAAGCCATAGCTGACAACCTGACTAGTCATGACATGTTAGTCTGAAAAAGCGTTAGTAAGCTAGTTAGCAGGTGTAAGTCTGCAACTAAAGCTATATTTTGTATGTAGCGCAACTCGTTGCGACACGTTAGCTGCACCAAAGTAGCTCATTAGCAAATAAATGCTAAATAAGCACAGGACAAGCTCGCCTCAACGCGTTCGCTTGAGCCACACTCGCCAATACCACTCCGTCAATGACAACAGAGTAGCCGTAGGGGAAGTTCGCCGTGACGCGTTGACTGTTCCTAGTGAAGTGTGACAAGTGACTTAAGCTGGGCGTAGCACTCAGCTTCAGCTCAAACTGTACGACTTCCTCGCAGGGCAGATCTCACGAGTCATGTGCTCACACTGCACGACCCAGTTCTCGGATGCGATCCGACTGCTCACACTGTACGTCTGGTAGCAACACGTCGGCCCTAAAAATATGCTAAAAATAGCAGTTTTTACTCAACACGTCATACTTTTTTGTCTTGTTTTGCCTGTTGTCCTTCGGGAGTGCTGCAGGAGGACACACAGGGATTTATGGGGGTTGGATGAGGAAAACGAAATAAAGAAAGTGAATCTGTGTTTTGTGATCAGTTTAATTTGACATGAACACGACAAACACGCTTTCTTGACAATCTTTGTGAGTAAAAAAACGTGTAGAAATAAAAATGAACAACGTGTGTTATTAGGGAAATAGCGGGCGAGCGGTGTTGATGCATGATTGCGCATGCGCCGTGAGCGGTTCTGATACTTTTTGGGTCGCAGCTGCTCACAGCGCCGCTTCAACAGTGCGATAACCTCACGAGGGACGAGCAAAATATTAAACATGCCAGAAGTTTGTGCGACCTCACGATTGCTGATCGGTAGCTGGTCACGTGGTGTTAATCGCCTCTCGTACACGACGCTCGGCGCAAAACTCGCCCCGATCTCGTGGATTCTCGCACGAGTGGAAAATCGGCTCAAAAAAAGTGAAAAAGTCGCACAGTGTACGCCCGGCCTTAGACGCACTTACTCAGCTCAAATCCAGACTGCGTTCGGCGACTAATCCTGAGGGGACGCCTCGGAACAGTTAAGCAGCTAAACAAAGATGGCCTGAAAATCGCTGAGGGAGCAAAGTGTAGTTCCTCACAGGAAGAAAGCGAGAATGAGTAGGAGGGGTAGGTTGGCCGTGTATATACTGGGTGGGCGGAGCCTGGGCACGGTGCAGGGACAGACGTGATGTCATTGGAGCTTCCATAGTTGGTCACGCCAGGGCGATTCCCATAATGAAACACCGAACGAAGTTAGAAAAAGAACCGATATTTGCCAATACCGATATACTGACATTAATGCTTCTAAAATCAGCAGATTTTGTATAAAATGAAAATTATTAAAGCTGAAGTTACGTTATTACGTACACACCCCATACACATTTACGTTTCTGAGATGATTTCATTTACTGTTTACATGACTTAAGTATTACACATCCCCCCACCCCCCACCCCACCCTCTGAAACAGGCAAACAAATGGAGACAAGATGGAAAAAATATTGGTTGTTCATATCCGCCCGGTTTTATTTATCAAACCGATACAGATATGTTAAAAAACGACGAACATCAGCCGGTACCGATATTGATGCCGACATATTGTCCATCCCTAGTTAAATCTGCAGGTTTGTGGGGTGAGACTGAGACGTACCTGACTTTGGGAGCCCACGGAAGACCTTTAGGGAAGGACATCCTCTCTGATGGTGGGTGGGGAATGGGTGGAGGCATCACCTCGTCTCTTTCTATAGGAAAAGTCTCCGGCTCCAAAGAGTTGTCATTGTCATCGTTGTCATCCTCGTCGTCGCGAGAGTCGTCGGCCTTGTAGGGATCCTTTTCATTGAAAGCGTCCAGGTTGTCCTGTTTGATCAGAGCCTGGAACGAGTTCAGATATGCATCATTACACTCAGACTGGAGCCCAGCTGCAGCATGACAGGAGGAAAAACACTGAACTACCACAAAGAGCCTGAAAAATGGGTCTAAACGGTTCATTTGAGAAAACTTAATAAATGCAGTAGTGATAACAATATTAAACAGAGCAAAACACCAGTAAACAGCTCATCCTCCTCTTACTTCAAAGTGGTTTTCTGTGACCTGGAATATTTAAACGCAGCAGCAGTGTCGAGTACCTTGTGTTCCCGCCGGGCCCGCTTCTGTTGCTGTTCAATCAGATCGGACGCAGAAGCGGGAGGAGATGCTGCCCTCATGCTGCGAATGACTCGAATGCTGTCCTCCGGGAGAGGAGGAAGGCCCAGCTCCTCACGCTTGCAGACCTTAATGCTCTGAAGCTGCTCAAACCCTCCAAGAGTGAACTGAAAGAAAAAAGTGCTTCTTTGTGGATCCACTAGACTTTGTTTAACCCTAACAGGTTCCTTTAATAAAAGCTACATTGGAGGCTCTTTGCACAAAAACATTACTTTGATCAAAAGATGCAATTAAAATAATATTTTTCAAAAGTAAAATTTTTAACACAAATTCCATCCTTAGCTTCAGTCCTCACCAAACAAAGGAAAATATTTATGTGTTTGAGATTTAGCCCCTTTGGTGCCATGTTTTTTTTTTTTAAAGAAAAATCAACATTGAAAAAAAATAAAATAAAATTTAATAGTTCCTTGTGCGTTATGTCATGAGGACTTGTTTTTTTTTTGGGGGGGGGGGGGGGGGGGGGGGATTGTCAGAGCTTTGGAGAGTCACAAACGGGCATAAAAATAATTTTTGTTTACCCTTTATTTTGTGTGGAGTGTCAGATATTCAGAAAAACTCACATTCAGGTCTCTACGCACAAGAATATAGATTAAGTGAAATAAAATATATTTATGGCAACATTTAGCTTTGTTAGAAAAATGTCGTTTGAATGAGTCAGTGACACAAAAAAATGTCAAGGGACCTCATCATCATCACAGCCAAAGTTAATGAAAATGACTAACGCCTGCACAGAAAATGCACTTAATTCTGAGGGTGAACTTAAGTGTCCTTATGTTCCTTTCTTACCAAGATGCTCTTCCACAGCAGCAGAAGGACCTTCTTCATAGGGAAGTGAGGAGCATGGCCGCTGCAGAACTTGGTAACCATCCCAAAGAGCATGACAGAAATGGGCTCGTTGTTGAACAGAGGAGATCCTGCATTGAAGCAGCAGCAAAGACTTAGCTTCTACATCTGAACTGAACTTCAACACGACTGTAGGTCCATATCTACCCAGCTCTGCTCTGAAGGTTTCCCTGATGATTTTCCACTCAGGCTTGTCGGCCGGGTCGTTCTGTTGAATCGTCTCCACCATCAGGTACATGATGTTAAGCAGCACCCGGAGATCGGTGCTGTCGGCGAGGGAGATGGCCGGTTTTCTGACTGCACTACTACAGGCGGCACTGTTACTGAGGAGTAGAGTGCATCAGTGATATAACAGAAAATACATAGACTGAAAACTCTGCGAAACAACAACTTTTACAGCAATTAATGTGCAACAACCATTCATGAACTGAACATAAAACATACTCGATCTCCATGTTAAGTAGTTCCACCAGAGCAGAGAAGGTCCCAACATCAAGTAGCAGAAATATGTTATATCTCATCCAGTGCTGCACCTCAACCTCAGAGCTGCATTCTCCAAAGGTTCCTGCATAAAACAGAGATTTATCAAAGGTTAGAAACATAAAGCAGATCTTTACCTTGTAATTAAGTTGATTTTATTCAAAGTGAGGGAACACTGACCCTGAGCCATGTACAGAATAGCTCTAGCAACCTTCAGTCTCTTCTCACGAGTGATGACCTCCAGACTGTCCAGGAGACGCAAGGCATGAGCCCTGTGCTGAGCTGCATCCAGCTCCGTCCACTTCTTATCAAACACTGAAGCACAGCAAGGAAACAGCTAAATAAACATTTTATATTTTATAAGCATCTTATCGGTAATTAGAGCCACCTACCATGAGCTCTGAATTCTTCCTCAAAGCACTTCCTGTTAAGAACAAATTCTGGTCCTTCAGTGTAACTGTAAAGTTCTGAAAATGGTACAAAATAAAATTTAATTAATGGTCTAGTTAAGAACAAGTCAAACTTATTCTGAATCTAGATTTCTGATTCTGAGAAGCATATGCATCCAAACCTGACAGCTCTGCAGCCCACTTGTCTGTGTCAGAATATTCAAACTCGAGATCCGGCAACTCAGACATTCCCTGCACACATGAGATCAGATATCAGACAAAAATAATAGTAATTTCTTGCCTACAGTTTTGAAGAAGTATCACTAATTAGAATTTTAATTAAGAAATCATTTTATATATCCCAGATGTAAATTAAGTGTTGTAGTAACCCTGACTAAAGTATGATTTATTGTGAAACATAAGGATGTCAGAGTTAGATAAAAGGGATTTTTGACACCAAACACACTGCACACAATCCTAGCTCCATACTGCAGCAACACAAAACTGCACACAAGATGTGTCCAGCCCCGAGTGATAACACCTGCTACACAAAAACACATAAAAATGAGAAAAGAGGCTGACATCTGATCTCCAAACTAACCAGAACCCAATCCCATTGTTAATTGAAGGATGAGTCACAACAACCACAACAAATATGATTTAGTGTTTACGTACAAGCATCAAACCAAGTGGATCAGTGGACAACTCTGGTCCTCTGAGGGCACTACCCAGCATGTTTTAGTCATTTCCCTGTTCCAACACACTTAATTCAATGGTTGAATAACCTGTTCAGCAGGTCATCAAGCTTATGTAGAGGTCTTTTAATCACCTGCTGATTAAAATGAAATGTATTAATGCAGGGAAACAACTAAAACATGCTAAAGAGCGGCCCTCGAGGTCCAGGACTGCCCACCCCTGCATACTCTCTGGTCTTTCCTATTAATTTTCTCTCTCTCTTTCCGTACTTTTTGTTTTTGTGAAGTGCCTCGTGATTTTTATCTTGAGAGGCGCTATATAAAATATCGTTTTCTTTCTAATACTGATGGTGGAGCTCCTGCATATCCACCACAACCATGGTGAGTAAATTTGGTTTCATTTGGACAAACTGCAGTATTAAAAGACCAATTCTAGCACCAAAATAGAGACAAATCAAGTAGTTTTTTTTTTTTCCATTTCTAGTTGTACTTGATTCAGTTTGTTTATTGGGTCAAATCAACTCCTGGAGCAGATTCTGGATATCGCTGCTATGCATCATGATGCAGACACGCACTGTGACTAGGAAGAACCCTATGTTAGCTTATTCACGTAACTGTTTTTAAAGCACTGTTGCTGCAACTAAATGGATCATAAAGCACGAGTGGACCCGACTCACATTTTTTCAACAGGTAGACAGAATTCTGACAGGCAGTCCTGTTAGCTAGCATCAGCTAGCTACTCTAAGCGAAGCTAGATCTAAACCAACAGCAACATTTCAGAGGACAAAAAGATCACAAAGATATACACACACATTTAAAACATTTTGAGTCAGTTACTGCAGATAGCAGCAGCCGAGTTGTTAAAGACATGCTAGTTAAGAGACACTCACAAAGCTAACGTTACAATAGCAGAAACGAGGCCTCGTCTTGATTACAGAACCCCCTGGCGAAATAAAAATTAACTTTTCTGTTAACGCACCTCTGAGTCTTTTCTTGAATTCCGAGGAAATTCTCCCCTGCCTTTATTGGGCAGCATAGCTCTTTGTTTATTGTTTACAGGTGGACCACCACCATTCCCACCGACATCCATCATTAGCAATTGGACGAACTCTCGCGAGATGAAAATTGAGCGAGAGTTTGTTTCTGACGCGTACGTGGACTTTCCTCGAGAGGGTGCTCGCTGCAGAACTACAAAGGCGGAGCTGCACCATAAGGTGGAGCTGCACCAGAGTCAACCCCGCCCATTCACGCAAACTCAGCCTAGCCCACTGACTTCCGTTTTTGTTTTCAACTTTATCGCAAACTGACCTGACCCACATGAATTACGGCTGTTACTAGTTTACAGTCGTTAATGCTATTTTCTGTGCTCCAAGTAAACAAGATAAATATAACTTGCTACATGACAAAGTCTGAATATATCCCGAAATAAAAAGGTTTCACGTAGCGAATATCTGCCCACAGCCGCTCTAACAAAAGTCCTGTACAACAGCATATAACCCCTCCCTGTGGGTTCTGGTAGTCCAGTGGCAAGATCGTCTGACTTATATTTTGCTTTCCCCTCAGCTGATGCTGGTTCGATTCTCGGTGGGGTCGGCAACAATCTATTCAGCCAGCTGAAACATTTAATTTGTTCATATTTTAGTTGTAATGTTCATTTTCAGCAAAATATTTATGTCTCTACAAGTTCTTTGAATTTGGTCGTTCCTAAACAGCATTTTAGTTGAAACTCTGCTCACAGATGGACTCACACTGGCTAAATAAACGAATGAATAAATAAAAAAAACACATTAGTCATTATATGTTAAACGGCATACCAATAAATTGTTGTAAACATAGTACTGGCAAGTGTAGCTAGAAATGAGGAAAAGAGATTATAGAATATTTCCACTGCTGGGAGGCGAACCTGCGCAAAACTGCATGTCAACCTGGCACCATCACCACTACACCACCACATCTGATAAAAATTAGAAGGCGTTACATTTTATTATGTTATTTGGTGTGTCTTTGTAGATGGGATGTATGATTTTTCTGGCGGTGTCTCAGTAGAAGTCATTTCAGAAATAATTTGTCAGAAAATTCACAGAATATCCAGATTTGAGAACCAAGACCAGACCCGCTTTGGGGGAGGAGACCAAATTGAAGCTGAGATGGGAAGAAAATGCATGAATGAGGCCAAAAATGGCTTTGGCGTGTTTCTTATGAGGAAATGACAATATAACATGATTAAAAGTTCCAAAAGTTAGATTTTTAATTATATGGAACCTTGCATTTTTTAGCTATAACACCCTCTTTGGTTCCAGAATGCTATAAAGTCTGACAACTGGAAGGAATTGGACTGACTCCGATAGGATGGGCGGGGCTGATTCTGGAATGGGCGGGGCTGACTCTGGTGCAGCTCCACCTTCTGGTGCAGCTCCGCCTTTGTGGTTCTCGGTTCTTCTGTTGCATCTTTTTGACGAATTTGTATTAAATCTGTCATTCATGTTCAACTTTATATTATTTTTATAAGATCAATCCCACCCTTGCTTTAAGATCAGATTTTATTGTTTATAATTTTTAAGGTTTTGACGATCGGCGGTCAAATTCATACAAACATCAGATACCTTTATATTTACTCAACAAAAAACTCTATATTTTCTTTCAATGCCCCCACTGTACATCTATCATGTAAATGCGCACAAGGACAACAGCTCTGTTTTGCAATTTCATGTGTTTATTGAAGGAAAATTTGGACAGAAAAACAAACATTGAACATTTTTTAGTTGTTCAATAAGTAGAAATGGTGATGGACAACACTACAGCAAATATTCATTGTTCATATGGTGTAACCAATTCCTCCTGTACTCCATTGGGAGCTGGTGTCCACCTTCAGCAGACTGTGCGAGGTGGGCCTGCTGGTCTCCAGTCCATCACAAGAACACTAAAGTATTACTTTACATTATCCAGTCTCAGATGTTGCTATGGTCTGTTGGTAAAATCCCAATGGGAAACGATTCTATTGTCCCAAAGTCATTGCAGTTGTAGTGTCATGAATGTCCTGTTTTTGACCAAAAGGTCATGATCTGCTGCGTCTGCTCGAGCAGAGACTTGTCTCTGACACAGGCTAATCTACATGAGATAGTGGCCAAGGTATTTCATGCACTCTGCTCATTGAACTGCTTCACCTCTGTTACAGCTCAAGACGAAGACGAAGAACTCTTGATAAACACATAATCAACCAACTTAGTTATTACCAATAATAATGTGAGCCCAATGTTCAATCAATCTGTGAAATGACAATGTTATTACTTGATATTATAATCCTGTGATCAGTAGTATTTTACAAGTAATTATAATCTTGGGCATTTCCACTAGACACTAATGACATGTAACGCTAAAGCCACATGACACATTTCCTTTTGTCTGATCCAATCAGAACCTTCGTTTCTGACGCGAGGCATTGTTTTCTGTGGTGTTTGTTTAAACCCTCTTTTGCATGTCAAATTCTGATTCGCCAGTAAACCAAAATATGACAATTATAAAAACTATCCCACGCCACCTTTTGTTTGGTTTAAAGCGTTCTAGAGAAGTCTCGGACAGGCCATCCGGACTTCCTCTTCAGCCATAAAGAACCTCGACAAGCTGGATAAAATCTATTTATAAGTTACACCTGTCTGCAACGGTTCCTTCAGAATAAAAGCTGAACCTCACGACCCCTTCAGGGTCTCGCTGACGCCAGTGATAACCTGTCGTGACCTGGAAGCATTCCGAGACTAGTTTGGTCGGCACCGCTGCTTTTCTACCGGCTTCGGTACCAAGAAGGGTCCAAGAGGACCTCAGCATTCTGGATCTAACGGAGGCTTCCCCTGGGTATGTAGACCGACAGATGGCATTTCATGTGTGTTACAAATCTACTGAAGTTTAGAGCGAAACATTCACTCCCACTCAAAACTGCTTCTCCGGATACGCTGGTTCTGATAATAACATTCCACACACACACCATCATCGCACGTTTCACTCCACCTTAGTCCATCAGTACACAGAGTGTTAAAGTTAGTCTTGTTTAAATCGTGTAGAAATAAATTTCTTAACCATTTTAAACCTGACTCTCTCTCTTTCCTCCGAGTTATAAGAAGTGTCAAGTAATCCCTGCAATAAAAAGTTCTGATCGTCTGGTTAAAATATTCAAAGATCCATCAGATTGATATTTCATATTTCTATGGAATCTCACATTTTATGGTTCAGAAGTAAGATGTAAACGACCCATCCTTTACACAGTTTATTTGGTCAAAGTTTGTCAACAGGAACGTTTTAAACAGCTGAACGTAAAAATACAGAATACTAGTTGGTTTCTGCAACCTTTTTCAGTAACCATCAAAACATTTAGGTCATGTCAGACTAATTTAACAAACCAACAGCTGTGGAAACACAAGAGAAGAAAACACGTGCATGTGGCGCTGCTTAGCTGTCAGTGTGTGTTTTGTGATTAACAACCATTAACAGACTTGGGAGGAAAACAACTTTTCTCATGAAACCAAATTTCTGAGTTACAAGGCACTGTCAACCTGACAATGATGTCCTCACGGAGTGTCCCTGACTTTAATGCACGTAAGCTGTCAGTGCAAAGATGCAAGGACTGATGGCGACTACACAACTCAAGGCAAGAGAGACTGAATAGGATGTTTGTTTTTATTCTGCACAAATCAAATCCAGGAATTACCTGCGTGTGCAGATTACAATTTATGATGCAAACTGTAAAAAAAAAAAAAAAAACTCGTGGTAGGAAAAATAACACTATTTCCTGTCAGGGCTTTGGGGAAACGGCATGCTGAAATGTGTGAGGCATAAATTTAAATATGTGATTTAAACAAACACTTTACAGGTTCATCAAACGTGCCTGCTGCTGTTAAGCCAATCATTACAAAGAATTTGTGCAAGCCTCACAAAACAGTTCTTAACCCTTTGATAATAAAACATTAGAATATAAAACCACAATATGACACAGAAGGTAATGCTAACTAACATGTATTGTTGCTGGAAATCAGCTCATTTTAGAATTTTTCCATTTCTCATTTAAATCGTAATACTTTTGGTACCTGAAACAGACAAAGATGTAACATTTCAAATGATGTAATTTAAATGTAATAGTAATCCGAACACTTGAACCTTTTACCACTGTAAAAGGTTAATTTTATTTTTTTAAATGCATGTTAGAGACCATACCAAGGCCAGAAGAGGTGGGTCTGGTAAAATAACATATTTACAGGACATTTTCGATTTTTGAGTGCCTCTAGATGATAAAGATGTTATTTATTCTAAGTATTAATTGTCAATGAACAGTTGATTTTAGCCGAGGTTAGCAGTATTAATGATTATTCATATCAGGATATTTCTTCTCCTTGACAGGTGGAATGCATCATGTAAATAACTGATTTTTATAGTAGGAGATACCTGAATTATTTTGGCCACTAGTTGATAAAATATATATACTTAAATTGCATCTCTTGGTTTTTAAGTCATCGTGGCTCATCTGTAACTACAATCATCAATTTAAAGCTAAATGTCTTTAAATGTGTACATCCAATATAAAAATAAGTGGCTAATGTCAGATTTGGTCCAAACATTTTTCCATCAGACAGGAGTTTTACATCAGCTCACATCCAGAGATGGCTTTAAAACAGTTCTGTGCACACCAGAAGGGTCAGCTAAATGTGTAAAGAGCTCACTAACCAGAGGAATGATGTGGTTAAAACATCTGCTTTTATACAAGTTAAAACATTAACCCTGCCCCTCTTCCCCAACAGTCATTTGGCACAATGAACTCATAAAGCACTCAGCAGCTATCAGACAAAGCCAGCAGGTTTGGAAACATGTGCAACATAACCTTCATCAGACAACTGAGCGCTGAAGTCACATTAACATTTTACAGCCAGAGAAGTGCAGCGTGCATCATTAGGAAGCAGCAAGTAAAAGAAATCCAGCTATAGCTGATAAAATACATCTAGTTACGAGTTGTGATCTCATCAGGGTATAAAATACAATATATATGGGTTTTAATCCATCATCTGGAACGTTTGGGTCCGCTTTAGGTGGTCAGGAGTGTTTCTGCAGACTAATACCTGGGAATAAAACAAAGACAGATCAGAATCTGAACAAGATTCACTTCTTTGTTTTTCGTCACTTAAGTTATATTTCTTTAACATACCAATTTTATTTATATGGCACATTTAAAAAAACAGCATGGGAGCTGACCAAAGCAACTCCAAACATAAAAACAGACGCATAAAAATGCCAATAAAAGAGTCAGTCAGTAAAAGCAGATTAAAGCAGCAATCAAAACAAAATCTTTGTGTGAAGCTCTTGCCTAACCAACATGGAATAGATGGTATTTATTGCTCACTAAAGGGGCATTTCCACCACGTTTCAGAAACTTCAGGGTAAATTCACCAGAACTTCCTAACATGCGTGTGTCTCCGTTTCATCGGGCCGGCTGAGCAGGCAGTTTTCAGGAACTTTCAGAGTACCTGAAGAGGAGTAGGCACACGGAATGGCCCGGCTACTCCACCGGGCCATTCCGGTTAGCTCACGCTGATTGGTTGCAACTCAGATGGCGGCAGTAGTAAAGTTGCTTGTAAAGCAGAATGAAAGCAAAAGAAAATAAGCACCAATCGCGCTGCCTTCAAATCTCCGTTACTGAACTCCCAATGCCAAAAAAATAAAAATAATAAAACAGAAGAATTCTCCCACAACAAAGTAATTCATGGGGTTTTGGTTTCTCACAGAGAATCGTAAAACAGAACTTCTTCTGGTCACTGAACGTCACATTTTACATCACGCAGCTGCTCTCGGCCTCCAAATGGATTAAATTATGCTGGACTTTGACTGAATGAAACCTTTAATTAATGTTACTGTGGATGCTTTTTGGCACTGATCAGTGACATCACTCACTGCCGAAGCAGTCACGTTATGCTGATGTCTGTGCAAAGTCCTGAAAGGTCTGAATTTGTATGGAGACAACAGCTGAGAGGACAGGGACATCACATCTCCTGGTCAGTTTCCCCTCCCCGAATTTCCCCTGAAGTTCAGACAACGGAAACACGGCCTAAAATAAAAGATTGAAACATTAGCGTGACGTGTACCGGTAATAGTTGGGTTTGAAGGGGCCGTTCTTATTCAGACCCAAATACTTAGCCTGCTCATCCGTCAGCTCTGTCAGGTGGGCGTCGAAGGTGGCCAAATGCAAACTGGCAACGTATTCATCTGGAAAATGGTGACATGTGTTAAGGGTGTGCTCATACTCATTAGTAAAATCAACAATCATCAACTTGGATGAGCAGATTTTTAAATAAAATATTAAATTCCAGATTAAACCTCGACACCTGTAATTACAATAGTCTTGTAGTTCTGTTCAACTGGACTCTGTTCTGAATGTGTTAAAAATATGAAGTATTCACATCCTCACCCATCTTTTTGGGCAGCAAGTAAACATCTTGTTTGTAACGTCCCTCAGGAGCGTTGTACAACTCTATCAGGGCCAGGGCCTGGGGAAAAAACAAACAAAAACAACATGCAATATAATCAAAATAATAGAGGGGCGTCTGTAACAGAGACAGAGTTCAGCTGCAATTCAGAACTTAACAACCAGAACACAATAATAGCACATAATAGTGGAAAATGAAAATGTGAAAAGTGAACAGGGACTCCTGTATGCTCTGCTAACCTCTATAGACTTAAGTGAATAAATGTGGTATGGCTTAAGCCACCATGTTACCTGAGTGGTAGCTGTGATGGACAGAACAAAGGTAGGAACGGTGGAGCAGCTGAGGTTCAGCAGACGTCCCTGTGAAACCAGTCCACGTGTTATCAGGAGTAAAACCTAACAAGAGATTTTCCTCACCAACAGAAATAACTAACAGAAGATGCCACGTTTGTAATTGTTTTTGTTTCTGTAGCTTCTACAAATAAAAATAAAATAACTATAACCATGTTATCCAAAGAACTAGACCAAGACTCTTATTAAGAAGAAGAAAGTCAAAACCAAAGTGAATCTCCAGCACAGCATCAGTTTTTATCACTAAAGGAGACACGGACCTCCGCCAGCAGGATAACTCTCTTGCCATCGGGCCAGATGACGTGATCCACCTGAGGGCGGACTCTTTCCCACGTCAGCTCGGGTGTCCGAAGACTCGCCTGGACAAACAGACAACATGGATCATGATGTAAACACGTTTAACGTTGAATCCCAACACAATAAGCTCTAGTTTTACCACATCAATCTCAGTGTTGGAGTGCCCCATGTTGCACACCATTGAACCGTTTTTCATTCGATCCAGCTGGTCCCTGTTCACCACGTTTTTATTCCCTAAAGCAGAACAAAAGGACACAACTTTGATCACCAACCAAAAGCATCGTATGAACAATTCACCCTGAGGAGCAGCCAGTTAGAAAGCATCTATGAAATGTGATGCCAGGACATCAGCAAAGTTTCAAGTCTGATTACCGGTGCATGTGATGACGACGTCAACGTGGCGAATGACTTCATTCAGCTTGACTACCTTAAATCCATCCATGCTGTTGGAAAACCCACAAACACAGAGGAGATGCAGCAGTCTGTTAGGTTTCTGCCGACATACAGATCCATCCAGATGACTGGGAGGACTCAGTGTTGTGTGAGATAAATGTTCTCTCACCAGGCCTGCAGGCCACAGATGGGATCAATCTCTGTAACATAGACTATAGCTCCCAAAGCTTTCAGAGCAGCAGAACAACCTTTACCAACCTGAAACAAAACAAAGTCTAATTCACTGTTTAGTCTGTTTTAAACACCCTAATCAGTGAAAACAACAAGACTGTACTGAGTTTAACTCTTTACCACTATCCAGGCCTGATAACACGATTAAAGGTCTGTCTAAAGCTGCTGTAAGAGTCAAGAGTGAAGAGGCTCGTTAATATCATGAAGTCTCTCACCTCACCATACCCACACACCACCACCTGTTTGCCTCCAAACATCACATCTGTGGTTCGCTTCAGGCTAAAGAGATTTAAAAAGTATATTTAGAACAATTTGTGGAAGTGAAAAAGACTAAAACTGCACCAAGAGTCAGAGACCCGGTTACTGCAGTGGTTTGTGATTAAAACATTTAAATCTGTTTGAAGATGCAGATTTACTGTAGTATACAGGTGCTGGCCAGTAAATTAGAATATCATCAAAAGGTTGAAAATATTTCAGTAATTCCATTCAAAACGTGAAACTTGTACATTATATTCATGCAATGCACACAGACCAATGTATTTCCAATGTTCATTACATTTAAATTTGATATTTATAGGTGACAACTAATGAAAACTCCAAATTTGGTATCTCAAAAAATTAGAATATTCTGAAAAGGCTGAATATAGAAGACACCTGCTGCCACTCTAATCAGCTGATTTACTCAAAACACCTGCAAAGGCCTTTAAAAGGTCCCTCAGTCTTGTTTTGAAGGCACCACAATCATGGGGAAGACTTCTGACTTAACAGCTGTCCAAAAGACAATCATTGACACCTTGCACAAGGAGGGCAAGACACAAAAGGTGATTGCTAAAGAAGCTGGCTGTTCGCAGAGCTCTGTGTCCAAGCACATTAACAGACAGGCGAAGGGACGGAAAAAATGTGGTAGAAAAAAGTGTACAAGCTCTAGGGATAACCGCACCCTGCAGAGAATTGTGACGACAAACCCATTCAAAAATGTGGGGGAGATCCACAAAGAGTGGACTGCAGCTGGAGTCAGCGCTTCAAGAACCACCACGAGGAGACTCATGAAAGACATGGGATTCAGGTGTCGCATTCCGTGTGTCAAGCCACTCTTGAACAAGAAACAGCGCAAGAAGCGTCTCGCCTGGGCCAAGGACAAAAAGGACTGGACTGATGCTGAGTGGTCCAAAGTTATGTTTTCTGATGAAAGCAAGTTCAGCATTTCCTTTGGAAATCAAGGACCCAGAGTCTGGAGGAAGAGCGGAGAAGCACAGAATCCACGTTGCATGAGGTCCAGTGTAAAGTTTCCACCGTCAGTGATGGTGTGGGGTGCCATGTCATCTGCCGGTGTTGGCCCACTCTGTTTCCTGAGGTCCAGGGTCAATGCAGCCGTCTACCAGGAAGTTTTAGAGCACTTCATGCTTCCTGCTGCTGACCAACTTTATGGGGATGCAGACTTCACCTTTCAACAGGACTTGGCACCTGCACACAGTGCCAAAACCACCAGCACCTGGTTCAAGGACCATGGTATCCCTGTCCTTGATTGGCCAGCAAACTCGCCTGACCTTAACCCCATAGAAAATCTATGGGGTATTGTGAAGCGGAGGATGCAATACGCTAGACCCAACAATGCAGAGGAGCTGAAGACGACTATCAGAGCAACCTGGGCTCTCATAACACCTGAGCAGTGCCACAGACTGATCGAGTCCATGCCACGCCGCATTACTGCAGTTATTGAGGCAAAAGGAGCCCCGACTAAGTATTGAGTGCTATACATGCACATTCTTTTCATGTTCATTCTTTTCAGTTGGCCAACATTAGAGAAACAAACATTTTTTCATTGGCCTTTAGAATATTCTAATTTTCTGAGATACCAGATTTGATGTTTTCATTGGTTGTCACCTATAAATATCAAAATTAAACGTAATAAACATCGGAAATACATTGGTCTGTGTGCATTGCATGAATATAATGTACAAGTTTCACGTTTTGAATGGAATTACTGAAATATTTTCAACCTTTTGATGATATTCTAATTTACTGGCCAGCACCTGTATATAACACCTTTGATAGGGAACGGTGATTAACTAAGTTATTAATTATTAATAATTAATAACTAAGAGCGGACAGCTTTTAAAGCACTGACCCGCTCTGAAATGTGCAGACATAGTTAAAGACTAGCAGGCTGTTCGTTGCTGCCATGGTGATATTAACTGACTGTTTCACACCGTATTATGAGAAACGAGCTGTGGACCATCTACTAAAGAAATGTGTGTTTTTGTCTTAAATGCAACAACAGACTTGAGAAATGACACATCAGTGATGAACATTAAAATCATATTCAGTTTTATTCAGAATCGAATGAAACTGCTGCTGGACTACAGCTGAATAATCAGGAGTCAAAAGCCGTGGTTGACTTCTATTCAGAGCTAGAAGTTAGAACAGTCACTCACATGTGGAGCGAAGGCCTAATAACATCTCTGGGCTCAGTTTGTTTAGTCAGGTCACAGTGAGCTTTTATAAAACTTCTTTCTGTGTAAACTTAGTTACAGTAACCTTAAAGTTCAGCTTCACATTCATCACTAAAAGGGAAAAACAACTACTCTTCAGTCACTGAATCCTTGTGTTTATTAGGAAATTATATTTCTGACAGTTTTTGTAAAAATGCAAAAGCAGGTGTAATGCATCTTAATTTTCACTGAAGTTTTCCAATAAACAAAAACAAGGTGTGTCCAGAGCTGATTTCTTCTTTTCATTTTTTTTAAGTTACCCTTAAATGTAACCTGAGTGAATGCTAAATGCAGTTTCCAATGATTCTTTCATCTATTAGGTAGCAGAGTTACTGACATCTAAACCTAATAACTGGTGAGGGGTCTAACACATCGCTGTGGAGGAGTTTTGTCCCTCTGTTCTTTATAAGGTAGCTTTATTTCAGCCACATTGGAGGGTTTTCCAACATGAATGACCCGTTTAAGGTCAAAGGTCAGATAATATCCTTCAGGAATTTAGGTTGAGAGCAGAATTCATGGTTCTATTACAAGTGGTGCTAAAGCAGCCCCAAACCATCACACTGCCACCACCATGTTTTACTCCAGATGGAACAGGACCTGCCGTATGTTGTCACTCAGGCCCTGTCCACACGTAGCCGGGGATCTGCCAAAACGTAGATATTTTTCTTTAACAAGGAGGGCAATTACCCACCATGCCCTGTAACCGGAGGGTTGCTGGTTCGCGTCCCACTCAGTCTGTTGCAGCTGCTGTGTTCATGGGCAAGACACTAACGCTCCTTGCCTGCTGGTGGTGGATGGAGAGACAGGTGGCACCTGTGTACGGCAGCCTCGCTCCTGTCAGTGTGTCCCAAGGCAGCTGTGGCTACATTGTAGTTCATCATCATCAGTGTGTGGACGTGTGTATGAATGGGTGAATAACTCATGTGCTGTAGAGCCGCTTGGGGGGGGGTTAGGATTCTGGAACAAGCAATCTAAATACAGGGCATTTACTGTTTGTTCCCATAGGACCATGTTGGTTTGGAAGGTTTTGTTCCCAGAATAAATGACCTTCTGTTTAAAAACTACATTCTGTATTTAATCGTGTTATTTTTGTCTGATGCTGAAGGGATTCTATGCGGGGGAGAACAAGTTTAACAGCCCTATCTACGAAAGCTACCTGAAACCAAAGTCCACTCACCCATCTAGAATGGATTCCCGGCAGCAGTAAAGGTTGTCAAACTTCTGCTTTGTCACAGAGTCGTTTACATTCATAGCTGGAACACACAGCTTTCCAGCTTTGGAGAGCTGATACAACCTAAAAAAGGAGCCATAAAAGGTGTTTGAATCTAAATATTTCCACAGAATTCATTTATATGTTTAAACCTAAATACCTGTGAACCCCTGTAACACTCTCCTCTACGATCCCCCTGATCTTCTTGAAAACACTCGAGTATTTCTTATACACCCAGTGTGTCAAGTCCCCTCCATCATCAAGGATCTAATAGACGACAGTTATGTTTACAACTCCCAACAAAGAAGCTGTTCCTGCATGAGAAGAGAAACAGATGTTCTACACACCATGTTGGGCTGCCAACCCTCTGTGGTGACACAACGGTCAATACACCACCAGAAGTCATCCTCAGACTCTCCCTTCCAGGCAAACACGGACACACCTGGAGCATCAGAGTTGGACCATAACACGAGTCATTACACAAACAGTCCACGTCTACATGCATGAACATGTCCCTCCGATATCAAAAAGTGCAGAAAAGGCTACATTAGAGTCTCTAACCTGCAAGTGTTGCAGAAAATAAGCTCAGATGTATAAATGTGGTTGATAACTAGTGGTGTGCATCTCTACCTGCCTCACGATTCGATCCGATTCAGATTATCCGCCTAAAGATTCGATTTGAGTCTGAAATGCATCACGATTCTTCACACAAAAATTTTCATTACTTAATAAAAGTAGTAGAATAGTTTTTTATTTCTTTTTTATTTCAATATCCCTGAAAAACAGAACATACATCCATTCACTAGAGTGAGCAACAATTTTTTAAGTGTGCGGCCTATAATTACTTAAATAAAATAATGTTTTCTGTAGAGCAGCTTTAAGATAGAGTACTACTGAACTTAAAAGTAGTAAACAAATACTGTGTTAAGTGATTCTTTCACATCCAGGATCCCAAAACCGAAATTAGCCCAGACATCCGATTTAAATGTAACGGGTGCATCTTTGATTACTGGTAATGTTGGCCCTGTATCCCTGTCCGCCTTTTCTGTTTTAAATTGGCGCTAGGGCAACACAGTGCGCATGTCATTGCAACTCTGCCCCCGGAAGTAGTTGTAAAACCTCAAAACTTTATTGTCCTCGCGCGTCCAGAACATAGACATAGGGAGAAAATCTCATTATGTCACGTTGCTGCACCGATGAAGCATCATGCACGGCTGAATCGCGATGCATCTTAGAATCGATCATTTTCCCACCTCTATTGATAACTCTAGAACAGTTACACAGATTTATTAAAAATAAAAATCCACATGGCAGAACTCTGAAGAAACAATGTAATTGGTTTAAGAGTAAGCACTTGCACTTTTCAATAATCCCAGTTTAAGCACGTTTCAGATAAATTACTAAGACAAATCAAGCACGAAGCCGACAAGGCTGCAAACTCCCATCATCTAACTGCTGGATGAAAGGTTTACCCTGGAGATTTAGCACATACACAGACTGTCACATAGCAACCAGACATCAAACACTCAAGCGGCACTGCCTTTCTCACCAAACAGAACATTTATGTGTTCCAGTGATCTCTGCAGGGTTTAAAATGCTCACGAGTTTAACATTTGAAAATGGTAACCGTGGTTTTGAAAGACCTGCGATGCTCACAGAGCAAAGAAAAAAGGTCAGCTCATTAAAGAGAGAAATGTTTTATTTGTTTTTTAGACACCAGTTCACCATTAATGCTAAAATTGTCCTTTAGCCAGCTCTAATCACCAGTATTTATTAGTATGTGCAGCTGTGACCTCTGCTGCTCACCTCTCTCTGCCAGGGCAGCAGCAACTTCATTCTGCGTTGAATAGATGTTACATGCCGTCCAACGACACTGAGCGCCAAGAGCCACCAGAGTCTCTATTAACACCTGAAAAATCCAGGAAATCAACACATCCCATTTCCATTAGAAACACAGAGCAGGAACTGTCGGGACTTTGCAGCTTATTATTAAAAAAAGTAAATCTTACAGCAGTCTGAGCGGTTATGTGAGTGCAGCCCACAATTTTGGCACCAGCCAAAGGTTTCTCACTGTGTGCTCTCTTCCTGAGCGAGACCAGCGCTGACATATCTGAGAAAAGTGGCAAAGCATGAGTGGGGGAGAGCAGCACAGATGATACAGAAAAACTCATCAAGTAAATCAAAAAGAGGCAGCTGCTGCTAGCCAGTGATGAGCCAAGACAATAGTTGCATTTAAATGGGGTCATATGTTGTAATATGTCTTTAGGTTTTTATTTGTTGAACATTCAGCTAAAAAGTTGATTCTTCTTCTTCTTTACCTTGTTCTGCTATCTCGATCTCTCTCCTGCCAAACTCAGCCTGTTTGATGTTTTTGACGCAGAAGTCACTGCTGCCCTTGGAGTTGAGCTGGGACTTATCCCGCGGCGAGGTCTCATCATCAGAGCTATCTGTATAGGACGCCGCTACAATGATAGATTATGCTCGGCATAAAACTAAAACCAAATGACTGAATTCCTCATCAGTTCATAATCTGACCGTCTCTTCCTTCACAATGAAACAAGAACAGTAACGCGGATCGTCTGTCTCTTACCGGAGCTATAGCTGTCAGTGGAGGACTGGGAGATGGAGCGGGACAGAGACCGACGGCCTGTCTTGGTGGGGAACCGGCTGAACTCCTGCTTTTCCTCCACAAACTGGATTTGCTAGAAACAAACGGTCACAATGTCAATTGTTCATATTTTAAATGAGACCCAGTGGCATGTCGATGGGGGGGGTGGGGGGATGGGGGGCACCCTAGGTGCCACCGCAAAAACTGAGACAGTAAAACATCTAAAACATATAATCACTAAAAAAATTAAATCTAAAACATAAACAATAAAATACCATATGTAAAATCACATTTGGAAGTTTGTTCTTTTTTTAATCTTGTAGTATTTACAGCATTAAACGGAGCTTGGTTCATGTTCCAAAACATTTCTAAAATTCAGATAATGAGACTAACAAAACAACAAACCAGACATTTATTTCTTGTTTATGTTATTTTATTGATATTTCTCATTTTCATATTGACATAAGCACACCCATTTCTGTTTTTAGTAGAAAAATATTTAAATAAATACAAATTAACAAAAAGCTCAAATGCACTGGAAATGACATCTACTTCATCCAAAGTGCACCCTCCTCTATTCTCTAAAAGAATCCTGACTTTACAATGCCAAAGAAAATCTCAATTTATTATAATAAATGTATGAATTTATAAATGATTAATGTCATAGAAAATTATTGATAAAAGTGCACATTGGTTTTGTGCTTTGACTTTATTTTGGTTTATTTTACTCAATTACATTATGAATAATATTTTGTAGTTTTCTAAAAAAAATATATAACATTTTTTCTAAGTTATGAGCCATTTACATGTGCCACCCTTGTCCAAATTTGTGCCCCTACCTAGCCACCCCAAAATAAGTTCTAGACACACCACTGACGAAACCAAAACATAAATTACACAAAAGATTTTACTCAGACAAGGGTTCTAAAGACAGCTGAATTTTTATGTTGTTCTGGGTCAGGAAAGGGGTCAGCATCATTTTAGGCTCGTACAGCATAATGACTGATGTCAAAATGCTGAACCCATCTGGCGCTCACACAAATCATGTTGGGTAAATTTTATCCTCTAATGATTTAGTTTGGATGTCTGAATTAGATCCATATTCAGCAGCATACAACCAAAAACAGATGAGCATGTTATTCAGCCTCTGACAGAAAACAAAATAAATAATCTACAATATCTTATACACTGCAAGCTTTTCATATTTCTGTTTCACACAAAAGGAATACAGACTTTCTGGAGGAGGACCATAGTGTTTGTTATGTGTATTTTAACATTGATCTAGTCAGCTCTTTTAAGCCACAGCAATGACTGGAATTGTTGTGATGACACAGATTTTCCAGACGTGAGAGGCAACAGAGACAAATATTACAATCTGACCTGGAGTTTTAGTTTTCCCAGGTCCAGAGATGTAAATAGGACAACCTCAAATAACACAAACCTGGAGGAGTTCTGACATATTGTGGAACAGTTCATGCTAATAACAGTTAGCTTCTACTAGCTGAGATGTTCTCTGCTGTTTCCTAGACATGAAAACAGAAACAGCCTTCCCCGTCGCGAGTTAAGATAGTGTCCCTGAACGTATATGGGCCATTCCCATCTGTACCGGGTCGGCCCGGGCTGGGTAGCCCCAGTCGGCCCCAGCCTGGCCCGGTTGATTCCACACATCCTTGTCTTAAGCCCATGTGGGCTGATTCTACCCACCAATCAGAGGCTTGCTCTAATGGAAGGTGTGAATTTGCTGTCAGCAGTGGGTGTGTTGGCCCTGGTCGGCCTGAAGAAGACCCCCTCGAGAAGAGGGCTGAGAATGGAAAAATACCAGGCCACCCAGATATGTAAACAACCTATGCTACCCAGTCCAGGCCGACCCGGTACAGATGGGAATGGCCCATAAGTGACAGTGTGAAGTAGATCTGAATCCTAGAGTCTCACTGTTTATTTTCTGTCAGAAGCTAATAGGGTCGGGATGTAAGAAAATATCAATATGGCAATGTATCGTTTTGTTTTATCCAGCAATATCACACTGATATTCAAAAGTCATGTATCTAATTTGTGGAAGAATTCACATGCAAACATTTCTGTATTTTCTTTTCCTTTGGTGCAATTCAAACACCGACCGCTAGTTGGCAGTGTACAATGGGTTTTGTTTCCACCATTGAAATGTAAATCCCCTTATATGGTTCAGATACCTCATGTTAAACATGTTAAGTATCAGTTTGGACTGTTTATTGAATTTTCGTATAATAAATTCGGTCTAAAAAAATCGCTAATATCGTCTGACTGAGTGTATCGCCATATATTGTGATATATTGTATCATCTCCCCTGTATTGTGATATGTATCGTATCCCCATAATTTCACTAATACACATCCCTAGAAGCTAACGCAGGCGATACGTGTAGAAGGCTTTTTTCATGTTTAGCCAGCATTGAAATCTCACAGTGACCAATCATTTTCAAAAGTAATAAGTAACAAATGTTTTTTTTTCCGTGAAAGACCTCTTTAAATATTTATGTTTATTTATTTATTTGGCAGACGCTTTTATCCAAAGCAACTTACAATATAAATTGTAAGTGATTAAACAACAAATACAATTAATTTGTTTTAGGAAAAGTGACATTCAGGTCTGACAAGACATATTAAAGATAATAAATGAATTGTTTAAGGATGACCTAAGTTTACTGATTTTAATACTGCTGTTTTAAACTGTTTTAAACAAACAAGACTCCTTGATTGCAAACCATGAGGAAACGATTCTTATGAAAAAGAATGAGGATGTGAAATTAAAACAAGACAGAAGAGATGGCTAAAAATGTTGTCTCAAGTATGATGAAGCTAAAAAAAAAAAATCCCTAATTCTTCCTTGTTCCTTTAAAGGATTAGGTAACATTTGATCTTTACAAAGCTTTCCAAAGAACAAACATCTCTTTTGTTCTACTTGGGCCCTGTCCACACGTAGCCGGGGATCTGCCAAAACGTAGATATTTTTCTACGTTTTGGACTGTCATCCACAAGAACACGGAGTTTTTTCACACGAAAATGGATCTTTTTAAAAACTCCGGCCAAAGTGAAGATCTGCGTTTTCTCCGTTTTGAGTGTCTGCGTGTGGACAGACAAAACCGGAGTTTTAAGGTCCGCAACGTCACTTTCCGCGACAAAAAAATGCTGACATCACGTGTGCGACCTGTGTTTACACTAGCCGACAGCATGGAAGCCCTCAGAGCTGCGCTCGCTTTATCAATTGTCCAAGCGCTTTTTGCTCGTTTGTTTTTGCAAGCGGAATTACTGCTCCTTGCGGAAGACCACAGACGAAGGACGAGGTTAAGAACGGGGGAAGTACTGCCGCCTACAGGTCTGGCATGTCCTTAACAACGTATTTATCCGGGTTCGTATGGACAGAGTTTCTTTTTTAACGAGGTGGTGTGGATGCAAGTTTTTGGAGGGGCGGATATTCGTTTTTTAAAAAACCCGGCTACGTGTGGACTAGGCCTAAGTTTCTGATATTTTAGTTTGTGGTGAAATACAAGTAGTCCAAAATGAAGAATTGTTGCTGGAATTTAAAGGAGCTATATGTAAGAATTCTACAGTCAAATAATCACAAAACAGTCTACTTTCTCAATCAGATATTAAAGGAAGGTTATATTGAAATAGATGTCTGTCTCAGCCATCTTGGGGGGGGGGGGGGGTTGTCAAGTTGTATGTTTTCAAAAGAAACAAAAGAGTGACGTAGTTACTGTTTACAATCCGTGAGGTTTCCATGTCTCTGGCAAGCTAATGCAGCAGCACTGGCATTTGTTACTCTATAGTTGTTTAAAGAACTGAAGCCAGTAAACAGTAGAAACCAAGATGTTATTTCTTGTACCTCTAAGAAGCCATGGCATCTTTTTGTTTTACTATATCAGCTGAAGCAAACTAAAGGCTAAAGTTGAGCTACCAATGCTAATGGTGAATTAGAAGCAAATAGTCTGCTCCAAAACTATCACAAGCTACTTTTTCAATTACCAACACCTCGATATTACAGTGACAATGTATGAGTGATAGGGCTGAACGATTAATTGCATATGCAATAAAATTGCGATGTGACAAAAGAAGATTTTCTAATAACAAAGGCTGCGATTTGACTGACAAGAGTGGTTAGCACAATGTTAATATACATGGAAAAACCCATAGGGATGCTAATGCTAACATCGCCAATTACATTCTTACAAATTACAAATTAGGAACATGCCAAATTATTACATTTGGAGTCTAATAAAAAGTTTAAACTGCCATCAATCAAATAAGTACAGACAGATATTTTAGTAAAGCCAGAAAACTGTAAGAGACTTCAATTCCTCTTGAGTTTTGGTTAGCAGCTAGCTATGGACGTAACTGAACTATGGACAACACATCAGTAACTCTAAAACACATAAGACATCAATAAATGGGACACACTTCTTTCCTGCAAATAATTTTTCTGTTGATACTAACACCTCTGCTCGTTCAAAGGGTGTGCTCGTGGCTGCAAAGCATTGCACCTTCAAATACAAAATGTTGTCTTTACTTGTGTGTTTATGTAGACAAATACACTTGTTGATATGATATGTAGATACATAAACTTGTTTATATTCAGTACAAGTTACATAGATTTTTTCGCTTACGTTAGTTGAAAAATATGAGAAAATAATTGTGAATTAAATCTAGGGCAGCAGCTATCGAATATTTTTGTAACCGAGTACTCTATCGAATCTTTTATCGATTAATCGAGTACTCTAATAAATTACCCTTTTGTGTTTGCAAACCATTATATCAAATAACATGTTATAAAATATGAAAGACCTCTTAAAATGACCAGTTATTCTTCCAGTTTTATTCAAAATTAGTTTTCAAAACTTAAGCACTTCAACTTTACTTCACTGTAAACAAATGACTGTGCAAAAAATAAGTAAACAATCCAAGAAGATTTTCCCCTCGTGCGAGAATCAAACAGCACCAGAACCGCTCACGATGCATGCGCAAACATGGCTCGCCAGCTGTTTCCCTAATAACACACGTCCGTTTTAATTTCTACACTTTTTTTTCTCACACAATAACAAGGATTGTTGAGAAAGCATGTTTGCCGTGGTTATGTCCAATTATACTGATCACAAAACATTTATTTACTTTCGTTTTCCTCCGCCACTCTCATAAATACCTGTGTCCTCCTGCAGCAATCCCGAGGGACAACAGACATCAATAACAACACAGTAAAAGGTTGCTACCAGACGCACAGTGTGAGCTGAAACTGAGTGCTACAAACAAAAAAGTTGCATAGCGTCCGCAGAATATATAGCGGACCTCCAAGTCCGCTTGAAGAAGTGACATTTACATGTGAATGTTTCCTGGTCAGGTGCTGCAGCATGGAGGATGTGGTGTTGTGGTAGGCTAAATCCATTTTACAGTATTTACACTGGGCTAAGTTTTCCGCCTTACGAAGTGAAAAATGGTCCCATACTTTTGACATTTTCTGTCTTTTTCGCACTCCACCGGGGTCCACGTTGTCCGCCATGGCTTAAGAGAAAGTTAAGTTATATTCGCGACTCGCGTGTGCAGTCCAGTGCAGTGTGTATGTGCGTCACTTATTTCGGTCCATGTGAAACATGACCCCGGGCAATTGCAAAGCCATGAATTAATTAAACGAAGCATCGAGGCAGAGAATTTGACTCGAGGCTTTTTTGTACTCGAATTATTCGAGGTACTCGAGGAATCGTTTCAGCCCTAATTAAATCGCAATTGCAATATTGAAGAAAAAATATCGCAATTAGATTACTTTCCAGAATCATTCAGCCCTAATGAGTGAAGTGAATAAGTTTTTGTGGCATTTTACTTCATCTAATGCAGGTGTGGGGAACCCTGGTCCTCGAGGGCCGGTATCCTGCACGTTTTTGCTCCAACACTTCTGATTCAGTGGTTGATTCACATGTTCAGCAGCTCATCAAGCTCTGCAGAAGCCTGTTAATCACCCGTTGATTGAGATCAGGTGTGTTGAAGCAGGGTTGAAACTAAAATATGCTGGATAGCAGCCCTCGATGGACCAGGGTTCTCCACCCCTGCTTGAATGAATCATTCAGAACTACAGGTCCTTCTCAAAAAATTTGCATACTGTGATAAAGTTCATTATTGTCTGTAATGTACTGATAAACATTAGACTTTCATATATATTAGATTCATTACACACAACTGAAGTAGTTCAAGCCTTTTATTGTTTCTAATATTGATGATTTTGGCATACAGCTCATGAAAACCCCAAATTCCCATCTCAAAAAATTAGCATATCATGAAAAGGTTCTCTAAACGAGCTATTAACCTAATCATCTGAATCAACTAATTAACTATATACCTGCAAAAGATTCCAGAGGCTTTTAAAAACTCCTAGCCTGGTTCATTACTCAAAACCGCAATCATGGGTAAGACTGCCGACCTGACTGCTGTCCAGAAGGCCATCATTGACACCCTCAAGCAAGAGGGTAAGACACAGAAAGAAATTTCTGAACGAATAGGCTGTTCCCAGAGTGCTGTATCAAGGCACCTCAGTGGGAGGTCTGTGGGGAGGAAAAAGTGTGGCAGAAAACGCTGCACAAAGAGAAGAGGTGACCGGACCCTGAGGAAGATTGTGGAGAAGGACCGATTCCAGACCTTGGGGGACCTGCGGAAGCAGTGGACTGAGTCTGGAGTAGAAACATCCAGAGCCACCGTGTACAGGCATGTGCAGGAAATGGGGCATAGGTGCCGCATTCCCCAGGTCAAGCCACTTTTGAACCAGAAACAGCGGCAGAAGCGCCTGACCTGGGTTACAGAGAAGCAGCACTGGACTGTTGCTCAGTGGTCCAAAGTACTTTTTTCGGATGAAAGCAAATTTTGCATGTCATTCGGAAATCAAGGTGCCAGAGTCTGGAGGAAGACTGGGTAGAGGGAAATGCCAAAATGCCTGAAGTCCAATGTCAAGTACCCACAGTCAGTGATGGTCTGGGGTGCCATGTCAGCTGCTGGTGTTGGTCCACTGTGTTTTATCAAGGGCAGGGTCAATGCAGCTAGCTATCAGGAGATTTTGGAGCACTTCATGCTTCCATCTGCTGAAAAGCTTTATGGAGATGAAGATTTCATTTTTCAGCATGACCTGGCATCTGCTCACAGTGCCAAAACCACTGGTAAATGGTTTACTGACCATGGTATTACTGTGCTCAGTTGGCCTGCCAACTCTCCTGACCTGAACCCCAGAGAGAATCTGTGGGATATTGTGAAGAGAAAGTTGAGAGACGCAAGACCCAACACTCTGGATGAGCTTAAGGCCGCTATTGAAGCATCCTGGGCCTCCATAACACCTCAGCAGTGCCACAGGCTGATTGCTTCCATGCCACGCTGCATTGAAGCAGTCATTTCTGCAAAAGGATTCCCGACCAACTATTGAGTGCATAACTGAACATAATTATTTGAAGGTTGACTTTTTTGTATTAGAAATACTTTTCTTTTATTGGTCGGATGAAATATGCTAATTTTATAAGATGAGAATTTTGGGTTTTCATGAGCTGTATGCCAAAATCATCAATATTAGAAACAATAAAAGGCTTGAACTACTTCAGTTGTGTGTAATGAATCTAATATATATGAAAGTCTAATGTTTATCAGTGCATTACAGACAATAATGAAATTTATCACAATATGCAAATTTTTTTAGAAGGACCTGTATAACAGCAAGTCGGGAAACAGCCACACTTACTGTAATGCCGCAGAAAAAGGGTTGCAAGGATTAACCGGTTTGACTTTTAACCTAACGTAAAGACGTCTCCAACACCGCAAATAAAGAAAGAAATTAGCGGACCAAAGTGAAAGTGAAACTGAACGAATGCACTCAGCGGAACCAGCATCAACCTTTTAAATTACATTTAAGTAATATTCATAATAACTGCACTAGTAGGAATTTGGCATCTTAATTCATTAAAGCTGCTTTCCAGAGTTTTCCCCTTTCAGAAATGATGTGTGATTTTTCAGAAATCTGTAAAAGCGATTATCTTATCATGTACTGTGATAAAATGTAAGCGATAAGTCTTTTTTATTTTTATTTTTTGCTACACACACCCTTCCCCACAGAGCTCCTTGCAAAAGGAAACTGAGCGTCGACCACAACTAACCAATAGTGTTAGACTACTGCTTACTTGCTTCAAATTTAAAGAATACCTCAGCTGATGCAGAGTTGATGAACTTTTCAAAAAAAAGTATGTCTCTAAAATATAAATATATGAAAACAACGTGACATGAGAACAATACTCGTAAAACAACGTGTTTTAGCTCTGTTTGTCGGCTACAGAAGCACATTTATAAACAGAAACGCGAAGTTGCCATCTTAAACAGAGCAACAGATTTTTTTGTGTGACATGCTTGTCAGCCACTAGATGGTGCCATCAGATAAGAGAAATACTCCGGAAAGAAACTTTAAGGTGTCTCCGTCGTTCAGTGCTAACCCTGACCAGCTGTCAACAGTTAGACATTTTTGTCTTTTTACAGAAACTCAAAAAAGGCTATTAGGGAAATATAATTAAAAGTGTGGTTCACTGAAAAAAACATTTTTAATGATTATTTCTGATAATCACCCATCTTGACTCACGAAAGAAGGCTGTATGTTTGCGTCCAGGAAACAGCAGAGAACGTCTCAGCTAGTAGAAGCTAACTGTTAGAATTAGCAACTCCACCACACAGCAGAACTCCTCCAGCCTTGAGTTATTTGTAAAACATCAACATTGCAAATCAGTAGTAGAGTGAATTTTTCTAAGCAAGATCTCTGAAAAGGCACAACAGATATTTCAGGGGTTCAAAACCTTTATAGAATGTATTCACGCCCTTTATCAATAATTTATTGAATGTATGTGTGATTTATATATGTTAAGCTGTGAAATCAATTCATGTAAAATAATCATGGTCAGGAAACCATGATTCATTCTCAGACTATAATCGTACCACCAAAATGTATAATCGTTGCAACCCTTCTCACAGCTGGGAATCGAAACTGTGATCATCTTGCAACAATGCAGCCAACTGTCCCACAATGCAGCTCCAGATGTTTTCATTTTTCTTAGCATCCAGAACCAGCCCTTAGGCTGGAGACCCCTTCCTTAAATCATATTAACTTATCTACACATATAACTAGTTATAATGACAAACAACCTGCTGGTGGTATTTCCCTTCCTAATATTCTGTATAAACCAATCTTTTGAAAAATCTTATTTCAAAGTTAGAAAATGTATAGAACACAATGTTTGTCCATTTGTGCTTTGAGGCGTTAATGTAGACCCAGACTGGGTGACATTTTCCATAAATGCCTGTAATAGTACTTTAGAGCTTAATTCTTCAGTCTGTTTGTAGTTTTGAAATGTAAATATGTGTTTTGTCACTCTAAAGAGCACTTTTATAAAAATAAAAAAGGACAACATAGCGATGATGCGCAACAGAAGATGGAGACACAGAAACAAGCAGATGTAATATATATTAAATAAGTGGAGTCAGTCATGGGACAGAGTAGAGGTCCGTTCAGCTGACACCTGCTGTAGTTGGAGAAGTCTCACCTTTTTCACCGGTTTGTGAGTGGGCACGGCGCTGAACACAGGCGACAGCTCTCCAATGTTCATCTCACTGTTTTTGCTTACGGTCATGGCTGAGTATTTTTCCGCCACGTTTTCGCTCTCTTTCACCTCTTTGCTCGCTTGTTTCACCTCCAGCTTCGTCTCACCAGCTGGGTCTGACATGTTCGAGGCGGTTGTGTAACCGTACCTGCACAGAAATACAAGGTAGCAGCCGCACGAGACAAGCTAACGTCCGCTACTAGCGAGCAACTTGGGAGCAGGAAGAGCGGCTTTTAGATAACGCGTACGTAAATAACATCAATACGTAAGAGATAACGATTATCGGACTTTGATTTGGAGCTGATGAATATCTCAGTTGGGTTGCGTAGGCTGTAGTCGCGCCGCTTCCCTGCTCAGCTGTCGCAACCAGGCTGAGCTGAGTAACTTTGTAGGCGGCTACCAACAAACTACTGGGACTGAGCTGCATTCATGGTGCGTGGGAAAACCAACACGTCCTTTTAAAAAACCCTCTCATTTTTCATTTAGATCACTTACTTTCTCATGTATATCACATAAAGGCAAACGCAGTGTCTTCATACCACCCGTACTATAACATTGAGCTTTATTATAAGAAGAAAATCATGTTCGTTTCGAATTATTGATTTTCATTCAATCGTCTTTTCAAACAGGAAGTGACTCCCCAATTCCACAGAACAAAGTGATACATTGAAGTACACCAGCTTTTTGAAAGCAGCCCTCTGCTCATGGCTCCTCTCAAGACGTGGAAAAAGATAAACCAAGCATGCATATCCACTTTCTTCCTTTGTTGAAAAAGGTATTCAGGGTATGTATAGTTCATGGGTGCTGCCACCGTGTTGCATTTTTTAAAACCAGATGGAGCCTGCGTAATCAGTATGTGCAGCTGGTCCCACCAACTTACCCATTCATAATCATGGAGTTTTCACGTTCATTGTCGTCAGAAATTACATGAGGAAGGGCACTCCTGCTGCTGTTATGCTGGGTCTTATTTCCATTGGAAATTGTAGTTCATGTCTGGGAATGCTGACTGACACAACTTCACAGTGTTGAACATGCAAGCTGGGAAATCAGTAGAATTTGCTAGACGTTGGGCCCAGTGACCAAGATCATTAGTTTTAGCAATGCAAGCAACGATAATAAATGTACTGAAACACAGTAGCAACGTGTTTAGTAAGTGGAAAGGACACAAACCTACTTATTTTGAAATAAAAAGGTTTATTGCAGCTATCACAACATTTCACATATGTTGCAGTCAAACTGGTATTTGTGATGGTGTTCATCTGGAATCTTCATAATTTTTAGTCAAAATTCAGTCTTGAGAAGTGTTACCACAGAAGAGGATCAAGGCCACTGAAAAGAAAATGAGTATTCTGACTTTTTGCTCATAATTTTGACTGTTTTTTTTTTTTTTTTTTTTTTGCTGAGATTTAAAGTCAGAATTCTTAAAAAAATGTAATTCTTAAGACTTCCCTCTCCCCAGCCACTTGAGCAGCTCTTCCGGAGGAACCCAAATGCATTCCCTGGCCAGGTGAGAGGCATAATCCCTCCAACGTGTCCCAGGCCTCCCTTTAGGTTTTCTCTCGGTTGGATGTGCCCGGAAAACCTCACCAGGGAGGCTTCCAGGGCCGCATCAACTGACTCCACTCGATGTGGAGGAGCAGCAGATCTACTCCGTGTTGTTTACTTACATTAAAAATAATAATGAAACCTGTCATGCAGGCCTGCAGCACATTCCAAAAGAAAGTTAGAACATTTACTTTGGAATGTTGCCCAATGTTCACAATGCTTAGAAGACTGTTTTATTAAAGATACCAGGTGACAATGTTTATCATTGAAAGGGCATCAGTCATCACTGTCTGTCACTTGTGCCCATAGTTGAAAGAATAGGACTTGAAACAGGCTGATCCAGTGGTTAAACCTTTTTCTACTGCTTCAGTGCCTTTTCTAAGATAAGCAAACTGTGCTTTATGCTGTTTAGGTAAAAATAGACTGACTTCGTTGGGAAAAGATGTCTATCTCATTTGTTTTTCTAAATTCTTAAATGTGCTTTTCTGGTTAAAATGCTGTTATTATTTTTCCAAGAACATTGACATGCTCATAAATCTTTACATATCGTGACTTTGGGACATGGGTGACTTGTGCTCAGAAGATCTGTTATCTGTCAGTGAAGTAATACATTTGTAGTGATAATATCACACCAAACCACTTTACACTGGCTTCCGGTAATTTTCAGTATACAGTTAATATTTATAATGCTACTTTTACAGAATAGTTTAATAGTGCGGCATAACTTTGAACTTTTAAACGTTAAAGCAATAATAATAACAGTAATAATAATAATATCTTGAGGATTTTCAGATTCTAAATTTAAAAAAATGAGGGGCCATAATTTTTATTTGGTGGTATTTGGTTAATCATATCTTCTTTTCACATTGGTATTTAATGTCTATATCTAATTCACACTTATTGCTAAGTTGCAGTTTCTATAATATGATGTTGTTTTGATTTATAACGAACTGTAAATATTGACTTTATTAATGATAATCGAATTTAGGTTGAGTTCTTTCTAAAACGTTTAGAAAACAGCGTCACTAATTTCCTCATGTGGCCATATATGGTATTGTAGCTCACCTCATTTGGCGTTTGAAACAAATCTTTCAAGAGTCAGTAAAATGCCCAACGTGTATTATCGAGTCATCTCGATGACTGAAATGATGAAAGGTATTCAAAAAAGGTATTTAGAGTAGGAGCCAAACCTTTAGAGCAGGAAACATCCCGCCTTGCCCGCTCCCTGCAACTTCCGGGTGAATATATCCGCAGACCAGCGTCTGTTCCGTCACTCCATTTTCCCTCGACCAACCGAGGAGCTCTAACGTGTGGGAGAAGCGTTTTTGCTCAGAGCTGTAACTTCAATCAAAAAACGGTACTGCTTGTTTTAATACATTCATTGTTTATGATATGGAGCTTACTTAGAAGAAACAAATTTCGGGGCGCGTGTTTTTTTTAACTACGTGCACATGGTTTCATTGTTCGGGTTGATTTAGAGCGCCTCTAGCCGAGAGTAGGCCGCGGAAAGACGGCAGCCATCTTATTTTTACAGCTATTAGCGCCGACATTTACTCTGCCGAGTTTTTCTCTAAATGTTTGTATATATTGATTTGTTTGTTTCGGTTCATTGGAAACTAAAGCGAGTTTGGTTTCATTGGTAACGCCTAATTCATGATTTGGTTTCCGTGCTTGCTAATGTTAGCACTTATCGCTAACGGAAACTAGGTCATGTATTCTTGTTCAGCCTGGGGTTGAATTTATTTATTTCTAATAAGATATTAAAATGTTTTATCGGGTCACAGAACACTTTTGTACATGCATCTAGATTAAAGGCCTGTCTTTTATCACATTACTGTGTTTACATGGGCTATATTTTTACCATCCTAGTACGATTTTCTTCATTTAAAACATCCTAGTATGATTTTCTTCATTTAAAACTATCTAACATATCATTCCTAATTTGTGCAACAGGAAGAGAAACAATGCGGTTTTCGCCTAACGGATCTAACTGCTTCCCATTTTTCTCTTTGCTGTTGATCTCAGCTCCAGTCATGCATCGAGACTGTCCCCTAGACTGTAAAGTCTACGTTGGAAATTTGGGCAACAATGGAAACAAGACGGAGCTAGAGAGAGCTTTTGGCTACTACGGCCCCCTCCGCAGTGTCTGGGTGGCCAGGAACCCCCCAGGTTTTGCCTTTGTGGAGTTTGAAGACCCTCGAGATGCAACTGATGCAGTTCGAGAGCTTGATGGAAGGTGAGTGTAGATTTATATTTTGCTGTAAACGCAGAGGGCATCTGAATTAGTTCTGCAGGAGCTAACGACCTCTGCCCTTTGTGATTGGCCACCAGGTCACTTTGTGGTTGCCGAGTTCGAGTGGAGCTGTCCAATGGAGAAAAACGTAACCGTAGCCGTGGAGCTCCCCCTTCGTGGGGCAGGCGTATTCGAGACCGAGATGACTATCGACGTCGTAGCCCGCCTCCCCGACGAAGGTGACCTAAGTGTATTTGATAACAGACAATAGAGATAAATTGTATTTTTAACATTCTTGCTGATTTACTCATCCATCTCTTTCCTGCTGATAACATTGGTGACTGTTGGTCTATCAAAGCCTTGCAGTTTCATCCTCATTGGCATTAGTCATTTAGTACAACCAGCCAAACAGGTATTTGATCCAATTACAGAATTATGCCTTTTAGACAGGACATTGTTTTTGACAATGTAGCCTCTATGTTGAAAGCTGCTTAAGTGTCACGCAAAATGTGACTTTTGCTTCAGACATAAATACTTCTTTGAAGTGTGTACTGTTGTGTGCTTAAAATGTTAAGACTTAAGGTGGCAAAATAGGGCTGTGAATCAGGTTTAGGCAGAAAAGAAAGGGCTTTATTCATAAAAATATGACTTGTTTAAAGATTTTGGTGGATGAAAGTGCCAAATGTGTTGTGAAAAATTCCTTTTTTTTGTTTGAGGATGCTTTATACTTTTTATCTATATTAATAAGAATGAAACCCGTTGCAGAGCCACCACCATGCCTCTTCTCACCACCCTCTGAGTCAGTCAACTAGTCTTCTTTCAGCATCATGTGACTGCTGACCATCGGGCCCCAATCAGCTTGGCTTGTGCTGTCACATGACCCAGGCATGGCCAGTCGTCAGGTTGCACCAGCCCATTGGTTCCTCAGCATGCCGTTCTCAACCTCCTTCTCCTTCAACCTTTAACCAAACGGCAGCGGCCCACATCACATTCCCGACCAATCAGCGTATTATGTTCCCAAAAGTCTACAACCTACCGGCAGCAGCCTTCGGCTTACCAATTAAAGCAGGAATAAAGCCACAACCAGCCCCCATCTGCCTGCCATCTAATCACCTTGCAGCATCCGGCCAGTCCCATTCAGCCAATTCTACCTACCCGGCCGACAGTCTGCCTCCCTTTCGTCATATCTAGCTTGTTGAAATCCAAAAATACTAGTAAGTTTTCCTGCTTCATTCAGTACACTGCAGATTACAGTTTTAACACTGAAGAAACAGCTGGTTTGAAAAGGTTATTTCTTTATCTCATTTATTGGTTTGTCGTTTTATTATCCACTATTTTTCAAACAGGAATGATTTTATATCAAATATCTGGAACGTCATGTTTCCAGAGGTTTTGATATGATAGCTAATGTTCTTTTACTTGATACACACACCATCCAAAACTCAAGCCTTTCTATGACTCAGTCTATGATTGTGGTGTTGGCGGCGACATTTTAACCTGGTTTTTTCTCAATTTATTTCCTGTGACATATACATCTTTACTAGCCTCCATTTTTGTTTAGGTATTTCTTTTGAAGTGAACCAGTTTCATACAGATGGTGGCCCCTGTACGTTCTTATTTTTCACACACGGGCCAGTCCACAGTACAGTGTTTGCTCTTCTGAGAGCCCAAACCCTCTTAAATTATTAATGGGATTCATTAGACAGTACTTATTACAATTACAAAAGTTACTCATTGTACTGTGGGATAGGTGAAAGGAGATTACTTGACACCTGCCATCTTTATGTGCTAGGTTTACTGCCAGTGGCTATTTTCTGATACATTTTTCTGAGAGGGTGAAAACATTTACTGCTCTTAAATTAGTAAAATAATAGTGGGCTGTGCTGCGAGTCCAGTATGAGATCTACAGGTCGATGGCAGCATTTGTTTGGGGTTATAACACTTTGATTTTCCTTGTGCAGATCTCCTCGCAGGCGGAGCTTGAGCCGCAGCCGAAGCAGGTATGTGAACTTTAAAGGGCCGGTCTTGTTCATGCAGGAAAAGTCATGTTGTCACCAACATGATGGTGAAACACTGGTCTGGGTGCTGAACTGTTTATTTAACCTACTAAATCGGAGCTTTATTTATTTTCAGGTCTTTGTCTAGAGAAAGGAGGAGAGAGAGGTCCCTCTCCCGGGACAGGAACCACAAGCCCTCCAGGTCCTTCTCCCGATCAAGGAGGTACTGAGAGCTTTAGTTTATGTCTCAAGTAAAACAAATGTCTAGTTTGTGAGAGCTAGAAATGGTTCAGTCTTAAAACCTGATTTTCTCGTGTTTCTATAGAGTATTCCATAAAGCATCATGTTTTTAAAAGCTTTACCTAATGGACATCTTGTCTTTGCCCACAGCCGTTCCAGGTCTAATGACCGAAGATAAAAGAATCCATTAGGTGTAAAGGGAGCTGAAGATGGAACGTTTGTACAGGCTCATCCATTGTTGAGGTGGTTGTCAGCATGACCATGTGATAGTCATTTGTTTTTTTAACAATCATTTTAGTGTCCCTCCTTTTCTTTAGAGTTGCTTTCAGATGCATTGACTGGGTGTGTACATCACCAGTCTGTCATGCCCTGCATTCCAGCGTTAACCTCCTTAAGCTTCAATTTTTCACCAGTTAAATGTTTCTGTGGTTTGACAATGTGGATTGTCTTTTTCACTGTAAGTGCAAACATTTTGTTTTCATAAAGATTTGGAGATGCTCAATTATCCCTTTTTGTGTGAAGCCCACCTGTTTTCAACTTGTTGTATCATTTTGTTGTCCAAGAAGCAAAACTATGACGTTTATTCAGAAGTGTAGTCAACACAAGTCAGATAGTTGACTATTAAGTTTTACATCATTGTGTGTTTTTTTTTCATATGATATAAACTAGTCTCAAATAAAAATCTGGTTTTGTCAAGAATGTAATGTGAATTTATTTCCCCCCAAATAGTTTTTGGTTTTAGTTTAAAGTTTTGTCCACAAGAGGGCATCAGCTCAGTGTCTCAGAAACAAAGATGCCTCATTCCGCCCCAGTGGTGTCTGGAAAATGGTTTTTGGGGTGGCCAGGTGAGGGCACAAATTAAAATTATATTTTTTTTACAGAATTGAAAAAAGTAAATCATTTAAATGGCTAATTGGCATCTTTCCATGAGTAAAGGCATACATTTATAATAACATTGGGACTTTTACAGAAAAGAAATGAGGGTGCACTTTAAAGGTAGTAGATGTCCTTTCCAGGCTAACTCTTTAATTCGACTTAACTTTCAGTTAAATGGTCATCAAAATAAAGCCTGGTTTGTTTGAATCCAGTGGTCTCATCTGAATTTCAGCAATGTTTTGGAGCATGAACCCTTTATTGGTGAGGACACTGAAACATTAAATCTTCCAACAAAAGTTTTGAGATGTTACATTTATATTTGCTGAGGGCTGGATTAGGATTTAATGATCGCATATTGATACCCTTGTACTAGAGCATCTAACTGCATTAAGAACCTTCCACTAACCTGTCCTATGGTGGCATCTGTTATCTCCTTTTGTCCATTGTCTCTAGAGAGAAGCAGATACGACAAGAACAATACACCTTAGAAATACAATGAAGCACTAGAGCTGACTGATAAATATTACAGCTTTATTCAACCCAGTTTTGCCAAACACATTAATGTAAATTGTCACATAGCGTAAACATTTACAATTATGGGTCAAGTTGGTTTTTCTGCTGTATGAAATTATACTTTGCAGATACGACCATCAAATCATGGACTGCTGGCACAAAGCTAGAATCTAGTTGACCCTTAACAAATTTTTTAATAAAAACGTACTGTATGTATACAGTATGTGCTACAGTTCATACATGTGCAAAAACACCCAAATCATTCACTGAGTAGATCAGACGTATTAAAGCAGACAATCGTAAAACATGCAGGGTAAGAACTTCATCTACTGTATATAAATATTTCTAAACTACGAGTGTAAACAGGAGAAGCTATTCTTTACATGGCTTTATAAAGTACTCAGCATAAATGAGTACACCCCATTACATTTGTCAAAAAGCCTTAAGTTTCCTTTCAGAATCAACCTTTTCTATAGGATACCATACTCAAAAATATTCCTACATATGTGGGACATTGATTGCAATCAAGATTTGTTCATTTGCACACAAAAATGTTTTTTCCTAACAAATCCATTCAAGGTCATGTTGCAAAAACGAGTACACCCCAAATATAGTCTTAGGAGAAAAGCCACACTTAAAATTCCAAAATTTGAATTAACAGGCATTCAACCACAGGTGAGTCTATTGATTCATTTAAGAGGTGTCCAGCAGACAGGTGACTATAAAAGGGCGTTACTTAACAAAGAAAAGCCCCTCCCATTTCATGCTGTTAGCAATGTCTCTACATGGAAGAGAAACTTCTCAAAATCTGAGAAAGGAAATCACTTCTACAGGTGAGGGCTACAAGATCAGCAAAGCTTTACATGTCAGTCAGAATGTAGCATAAGTGATCAAAAAATGTAAGAAAGATGGAAGTGCAACCATCTTACAGAGACGTCCACGGTAGTTAACATCTTGACAGGATCATCTTCTGATAAGGAGGGTTTAGAAAAATCACCATGCAAGTTCACTGCAGTTAGCTAAAGCAGTAGAAAGCCAAACTGGAGTGACCGTTTCCCATTACACCATACTGCACACATGGCACAGGACTGGCATGCGTGGGTATCGTTCACGAGAAAGCCTCTCCTAAAGCCCATGCGCAAAAAGCCCGCCTAGGATTTTCTAGGGCCCATGCTGAAAGAGATGAAGACTACTGGGACTCTGTACTTTGGAGTGAGGAGACAAAGATCACTGTTTGTGGAACTAATGGTTTCAATACTGTATGGCGTCGTAAAGGTGAGGATTTCAAAGAGAAATGCATGGCGCCTACAGTGAAACACGGTGGTGGCGGTGTCCTTATGTGGGGCTGCATGAGTGCTTGAAATCAACAACGTACTGCTCTATACTGTAGGAGAAGATGCGGCCATCACTCCGTGCTCTTGGTCGTCGTATGCTTTTCCAACACAATGATCCAAAACACACATCTGAAGCTACTGTTGCATTTCTGAAGAAGAACAGGATGAAGGTGATTGAATGATCACGTCTGTCTCTTGATCTGAACCCAGTCGATCACCTGTGGGGATATCTGAAGCAGCAAGTTGAGCATCACTCTCCATCCAGCATCCAGCCTCTAAAAGATATGATTCTGTAAGAATGGAAGAAGATAGATGTTGCAATATGTCGCCAACTTGTTCATTCCATGCCTAGAAGACTTGGTGCTGTCCTTGAAAATCACAGTGGTCATACAAAACACTAGATGTAGTGGTTTTTGTTGCAGGGTGTATTCATTTTTTCTTCAACCAGTTTTAGTAAAACTGAAGATTTTGTGTGTGTAAAGTTATATTATTAATCTTAATTTCATGTTTCATGGAGTTAAACAAGTGTTCAATAAAACCCAGCGTTGTGAAAATTCTGTTCTTCATTGAGCTGCTAATTACATTTGTACTTTTTAAGAAGGATGTACTTACTTATGCTGAGCACTGTACATACTCAACACATTACACACTGTGAAGATGATGAAACTTGTATTTTTAACAAAGTAACTTTATTACTGCTGCAGATTAATTATTAAGATAGTGTTAATGCTAATATTACATACTGAGTTAAGCACCAACTAGACCTTCAATGGACAATGGAGGAAAGATAAAAGCCATATGACATTAAGCATATAATGAAGTAATTTAGGTTCTTTCAAAACTTCAACACTCTAGCTTCTTTGCAATTGAAATACGAGGTTACTCAGCTGTTCAGTTGTTGCAGCTTTTTGTAGAAAACAGCTGATGTTTAGTCCCAAACACACTGGATACAGCAGTAACTATATAAACTAACAGAATATAGCTATGCTGTGCTGCTGATGCCAAGTCCACATCAGCACCAACATAACAAAAGACTCACTGTGGTCTGAGAGCAGCCAGGCCATGGTGAACTACAGTTCACTGTTGTGCTGGAAACTGCTGAAGGGCAGTGAGATGGTGCCTGGCAGGTGACTCATACTGGAATAAACACAAAATGACTTCAACAGCAAAAGTGGGTGGAGAGAAACTTTTTGGGTGCAATATGTAATTATTAAAATGTTCTCTGGGTTTGGATGCCTGGAACAGACTAGTCAGGGCCCCTTAACGTGGCAGGATTCCCCTGAGCTCAGAGCTACAGGTGGATTCACTGGAGTTGTTAGTCTCACCTGTTATTCACTGTTCAGATCACAAGTCACTCATCTTATCAGGACTTATATGTGTAATAATCTAAAACACTTAAAGAGACAATGTGTAGTTTTTACTGTTAATCTCTGGAAATATCCATCTAATTGTTGAAAATGAATTAAAGGATGCCTAGTTCTTGAAAATATTGGCGGCTTTGAAACATATAACCATAAAAATCAGGTCTAAAATACACAGGACCGGGTGTAAGGCTTGGTTTATGCTTGACGCGTTCGCGAGGTCCGCGCGGCGAAATTGCATCATTTTAACAACCACGCCCCTCCACCGCGCCTCCGCACGGCCCAAACTTTACACATCGCGCACCTAGGAAATTTTCTAACCACGCAGACGGTCGGATGTGGAAAAACATGGCGGACTGGCAAGAACTAGTATGGCAGAGGTTCGTAAATACAGACAATTGTATGATTCAGCTCTCAAAGATCACCATGATCAACATGTTGTTAATAATTCTTGGAGAGAAATAGCTCGCACTGTCGGAAAAGATGAGGACGCTGTTAAAAATGCTGGAATGTCGTGTTGTGAACAACAGTAATTTTTACTTCTACTATGGTGTAGTGTTGGATGCATGCCGTAGAGCTCCATGCTGCCCCCTACAGTTTGGGAGAATATTGGCTCACCACAGAGACCGCATGAACCATAAACGCTGCAAGTTGTGAAGCGCGTTCCAAGCGGAAAGTAAATGTGTCAAGCATAAACCAAGCTTTAGTCTCTGGGCGATGCCATATTATATATCATGTTTCCTTCTACGGCAGCCGGTGAGGACTAAATGCATTCACTGAGTTTTAACAAACAGTTACAAATTTTTCACCATTCACAAACATCGCTGATTTACACATTTACCTCTTCACTCGTCAGTGATGAAAGGGATTTGCTTGTTATTTTGCTGGAAGTTGAACGATCTGATGAAGTAAACATTTTAAAAAAATGTGCTCCCAGTGATTTTTGACCCTAATGGCCATCCGTTGTTAAGGCCTCACTCAAACACAAAAATGCTGCTCCCCCATCGCTAGGGAAAATACAAATTGTCACTTTAAATAGGCTCTTCAGCTGATCCTGGTTTGTTCAAAACACCACTTAAAGAGATTTTTCAGCCATTTAAAAGTTTTCTGTATAAAAGCTATTACCACCTGAACAGCCTCACCTCGTAGAAACAGTTTACATCCTGCTGTAAGCGCTAGTCCAAAGAAAAGTGTTAAAACATCTCTAACATCCAAGGTTTCATAGCAGCTCATTTTAATGTTATTTTATATGTTTTAACATTGGCGTCAGTTTTGCTTTACAGTCATTTGTATAGAACATTATGGTTATTTACAAAATAGCATAGTGTGTATTTCTGATGCATCCAGGAATATGAGGTCAAGTCAGGCAGGAATGTCTTAAAGAGACAAAGTGTAGTTTTTACCGCTATTCCCTGGAAATATCCATCAAACTGCTGTTGAAAATGAATTAAATGATGCCCAGTTGTTGAAAAATACTGGCAGCAAAACTTTTGCCATTCATAAACATAGTTGTTTTTCACATTTAGATATGTACTGCCCCCTATCGCCATGGAAAAAACACGCCGTCACTTTAATGGTTCTGTGAACAAAGCTGTGTCATGTGAAAGTGATGGTGGTGTTCAGGAAAAAAGTAATTATTCATGATTAATGATGAAGTTTTACACAGAAGCTCATTCAAACGACTAAAATCTCTTTAGTAAAAATAAATATGCTTACTTGTCCTTCCTGGTGTGTTTGTTGTGTTTATTTTTGACACAATTTTAATACATGTTTAGTTTGTTTACACCAGCTGCAACTGTACAAAGGTTCAGAATATACTTTTTTTAAAGAATGGGGTTTTTTTGTTGTAAACTTTATCAATTAAAGTTTTTTCCAGGCTTCAGAAAAGTGAGCAATAGGTGGACAATAAAGACATTTTGACCTAAAATCATCAGATTAACAGACTATGAAAGTAATGTCTTCAAGAAACTGGGAGAGTGTGTGCGTGCATTTGTGTGCGTGTGTGTGTGTCTGTCTCCAGGATACTGCTGCACTCAGTCATGTGCACTGAGAGGAGGTGGGGCAGCACCTCTAGGACCAGACGTCCTGGCCTGAAATTCCCTCCAGTACCTTGCCAAAGCTTCACGTGTGCTTGTGTGTTTTTGGGACAAATTCCACGTGCGTGGGACAGATAGCTCCACCTCTGTTTGAGAGGAGGAGGGTGTCTCCTCCCACCAGTTTAAGTCAGTGGAGTCTCTGTCCATGGCTTTGAGAACACTTGTAGATTTCTCCGAGACTCACTAATACTCTTTATCCTATGGATCTGTGGAGGCTTTAGGATCAGTTACCTCATTCTCAAACTTTGCCTTACATCACACTGAAACTTGGAGACAAGCAGCGAGGAGGTGGAAAAGCTGACTCAGTAGACAACAGCTTTAAAAGAGAGGAGATTTAGAAGCGAACTGCACCTGATTTGGCTCAACATGTAAGTAAAACACATTAAAGATGTTATTTTATATGTAAGAAGTTAGTAGTTGTTAAATTTAAAAGAGCTTCTAAGCATCTGAGTAAGATTTATGATTTCACAACCTTTAAAACTCAACACACACACACACACACACATATATATATATATATATATATATATATATATATATATACACTTTTGTAGCTCATTAATAATTGTATTCTAAACATTTGAAGAACAAAAACGTTTTTACAGGACTAATGTGTTCCTAGAGGTGTGAAAAGTTGACATAAATGGATCTTTGCGATCTCATTTTTGCACATCCAGGAAATCCATAAACTCTTGTTTGGTGGTTTTAGTTTTTTTTACATGTCTGTGTGTGTGTGTGTGTGTGTGTGTGTGTGTGTGTGTGTGTGTGAGAGAGAGAGAGAGAGAGAGAGAGAGAGAGAGTGGGTGAGTCCAAACTGTGACATCCCAGTTTGACACGAGTTCCAGACTCACGTGGAGCAGAGTTGTAGCTGAACTGGGCTGGGTCCAACTCAGTCATGCATGACTAGCTCTCCCGCCAAAGCTTGAGTCACTCCTCCCAGAACCACCCTGCCCAGTAAAAGAAACGCCCTCCCCCTTCCTCTGTGGGACCAGGGCAGCACAGGGATCCAGCAGGGATCCCTCAAACCCTTTTATTAACCTAATGATCCACCCACAATTGGGGAGCTTTATTCTGAGCCCTGTGCTGTGGGTGGGAGCGTTGAACACTGCATACATAGTCTTAGTGGTCATTAGATGTGTCCAACAAACCCATTTTTTAGTAAACTCTGATACAGACTGTAGTCAACTGACTTTACTACGTAGATAATTTTGATCAAAATGCAAAGGGCCCTTCTTTTTCTCATGAACAAACCAAACTGAACTCCATGATAGGAGCCAGATCAAGCTAAAATAGAGACATATTTCACTCTCATATTTTATGAATCAGAAAAAAGGGTTTGTGCTTGTGTTTGTATGAAAATAAAAATCAGAATCATATCAGATTATAACAGATGACTTGTTTCATTGATACATTTTTATTTATAACACTAATCAGTATTTTACTGAAACGCATCTTCACGTCAAATTGAAGCAGATTTTTCCAGATTCCGTTTGCAGATAACTGGAACAGCTTCTGTAAAATAAGCTCGTGTCCTCTTAATCACTGATAACGTATTTTATTCATCTCCCAATCTCATCTGCTGCACCGTAACTGGACGGGCAGGGACTGTTTTCCTTGAATGCTTCCTTCCTTCTTGGATGGTCTGAATGACCTGTTTCCCAGGTCAGAGTCAGAAAACAGTCACATGTTTCCCTCAGTTTCAACATAAACTGAAGATGAATTATTTCTCTGGTGTTTGCCTCCGAGCTGTCTGTAGTCGGAGTGACAGTGCCACCTTGTGGTTTATCTCTCTTACACCAAACACCACAACAGCAGAGGACTTGCCCTTACATGCCTGTGAGAGATTATGCCCAGGCATGTACCAGAGAGGAGGGCTAGTGACTCACTGCTGCTGCTGCACTGCATTATAAAAGCCCGTCAGCTCACAGAAGCAGTCTAGTTCACTGAGGAGCTGTTAGGCTAGAACCATGGTGAGTCTGACTAAACTTTGTTTAAATCACTGGTTTGAAAATATTAAAAACATTTAGTTTGTGTACTTTTTAGACTGTGGACAAAATAGATTGTGGCTTTTGAAACTAATCAGAGTTTTCCTGTTTTTACCTACAGTGCAGAGGGATGGCTACACTTCACAAGCGAGCCCTCAGTACTCTAAGAAGGAACGGTCCCCCTCGGCGGAGCCTGTTTGGCCCAGTGGACCGAGAACAGCTCCAGATGGAGTACCGGACTGCCCTGCGTAAAGATCTGGAGGAGGCTTCCCAACGCTGGGGGTTCGACTTCTTCTCCGACAAACCTCTGGAGAGCGGTGATTTCCAGTGGGAGATTGTCCCAGGTACCAGGGTGCCACTGCCCTACAGATCCAGCGTCATCTGTGCAGGACATGCAGAGGGTCAAAGGTCAGCAGGTGCAACCAAAAGAGGAAGGGTGGTGGTACCAGAGAGGGAGAAAGAGAACTTCCCCCAAACTCTAGAGAAATGTTCTCTGAGTCTGGAGAACATGGAGACAACATCAGAGACGGAAGACAAATCAGGAATGAAGAGGAAACAGACAAACATTACAGGTATGTTTAGATATTTTTTATATCAAATTAGAAACACTCATCTTTTCTCATAAGCTAAGTATCCTCTTCTTTAACCCAACAGATTTCTATCAGGCTAAAAGAAGAGTTGTCTGGCTGCCGAGGAAATCCGGGGAGTGATATTTCCTTTGAAGGTGCCAAAACTCCCAAGAGAACCAGACAAAGAACCAGCACCTCCTTCAGGAATCAGTTGTTCCACACCGAGCAGCGGGAGTGCTGAATCATCCAACAAAAAAAAACAAAAAAAAGAAGAAAAAAACCCAGAAGGCACCAGGCTAATTAAGATGCTGCATGTGTGAGGGGTCTGGTGTTTTCTGTCCACGCTGCAGTTAAGAAGGTGACATTTGAGCAGAGAAGATTAACAGTAATCTCTGGAATCAGTGGATTTATACTCATTTGGACTGAGAGCTCGCCAAATTGCTGACTGACACTTGTTACGGCGCGTCACACAGCTCTTAACCCTCTCGGTCTCGTTTTGATAAAAGGACGAACAACTAAGTCCTTCAGGGGTGCTTCTGAGTTAAAAAATGCTCATGAGATACTTGTGTGGAGTAACCAGGTAGGTAGGTTTTAACTGTTGCAGATCTGCGATGCCTGCCTCCAGAGGGTTAAAACACAATCACATCTCAGTTTGGTGGGACTTCTGCCTGTTTGAGGATGAAAAGCAGACGTGCGAACAAATATCAGGACTCAGATTAATACGTTTCTGTGGCAAAGCCGCAGGAAAGCTAAAAACAGGAGAGCTTTGTCTATTTTGTTCAAATCTATAATTGTTTTTCTACGTCTTTTTATAGGAGTTTTTTTTAAGTGCATTATATTTTACATCGGGGGTTCCCAATCCTGGCCCTGGAGGGCTGGTATCCAGCAGGTTTTGTGGTTTTTCTGCTCCAACAGACTTGATTCAGTGGTTGAAACGCCTGTGCAGCAGCTCATCAGGCTCTGCAGAAGCCTGTTAATGAGCTGCTGATTGAAATCAGGTGTGTTGAAACAGAATTCAAACTAAAACATGCAGGATACCGGCCCTCCAGGACCAGGATTGGGGACCTCTGCTTTACGTAGTCATCGGAAAACGGCTTATGGAGTTGTGATATATCCTTAAACATGTGGTTGCATTGCTTAGACTATAATCAGCAGAAGTGCCAACTTTTTCCATCTCATCCACTGATTTTTAAAACCGTTTAAACCTCCACAACTGCCCTGCTTAGACTCAGATAATGTAGGTTATATCTGTAGCATCATGTCTCTAAAACATTTGTAGGACACATATGATGTAGTAACAGTTAGGCTTTTGTTTGTTTGTTTGTTTATATTTGTAAGTCAAAAACATTGCAGTGTTGCACATAAATCCGAGGGTGGTGTTTTACATGTCTTTGTGGCACATGTGTTTTTAGTATTTTAAGCTCCATAAAGGACAACTGGGTGAAAGTGTTTTAGTGTACGTAACCACATGCTTTATTGTATTGTATTTGGAAGCAAAGTGCAATTTTACCAGACAAAGGGTATAATTTATTTTATTTTTTATCTCTGTTCCAGCAAATCCTGCTGCTATGGAAAATCTGAATGGTGACACACAAGGTCCTGTAATGTTAATCTCTTACGCATTGAACTTTAAAATGTTCACCAACTTCCACAAACAACAAATGCACTTCTGTTATTAAATGCTCTACATGCAATTTTTGGTAAAAACTTCAAATTAATGTGTTTTATTTATTGATATGTCATAATTTGTGTCAATTTAGTTTATGCTCATTTTAAATTTCAATAAAGTTTAAAACTGGCTGTCTTGTGAATTGTTTTTGTCACTTTTCCAATCATTCCATTTTGCAAGTATTAATTATGAGAAATGTTCATTTTATTTTGAAATGTGAAATAAATTGGTTGCTTTTTTTTAACCAAATAGAGCAGTTCAAAGCTGGGTTAATATAATCATAAAATTTAAACTATAATTCAATTCAATTTTATTTATACAGCGCCAAATCACGACAAAAGTCGTCTCAAGGCACTTCACACAGTAAGCATCCCAATGCAGTTCAGTTCATTAAGCCAATCAGTAAAAGGTTTCCTATATAAGGAACCCAGCAAATTGCATCAAGTCAGTGACTTTACAGCAATCCTCATACTAAGCAAAAATGTAGCGACAGTGGAGAGGAAAACTCCCTTTTAACAGGAAGAAACCTCCAGAGGATCCTGGCTCAGTATAAGCAGCCATCCTCCACGACTCACTGGGGATCGAGAAGACAGAACACACACACACACACACACACACACACACACACACACACACACACACACACACACACACACACACACACACACACACACACACACACACACACACACACACACACACACACACACACACACACACACCAAGCAATGTGTCTATGGTTACATTGTGATTGCTTAGTAAATATTCTATTTGGCGAGAGAAAAACTTTATTGTATTTATCCTAGTGAATCTATAATTAAACGGGTAAACTAGTAGTAGCACATCCAACGTCAAGGAAAGCAAAAAGTTATTATCAGGAGAGAGAGAATGTATTAGTGGTTAGCAGCAGTGTGCTAGACGATGGCCCCCTCCATGAGGCCACCACAGCTCAGCAGAACATCATTGTAGCTTCTTCTGGGGAGAAAAACACTTAGAGGAAAAAAAATTACAAGCTGAAATAACAGGAAATAATAAAGTTAAAGAGCAGATTGTATAAGAAAGTAGTCGAGTGTGAAAAGTGGTCAGTGTATCCTCCAGCAGTCTAAGCCTATAGCAGCATAACTACAGAGATAACTGGATAACCTAGCCTTTTAGAAGTAGGCATGTTGGAGGCAGGGCAAGGGAGAGCCGTCTTTACCGACTGTACACTCCACCTCCCTCTACTCACCCACTTGTCCAGATATGGGCTAACATCAGATTTTAACCATAGGCCCTATCAAATAAAAATGTTTTAAGCCTATTCTTAAAAGTAGACACGATGTCTGCCTCACGGACTAAGGCTGGGAGCTGGTTCCACAGGAGAGGAGCCTGATAACTAAAAGATCAGCCTCCCATCTTAATTTTAGATATTCTGGGATCCAGCATTGAATGCAAACATTTTTACTCCCTCCTTTCCTTTAACACTAAGGTGTTCTGCGGTGTTTTGTGATGGGGTGACGGTGGCACAAGAGTTAAGTGCTCGTAATCAGAAGGTTGCAGTTTCGAGTTCCGCTCAGTCTGTTGCTGTCGTTGTGTTCTTGGGCAAGACACTTAACCCACCTTGCCTGCTGGTGGCGGTCGGAGGGACTGGTGGCGCCTTTGCAGGGCAGGCTCGCCTCTGTCAGTGAGCCCCAGGGCAGCTGTGACTACAATGTAGCTCATCATCACCAGGGTATGAATGAGTGTGTGAATGGGTGTGAATTTATTGAAGCTGCCGTAGTGGCCGACTGCCATCTTGGAAGGGTCTCCACCACCCTCTGTGGCCAGAATGGTAAATGGTCTGTATTTGATATAGCGCCTTCTAGAGTCATGGAACCCCCCAAGGTACTTTCCAACACAATCAGTCATTCACCCTTTCACACACACATTCACACACTGGTGGGGATGAGCTACGATGTAGCCACAGCTGCCCTGGGGCGCACTGACAGAGGCGAGGCTGCCGAGCACTGGCGCCACCGGTTCCTCCGACCACCACCAGCAGGCAACGTGGGTTAAATGTCTTGCCCAAGGACACAATGACAGCGACAGACTGAGCGGGGCTCGAACCTGCAACCTTCCGATTACGGGACAAGCACTGAACTCCTGTGCCACCGTCACCCCCATAATACTGCATTTGCAACTTTAGAGTGCCGATCTGCTCTGTTGGACTTTAAAAAAATGGAGCTGACGGCAGTCTTCTTCCAGCATGTTTCCTGCATGTTTTAGATCATGATTTGTTTAATTTTGTGGTGAATCACTCCTGTAGACACTAAGGAATGCTGGGGAGGCATTACAGTTAGATTAAGTGTTAAAAATACAAACGCACATCAAGGAGATAGGTTTTGCTTTTGGTTCTACTAAACAGACACTAAGAGGTGCTTAAAGCAAGCCAAACCTGCCTAGTCTCCATTTAAGTGTTGCTGTAAAGGTGCAATATATGATAGCATGATAAGAAAGAATATAGATTAATCTGAGATTTTTTTCCCCTTTTATTTCTCCTGATTTCTTGAAATGAAATTTATGATGTTTTACGGTGCTATAATGAAACAGCTAAATTAAGTATTTACTCGTTAAACTTTTGGCATGCTGCTAGGCAGCTGACTAGTTAAATGTATGAGTTAACACAGTTTATTTTATTGTTATGATTTATTTACTTGTGTGAGTGGGGCAGACTATATATCAGATTTTAATCTGTCTGCTCCTTTTCATTTAAGCAGCACAAGTTGTATTATTTTGTGTAAAACCATTTTCTTTTAAAATGAATGAAATGAATAAATTGAAAAAAAAAGGGTGTGCAGCTGCATTCTGCACCAATTGAAGACGTGTGAGTTGAGACTGGGAGACACCAAGGTACAGAGAATTACAGTAGTCAAGACGTGATGTAATAAAAGTAATAATAACAATCTCAAAATGCTGCTTTGAAAACAAATGCTTAACCTACGCAGTCTTTCTCAGATGATAAAAACCTGATTTCACCACAGCACTGATCTGCCCGTCCAGAACACACACACCCCCCCCCCAAGTTAAACTTGTGCAGTGGAGAGTCACTGGCCATTGGTTATAAGTGCTTTGGGAGGACATCACTGCAGCCACACACACACACACACACACACACACACACACACACACACACACACACACACACACACACACACACACACACACACACACACACACACACACACACTATGAGTCTGCACTGTGGTGTTAAAGAGGATGTGGTGCCTGGAACCCTCCCTCTCCATTCCCTCCTTCTTTATCCTCCGGCATCACACAGGAGCACCTGCACGCCTGCGCCAAGCTCCCCCCCCCCCCCCCCCCCCCACACACACACACACACCACCTCCCTCCCTGGTCATTCCCTTCCATCCATCTGTCCCCAAGCTCCCACATCCATCCAGTGGGAGGGGGAGGAAACATATGACACGGAGGAGAGAGAAAGGGAAGAAAATAGATCAGAGAGAGAGAGGTGAGGGAGGCTGTAGATATCGATGGCAGTAACGATGGAGCTTTAGGATCCAGAGAGGTGATAGCCTGCCTGACAAGCGGCTGGGGCGCTCCAGATACTGCATTTGAGGAGTGGGAGGGGGGGTTCCTCCTGGGTGAACACAGAGGCAGGAGAAGGAGGAGGGAGGAAGAGGAGGAGGATGGGCTTCGAAGACAGACTTGCAATGGCACTACAAAAATTGGATTAAAGCAGTATGGTAACGTTTCTGATTTGATTTACCGCCGTGCTGCTTGTGTGTCATCCTCATGCATCCACGTTTGCTGACATCCATCGTCCGTCTCCCATGCCACAGTGAGTCTCCAGCCGAGTGTAGAAGACGTACCCCCCCACCCCCCACCCCCTTCATCACCTCGTCACAGTCCGACCATCAGGAGCTCCTATAAGCGTTACCCCGTGTGCTTTTAGGAAGGCTTTAGATGTTTTATTCCATCCACTGCTGCCTGTTTCCCCCTCTGTTTGTTTTCACCCGTATGTGATGCTGCACTCTGCACCCCTCCCACCTAATAGCCACTGCATACACATCTCACTTTTTGTATAAAGACCAGGAATTGATTACCCAGCAGGCACTCAGCTGTTATTGTTTTCCAGCTCGACTGTAACCTACATTTAAAAGGATGAGTTAAAAGCCTTTGTCCGACAGAAGCTGACTTCACACTGACAGTCACGCAAATAAAACACGTTTAAATCCTACAGGATCTAGAACGGCTCGTTCGGACGTTTTGGTGTCATGCTTCAGCTAACGCTCATCTGATTACTGTGTTTTGACATCAGGCAGAGAGGCGTTCATGGATCAGGGAATCCCCTTATTGTGGATTGATCGTTTCTCAGCACAGGCCTTTGTGTTTAACTGGATCACATCCTCAGCTTCTGGGTCCATGCCAGAACCATCCAGAAGGCCACACACACACACACACACACACACACACACACACACACACACACACGCACGCACGCACGCACGCACGCACGCACGCACGCACGCACACACACGCACGCACGCACGCACGCACGCACGCACGCACGCACGCACACACACACACACACACACACACACACACCACACACACACACACACGTGTATAAACACTGCATAATCGTACAGTTTGCGTCAGGTGTTTAATCTGATGATGTTGATGAAGACTCTTGGCTGATGCATTTTTAAAATATTAAGCGCTTGTTTATGAGGTCATCAGATTGTGATGGGGAAGGAAGCCGTGTAATTATGTATCACCTCATTAATGCATGATAGCCACTCTGTGGGCTCTCTGATCTCTGCACTGAATCCATTACAGGCTCATGCACCAGGGGGTTAGAAACAAACTGCTCTCAGATCTTAGGCACTCATGTGTTTTTATTAATTTACTACTTTAATTGTTGCTCTGATGAAAATTTGCTTTTGTCAGAGTGGTTCAGTCCAGTTCAACTCTTCCTTGCATAAACTATTATTCAGTTATTGTCTCCTTAAAAGTATGCAAAGTATTAAGTCTCAGTCATGTTGGAAGGAAGATTACATTTCCCTTTCAGTCGGCTGGGGGGTTGTCAGATTTTCTCCTTTTAAAAAAGGCTGAAGAGGGATGTAGCCTTTGTTTACAATCTGTACCGTCTCCATACTTCCTGGTTCAAGAGCCAATCATATGTAAGTCTGCAAGGTTGCAGTCTTTGTTGGGAAAAACACTGCGCTGACTGCATTGGGGAAAAATATTAGCCAGGAGCAGCCCAGAAGTTATTCCTCATACCTCTAAGAGGTCACGGCATCCTTTTTGTCTTACTCTAATATCGGGTAATAGAAGCTAACGTTAAGCTAACAATGCTAACAGTGAATTAGAAAGACATTTTTGGATCTGAAAGTTTTTCAGTTACCAACAACTCAGTATGTAAGTGAAATATATTTATCTAATTATCAACTCATTCTGTATGACTTGTCTTCACTCATCATCTAGAATGTTCTGGTGCTGAGCCGTAGCTGGCAGCAGTTGCTCAGAGCAGACTCATTTGTTTTGATACATGGACTGCAGTACCCACATATGACCACATGATGTCATTCTTACTTGATGAACCTTTAAATGATCAATTAAGCGTTTTCTGTTTTATATTCAACTAAAATATCAGGAAAATATGCTAAAGCATTAGTTATACTAGGGCAAGCCAAGAACACAAGTTTGTTGATATCCACAGCTAAAACTGTGGTTCCCAAAGCGCGGGTCTGGGCCCCAGTGTGGGTCACAAAGCACTAAGTTGGGGGTTTTGAGTTTATCTCTATGATATGAAAGATTTTTAAGAAAACTGATTGTGACAAAGATCGATTAGATAATCTCTTCCAGGTGTGTTTACTCAGTTTTCCAGACCTGAGCTTCACCTCCATCCTTTAACTCTGAATTTCCTAATTGCATTAAAAACATAGGAAATGGTTGGTCTTGTTTTGTTTTTCATGAATGTTCACGTTGAGAGGGCTCAGCAGTTCAGAGAAGACAGTTTCTGCTGATTGATGTGAAAGAAAAATAAAGTAAAAAATTAACTTCCGCTTTCTTTTCCAATAATTATTCAGAGACCTGGTGAGATCAGATCAGAGACCTTAGGAACTTCTTGTTTAAGATTTTGACCAGAGTGCTTCATCTTTGGGCTTTTTTTATATTCATGGTTTTGATTTTTCAAAGAGAAGCATGTTGTTTCAGTGCCAGATAAACAAGGTTTTGTGTAAATGAAAGTGAAAACGTATTTGAAATGTTTTCTAGTTCTTTTAAAGTTTGGATCAGTATTTCTGGAGGGTTTCTGAAGTCCTGCCAGTTTGTCTTTAGACAAATTTTCTGTCCAGAACCTGAATATTTTAGAAGAAAGTTTCTTGTTTTCCTCTAATCATTCACATACAAACATTCCTAAACTCAAATTGAAACTGGAGTTTTATCCAGCTGCCTGTCACAAAGACTCCCCCGTTCTCGTTTGTTCAGTGCCGTTAAACATTTGGGATCATTTGGAAATGTTCTTGTTTTCCATAGAAACAGACATACGGTATCTTGACTTTACTTGTAGTTAGTTGTTTGCAATCAATATTTTAAAGGAAATTAAACACTTTTTCCTATGCTACAAGCGTTCTAGCTGTAAAACTTTCAAGCTAATCTGCGTATTCTTTCAGTATTTCTGAGTGTAGTTTGGTGATCAGCAGTTGTTTGTTGTCAGGCTCAACAGACAGAAAGTCAGATCTTTCTGGAGACCCATCAGCTCTTGATTCATCCTATGACAGAATAATGAGCCAAAACACGCCCCAGAAATGTGTCAGCCATATTTAAAGGATCAACAGTCTGCATTTAGATGCTTCCTAGGAAAATAAGAACATTTTCAAGTTGTTTCCAATTGTTTGAGTGGTATTTGAAAAAAATACACAAAGTTATATTTTGACAAACATAAATAAAACTTTTGCACAAAGATAAACTCCAAAGGCTTGTCATGTCTCTCTCTCAGGTGGATTTATCCTGTCCTTTAAAGAGCAAGTCACCCCCAAATCAACTTTTTTTCTGATAAACTATGTAAATGCGTGTCTAATCATGCTGTAGACACGTGCAGTCAATAGTTTTGCTCTTTAGTGCATTTTAGTTAAAATTTTTATTTTCTACCAAAAACTGTCAGTGCTGTGCCGTTGTCAGGTAAAAACTCTGCACTGCATTTGGATTTAAATCTGCCATCGCTATTGGCTAAGAGGTACCTGTAAAGGGTTAATTTTACATCTATTTAATGAACCATAAGACATGAGATTCTATAATAAATAGGAAATCAATCTTATGGATCTTTGGGTACTTTTAACCAGAAGATTGGAACTTTTTATTGCAGGGATTATGTAACAACTTCGTATTAACTCAGAGACAACAGAAAAAGAGTCAAGATTTAAAAGTGTAAAGATTTATTACTAAACAAATTAAAACTAGACTAACTTTAAACACTAAATGTATGGTGTAACTAAGGTGAAGGGAGATGGAGAATGGTGTAGTGTGGAATGTTGTTCAGAACCAGCAAATCCGGAGAAACGATTAGTTCTGATGGGAGTGAAGGTGATGTCGTCGCGCTAAGCTTTGATTTGGAGATTCATAATCACATAAGATGCCATTCTGTTGGTCTACGTACTCCCCGTCTAGATCAGGAGGTGTAGAGGTCCAGCTTGAACCTCTCTGGAACCGAAGCCGGTAGGAAAAGCAGCGGCCGCCGACCAGTCCACTCTTGAGATACTTCTGGGTCACGACAGTTTTGTTGGCATCTAGCAAGACCTAAAACGGGGTCGTGATGGTTCAGCTTTTATTCTGAAAGGAACTGTTGCAGCAGTTGAAACGGCAACAGATTTTATCCAGCTTGTCGTTGGTTCTTTCGGCTGAAGAGGAAAGTTACAGATTGGCCGCTCCGACACTTCTCTAGAATGCTTTGAACTGGAGTTAAAGATGACGTGGGCATAGTTTTATAATTTGGATGTTTTGATTTACGGTCAAATGAAAAGATGACAGATTTACCAAGCACCACCAAAACCACGCCTCCATCAGATCTGGAGGATTCTGACTGGATCAGTAAAAGTAATGTGTGATGTGGCTTAACCTTATGTGTGACCAGTCTCTAGTGGAAACATTTAAAGTTATATTACTGATTATATTCTATAGGATTATAATAAAGTAATTAATATTTTGATTTCACAAATTGGTTCAGATTTTATTATTGACTAACACTTTGTTTGATTAGCTTATTAAAAATAGAGTTCTTTGATTTATTAAAAAGAAAGAGTCCTTTGTCTTCATTCTTCTCTTGAGCTGGAAAGGAAAACAGTTTAGAAGCAGATGCATGAGACCTTGAACAATATCTCATGCTGATTAGTTCTTGCTGAGGAGAGGGGGGAATGACTTTTAGGTGGAAAACGGTCCTTTCATTCTGTTACATACCCTATAACGTTAGCTGGTACCGTGTGATGTCACAATGTCGTTGTGAGCCTGTGTGTGTGTGTGTGTGTGTGTGTATTTGTTAGCGGCTCCGCCCTCTTGGTATGCTAGGCAACAACATATGTTGCATTTTTCAAACAGGAAGTGGGAGTTGAGTAATACTCTGGTAGGGGGTGACTTGCTCTTTAAAGGCATGGCATTCACATACTGTTCCTCTGTGGACATGTCCTTTATTGTCCTTCACTTGACCTCTTTCCTCATCTTTAATCACACGCTGGACGTTATGCTGTTGTGGTACAAAACCGAACAGAAATGAGTGAAAAAGCAGCAAAAGTCCAGAGAACAACGTACTGTCTCCCTTCACCCCCCACCTGTGTTTGTCCTCTCAGCTGGACAAGAGTGAGGTGGCAACTCTTGGCCTACCCTCGACCACCAGCCATGGCGGCTCTGACAGCAACATCAGTTCAGATGGAGCAGGGACGTCCTCAGCTGGGGTCCCGGGAGTGGAGGGATCTGGGACAGGCGAGCCGCAACGGACGCGCGTTGCTCTGGAGCACCTGCAGCAGAAGATCCTGAAGATCACCGAGCAGATCAGGGTGGAGCAGGAGGCCCGGGACGACAACGTGGCAGAGTACCTGAAGTTGGCTCACAACGCAGACAAACAGCAGGCATCCAGAATCAAACAGGTGTTCGAGAAGAAGAACCAAAAGTCTGCACAGACCATCGCACACTTGCACAAGAAACTAGAACACTATCACAAGAAGCTAAAGGAGATCGAGCAGGTGAGTGTTAATGTAATGAGAAGCTGCTTGTGTGAGAGGTGTGGGGGTCCAACTATGTGAGGACAGCTGTGTCCAGATATAGACCGATGATTCCCCAAACACATATTTATACCAGTGGATCACCCCTGCATCTCACCAGACTCTCTCCTTGAACCCATTCGACTCTATCCAACCTTCTCTGATTCCTCTCCACAGAATGGACCGGCCCGACAGCCTAAAGATGTCCTGCGGGACATGCAGCAAGGACTAAAGGATGTAGGGGCCAACGTGCGTGCTGGGATAAGTGGTTTTGGAGGCGGTGTTGTTGAAGGGGTCAAAGGTGGAGTGTCGGCCCTCACTCACACGGCCGTGGTCTCCAAGCCCAGAGAGTTTGCCAGTCTGATCAGAAACAAGTTTGGCAGCGCTGATAACATTGCTCACCTCAAGGACACACTAGAGGACGGGGTTGGGGGCCACTCCGAGGACACTCCAACACCCCGTGCTTTGAGCGGAAGCGCTACTTTGGTGTCCAGCCCAAAGTACGGCAGTGACGACGAGTGCTCCAGCGCAACATCTGGTTCTGGAGCGGGTAGTAACTCAGGAGGGGCCGGAGGGGGAGGGGGAGGAATGTTAGAGCCAACAATGGGGAGCCCCCGACTGGACGGCCAGCACCAACACCATCGCATGCACAGTTCTTGGGACTCTCTGCTGGAGGGCCTGCAGGAGATCAAGGCCAGCCAGACCCACATGGAGGACGCCATTGAGGACATGAAGGGGCAGCTGCAGAGCGACTACTCCTACATGACCCAGTGTCTGCAGGAGGAGAGATACAGGTAGACTCACCTGCTTCCACCTTTGGTCATCACATTCAGCACTTCCAGAGAAAACCTATGATGCAAACAGCAAATTGCAGACTTTAACACTCATCAGGAGATAGTCTCAGCTCTGGATTATTACATATTATGTTTTCCAGTGAGTTGATTTTGGAGCAGGGATTCAGGGATTAACTCTAAATGAATGTGTCCACGCTCAGTGTGAGACACGTCATTTACCCAGAATTTCAGCTTTGGGTGATAAAAATAACTTTTGGATACCAGTGGTGTCACAGAGAAATGAGCTGTACCAAATCTCCTTGCTGTCTGTTAAGATACGAAAGGCTCGAGGAGCAGCTGAATGACCTGACAGAGCTGCACCAGAACGAGATGACTAATTTGAAACAGGAGCTGGCCAGCATGGAGGAGAAAGTGGCCTACCAATCCTACGAGAGGGCAAGAGACATCCAGGTGAGAGCTTTTATTTTGAAGCCCAGTTCTACCATGCTGTTCAATCAGAATCTAAACTACTAAAATGTTTACCTAAAATAAGTCTAAAATGACCATTCCCTGGGCTGTCACCCTACCGTGGTGGAGGGGTTTGAGTGTCCCAATGATTCTAGGAGCTACGTTGTCTGAGGCGTTATGGTCAACCATTGCAAACAGTTCCTAGGTGAGGGACCAGACAAAGTGCAGCCCACAGACCCCTTATGATGATTAACACAAATGGAAACCGTGTTCCATCGGTTGCTCGAACTAGATCTCTGCTCCTCCACATCAAGAGGATCTAGTTGAGGTGGCTTGGGCATCTGGATGTCCAGGATGCCTCCTGGACATCTACCTGGTGAGGTTTTCAGGGCACGTCCACCTTGGAGGAAAGACCCAGGCAGAGGTGTGGACTCAAGTCACATGACTTGGACTCAAGTCAGACTCGAGTCATTATTTTAATGACTTCTGGCTTGACTTGATAAAATCTATAAAGACTTGTGACTTGACTCAGACTTGAACAGCAATGACTTGCAACTTGAATCGACTTGCATCTGTTGACTTTATGATAACTTGAGCATATTTGATATTTTAGCACAAAAGTGGCACGACATGGACAAAAATCAGGAATCATTCTTCATTCTGCATCTGATTTTGTACGGCTAAATGCAGCAGTACAAATAAATGAAGCTTTAAGAAGCTTTATTTCTGGAATTTATTTATTATGTTTATGTATTTAGCAGACGCTTTTGTCCAAAGCGACTTACAAGTGATAATCGGCATGTTGCCCTTGAGGCTAACAACAACAATAACAACAACAACAACAAACAATTTCCAGTCGGTCGTAGGTGGCAGTGAGGCAGCATGATGAATCATGGAGAAGAGGGAACAAAGGAGTGGAAGGTAGAGAGGGGGGACGGGTGCAGGGAGGGTGCTAGTTTAGAAGATGCTCTCTGAAGAGCAGGGTCTTCCGGAGTTTCTTGAAAGTCGAAAAGGAAGCACCTGTTCTGGTAGTGCTTGGTAGGTCATTCCACATTTGTGGAACAATACACGAGAAGAGTCTGGATTGTCCTGAGCGTGGTGTAGGCACTGCTAGCCAATGATCCTGTGATGACGGGAGCGGCCGGGCCGAGACGTAAGCCTTTGCAAGAGGATTCAGGTAGATGGGAGCCGTACCATCTCGGACTTTGTGTGCTAGTGTTAGCAATTTGAATTTGATGCGTGCTGCTAGCGGTAGCCAGTGGAGCTCAATGAACAGAGGTGTGACGTGTGCTCTTTTTGGCTGAATGAAGACCAGATGCGCCGCTGCGTTCTGGACCATTTGAAGAGGTCTCACAGTACAGGCTGGAAGACCAGTTAGAAGGGCATTGCAGTAATCGAGGCGGGAGATGACAGTAGATTGTACCAGGAGCTGGGTGGCATGTTGTGTTAGGTATGGTCTGATCTTTCGTATGTTATACAGCGCAAAGCGGCATGAACGAGCAACAGAGGCAGCATGATCTTTAAAGGTCAGGTGTTCATCAATCACAACGCCCAGATTTCGAATTGCCTTTGAAGGAGCCAGAGATAGGAAGTCATTTCGGAGTGAGATATTGTGCTGTATGGATGGTTTTGCTGGGATGACAAGTAGTTCAGTTTTAGAGAGGTTGAGTTGGAGATGGTGGGATTTCATCCATTTTGATATGTCAGAGAGACAGTTTGATATTCGTGCAGAGACAGTGTGGTCGTCCGGTGGGAATGACAGATAGAGCTGGGTGTCGTCTGCATAGCAGTGGTAGGAGAAGCCATGAGATCGAATGATCTCACCCAGTGAGGTGGTGTATATGGCAAAGAGAAGAGGTCCTAGTGCAGAGCCCTGGGGGACTCCTGTGGCAAGACGGTTCACGGTAGAGGATTATCCAAGCCCAGATACACTGAATGATCGTCCTGTGAGGTACGATTCAAACCAGGCGTGTGCTTTCTCTGTGATGCCCATGCTAGAGAGTGTGGACAAAAGGAAGCCATGGTTGACAGTGTCAAATGCAGCCGATAAGTCAAGCAGGATAAGCACTGAGGATTTGTCTGTCGCTCTAGCTTCTTTTAAGGATTCAGTCACTGCTAACAGAGCAGTTTCAGTGGAGTGGCCCTTTTTGAACCCAGATTGGTAAGGGTCAAGCAGACAGTTTTGTGAGAGGTATTCTGTGATCTGCTGGAAAGCCACCCTTTCAATGATTTTGGACAGAAAAGGGAGGAGATAGATAGAACGGTAGTTCTCCACATGATTTGGAGGAAGAGATGGGTTTTTTTAGCAGCCATTTAACCTGAGCATTCTTGAGAGAGGTGGGAAATGTACCGGGTGTCAGTGAAGCATTGATCACATGTGTGACTGCTGCGGCTACTGTAGGAGCAATAGCTTGGAGCAGCTTAGTCGGAATGGGGTCAAGTGGGCATGTAGTAGGGCAGCTGCACATGAGAAGCTTGGACACACAGTTCTCCGTGAGAGGGGAAAAAGAGGAAAATGAAGCAGTAGGGCCTGAGATGGTTGGGCTTGAAGGAGTTTGTGGTAGTGAATGTTCAGGAGTGGCCAGCTGAGTAAACTGTTTGCTTATAGCTGCCACTCTGTCAGTGAAGAATGAGGCAAAGGTGTCCGCTGATAGATTGTTGGTAGGGGGTTGAGACGGAGGGTTGAGCAGAGTTTTGAATGTCGAAAATAGTTTATCTATTATCATTGTCATTAAATTGAAGTTGGACAGATGACTTGATCATACTTGAAAATTCGAAGTTAAGGACTTGGACCTGACTTGGACATCCACATCATTGACTTTGGACTCGACTTGGACTTGGCTGTCTTTGACTTGGACTTCACTCGAGACTTGATTGGAAAGACTTGTGACTTACTTGTGATTTGCAAAGCAGGGCCTTGGTCACACCTCTGGACCCAGGACACGCTGGAGGGAACATATGTTTCTCAACTGGCCAGGGAACGCCCTGGGATTTCCTCAGTGGAGCTGTCCCAAGTGGCTGGGGAGGGGGAAGTCTGGGCCTCTCTGTTTACACTGCTACCCCCGCAACCCAACCCCGGATGGATGGGCTACATCCATTTCAGACCGTGCTGTCAGAACTAATTATTCTAACGTTTAAATTTGCTTCCTGAGTGACACATCCCATTTTAAACTAATCCTAATGATTTAACATTCACCTGAAAGCTGCTACAAAAACAGCACTTAAAACTGTGAGCGAAAGTGTTTCAGACAGCAGCACAGTTTACAGATGCTGTGGTGAAAACAAGGTCTCACCGTGTGTTTTCCCATTGTGGGTTTCTGTCTACAGGAAGCTGTGGAGTCGTGTTTGACCCGCATCACCAAACTGGAGCTTCAGCAGCAGCAGCAGCAGGTGGTTCAGCTGGAGGGGGTGGAGAACGCCAACGCTCGAGCTCTCCTTGGAAAACTCATCAACGTTATCCTGGCCCTCATGGCCGTGCTGCTGGTCTTTGTCTCCACTTTGGCTAATTTCATCACACCGCTGATGAAGACCCGAGCCCGGGTCGGCACCACCGTACTGTTAACCTTGCTGCTGTTTGTCCTATGGAAGCAGTGGGACTTTGTAGAGTTGTGGTTGCTGCCCAGCTAAACAAACACTCGCCTCCACTAAAACACAGGGCATTCTGCACCATTGTTTTCCTCCCTTTTTGGGACGTTTCTGAGGACAAAACATGGCGTTTCTGATTGAGCAGCAGACCTAACTTCGTGTCATCTCATCCAAATGCTCTGGTGTGGATGAAAACTCATCAACTGCACTGCTATCACCAAAAAAAAAAAAGTTTTTTGCAAGAAATTCTTGTTTCTTTCCAATTATTTCTGAAACTAAAGAAACGTATGATGGCTGTGGGACGCTGATCATGCTTGCTAATATCTTCATGTTGAAGCTATAGCTTATTCAAGCAGAAAGGTGTTTTTGTTTAGTTTTTTTCACGAATGTCATCCTCATGCATGTTCTCATGTGTGCACCGAGATGCAGCTTGCTGGCATGAGTTAACATTTCATTACTGAGAAAAGGGCAGCTCTTCACTCGTTCCTGCTCTTTTAAATAACAGCACATCCTGTTCTGGTGTTGCAACAGTGCGTTTTAGCCTTCTTTTTCATTTCAGTTCGATTTACAGTTAAAAGTGTAAAGACTCATAATGAATGAAATAATTTGTCTGTTCTGTCCACAAAGGCTTTTTCTTAACCACCATTGTAGAAATACTGCAGTCAACAGAATCAAAAATATCTGGCATGTCCAAGTTTATATTCCAGTTTGCAAAAACAAGTATTGCTGTTTTATTAAATGATATAAGAAATAAATGATTTCATATATTAGACCAACTCTTGACTATGTTCTTATCATACTTCATGCTTAATGCTCTTTGAGACTTTAGTAATGTGGTTTAAAATGTTATTGATATGCAACAGATATCGTTTGAAAAAGTCTTAAAGCGTCTGTGTGTAGTTTCCTGTTGTTAGGGGTCAGTACGTACACACATTTCAGGGTAGTTTTACACCAAATCACCGTGACTGTTGCTTGTTTAAAAAAACAGTACGGTAAATGTTACCTGTGGAGCAGAAATCATGCAACCTCGGGTGTGACTCCTCAGGCTTTGATGGTCCTTCAGTTAATTCCATCTGGCGCTGTGGTTTCTGGATCTGCTCGAAGTCTGGCGCCTGCTGATGACGTCATCATACTACGGTAATACCGCTCGGCCAAAATATATTACATCTCTTTTTGGATTATGTTCTTTCACATATGTTTTGGAAAGAGTTTAGCGGTTTTGTTGTTAAATTTGTGTTTCTTACTGCCTAAACATTTTTAAACCTAGTAACGCAACTTCCGTAAGTCGGACGTTCAGCCAATCAGCTGGTGTGATGTCACTGAACCCCGGGCCAGAAGGAAACACAGCGTCCCCCAAACACACTAGACCCTTTAGACCCTATTTTTAAGTTTATATGGTACGAAGCTGTCAATTATTTTCAACAACTGGACATCATTTTATTCATTTTCAACAACATTTCAATGGATATTTCCAGAAATTAACAGTAAAAACTACGCATTGTCTCTTTAAAACACTGAATGACAATTTGAAATTTCAAAAGTATTCCTTCAGTGCTGTTTTAAAATGGCGTTTAAAAATACGTTTAAAATATATATTTAGCAAAAAGTACTTTATTATTTCAGCAGTCAAGCATATAATCAACCCAAATTACATTAAGTTTATTACACTAAGTTGTAAGTTGTAAGCAATTACACTAAGTTTTTTTAATATATATATTAAATTAATTACCTCTAGGGTTCTGTCAAAAAATATGAACGAGAGTCTAAGGAGCAATAAAAGTTTTTTTCTGATACCATTTGATGTGTGCCATGGATTTAACATTTGATGTTGGGGAATTTTAAAGACAGATTTTGATGCCGAGAAAGTGTTTAGATTCGTCAATAAAGACTTTAGTTTATTGTGTGAAAGCATGCAGTGGACTACAACTGCTCGTCTCACCACATTTATGCAATCACACACACTAGACAAGAACAAGGAGAAGAAAAATGGCTGTGAGTTTAACATGCTTCACATCCAAAAGGAGCATTAAATGTGTAGAAAACCATGATAAATCTGGCTATGTGAAACATGGCAGCTACGCTGGGGGAGAAGAGCTTCTGCTGTGACGTCATATATGCAACTTCTGATTTGTAGTGTTTTTACTGGGGCGACGGGCGTACAGGAGTTAGGCACTCTCCCCGTAATTGGAAGGTTGTAGGTTCGAGCCCCACTCAGTTTGTCACTGTCATTGTGTCCTTGGGCATGCTGGTGCTGGTTGAAGGGACTGGTGCCACCAGTGCTCAGCAGCTTCGCCTCTGTCAGCACACCCCAGGGCAGCTGTGGCTACAGTGTAGCTTATCTTCACCAGCGTGTGAATGTGTGTGAATGACTGATTGTGTTGTAAAGTGTCTTGGGGGGTTCCAGGACTCTAGAAGGCACTATATCAAATACAGGCCATTCACCAGTAATTACAAGTTTTTACAAGCTAATAAATCTGAAATTACGGGACAGACATATTCGAAATTAATCAGATCAGTAGGTTGCTTCGCAACATATAACCTCCAGCAGCAGTAGAAGTAGTCTTTGACCCAAATTAGGTGCCATAAACCCCAGAAATAACACTATAGTTCAATCATGTTGTGTTCTAACACTAGGTGGTAGCAGAACACGTGTAAGACTGCTTGCAGACTTCTGGCTGCTGACCAGTTTGCCCTCACATCTCCTGCTGCCTTCACGTCAGGTGGACTTGTAAAAGCTACAACTCTCTTTCCCCTGCTGCATAACAACTAACTGCTCGTTGATACTACCATATGTGTTCACGCGGTTTTCATTTCCTTTTTTTTTTCCTTCATTTATTTAATTCAAAATAAAAACAAATAAAACATATAAACAATAAGAAATTCATAGCAAAAAATCTAATTTGAACGAAAAGGAGCAGAATGAAGAAAAACATCTTATAATTTCTGCCCCCTTTTCCAGTAGAAATAATAAGTTTATATACAATTTCCATTTGTCAGACACACATACAGATTCAATCTAAACTATTTCCTTTCTAAATTCCAGTGCAATCATAGTCATTGATTTAATTCTACATTTTCACAATTATTTAGTACACTCAGTTTGGTACATTTTTTAAATGACAGAGTTTTTTTTAATTTCCCTTTTAAGGTTATTCCATAACTAAACACCATTTACAGATATATTCCATTCCTTAATTTTAGTTCTAAATCTAGGTTTTGTAAACACATCAGTTTCTTTCAGCATGTAATTGCTAGTTCTCTTTTCAATTATCCCCTGAATGTTTGTTGGCAGAGTACCTAAATTGGCTTTATACATGGTTTGTAAGATTTTCCAGTCTTTTAAATCATGAAATTTCAGTAATTTATATTTAATAAACAATGGGTTTGATGGATCTCTACAGCCACTATAATTGATGATTCTCAGAGCTCTTTTCTGCAAAATAAATAAGGGTTGTGTATAGTTTTTGTAAGTTGCTCCCCAGATTTCTACACAATAAGTCAAGTATGGAACAATCAGTGAATTGTACAATGCCAACAAACCAGAATTAGTCAGTAAAAACTTGACTCTATGTAATACTCCTAAGGATTTGGCATTTTTACCTTTTATGTAACTAATATGGGATGTCCATGTCAAGTCTTCATCAATAAGAACTCCAAGAAATTTAGTGTCTTTTACTCTTTGGATTGCAATCCCATCTATTTCCACTGACACATCACTGTTCTTTTTATCATTAAACAGTATAAAATGTGTTTTATTAAGATTCAGTGTCAATCTATTTATATCAAACCAATTTTTAATTTTAATCAGTTCATCATTTATCACTTTAGCCACCTCCTCAATATTTGATCCTTAGTAAAACAGTGTTGTATCATCTGCAAATAGAATGGTACCGAGTGTCTTAGATACATTTACCAAGTCGTTAATAAACAAAAAGAACTGTTTTGGTCCGAGGACCGACCCTTGTGGCACTCCACAATTAATTTCACATAGTTTTGATTTATGGTCCTTTATCTGAACAAACTGTTTCCTTTTTTCCAAATAAGTTCTAACCCACCGATGAGCCACACCTCTTATTCCATACTGACTTCATTTTAGAAGTAACCTTGAGTGATCAATGACGTCAATAGCTTTCTTCAAATCAATGAAAACACCAACAAAGTCATTTTATTGTCAATTGCTGTTGATATTTTATCCGTTAATTCCATTATTGCCATTGCTGCGGAATGTTTAGTTCTAAACCCACTTTGTTCATTGTTTAAAGGGGCATTATGGAAGTTTGACAGGCAAAACATGTATAGAAATAATACATTTCTTCTTCATACATTCTCCTGCAATGCCCTGGTCCTGTAGAATGAGCCCTGGCATTTTTACTGTGATTGCCTGTTTTTCTGTAAAATCACAGAAAAAGAGAGCTGCTCGGGTCGAGCAGGCTGCTTCATGCGCGTTCACGCTCAGGCATCGCCCTCCGAACCGTTATTTGAACGTTGTTTCAGCTGTCATCAAGAATATAAATGTTACAGATACAAAAGATGTCACTGGTGGTTTAGCTCGTCTAATAAGACTGCGGGCTTTCGTGTTGAAGACCTGGGTTTGATTCTGGATGCGATGTAGTTGTTCTAGAGTTTCTTTTTTACATTAATGATATATTTTTTTTACAGTAAGATGCCCAAATTTTTATTTGAGACTCGCCAAACGGCATTGAATTCACAGGTAAAAAAAGATGTGGGTTCTGTCATGACTCCCAATCTTTCACCCTCCTCAGCCTTCATGCAGCACACCTGTGTCATGTTTGGAGGAAGGTACTTAACCCAAGACATGCAGAATACAACACTGACCAAAAAATGGATGAAAAAATGATTTATTTATAAGGAGGAACTTAAGGTGCACAGATAAGTCTGTGGTTGGAACTGCAACAACAGCTCAGCGTCTGGAGGAGGGAGAACACAGGTGAGCATAGGTTCTGGTTTCAAAATCCATTGTAGGCAGGCAGAGGTGTTCAGCAGACTTACTGTGGTGGGTGTATGTGTTGGCTGGAGGAGGGAGAGGTAGAGAGCCGGGGGAAGCGCAGGAGAGGGAGCAGAGGTGGAGAGAAGCGGGGCGTCCTGGTGGATGGGGCACTGGGTGAGATGAGAGGTGGGTTATGGAGGGTGGTGATAAGGTCCGTGTGCTGAATATCCGAATCCTGGAGTAGAGGTCAGTATCCAATGAGGTCGACAGGAATCCTGAGGAAGGGTAAATCCAATATAAGAGCAAAACACTACGAATAACATTTATCCTAAGAACACTAGAGGTAACACGAGTTTCAGTTCGTGCTTGACAACGAAAGAGAGAAGACCTGAATAAACACTAAAGGGGGGACGGAGCCGGTCGGCTCGTTTCCCCCCCCCCCCCCCCCCCCCCCCTCTCACGCTGTTCCTGCCAAGCCAGACAGAATAGCTGAATCGCAACTTCTAACGCAGGCTCATCCCGAGTCTTTTGATTTCTGAGTGAACTAAACTTAACAAACGCATCGACAAAACGCTTTTCCATTGACGTGTACCGAGGCCAACTCTGGACCGGTTCCGTTCGACACCTACGTCTCCCCTGTCAGCCGCTGGTGTCATCTGGATGAACCATCACCATCCTCCACGGCCCGGATCCGAAAGAGGGTCCACAAGAGTTCGGTGAGACAGAGCACGGTGTTTAGCGTTTGATGCAGTTCTCTGATAAGACCTAAGTTTATCCAAACCATCACTTCACTCAGACACCTGTTTCTTCCTGAAGCAAAATCAGACTCACACACGCATCCATGTCACAACATTCTCAATCTTCATAAATTCACCACAAGGTCTATTTGATCATATCAACTGTTAAAGATTGTCCCACAAGTTGCCAATGTTGATTGTTATTCCCATGTTTGTCAATTTCAAAATCATTAGTCTAGTTTGAAGAATTAAAACTTTTAATTTTGAAACTTGTTTGTTCATTGAACTGAAACACAGACACACAGATATTATCGTCAGTTTATCGATGAAAACAACCTTTGAGTCTTCTTAACAATATAAAATTTGGTTATTGATTTATTAAAAATTAATATTCCGAATTAATACGTAGTATGGTTCCTCTTTCATAAAAGAGCCTAAAACCACAACGCTACACTGGTTACTACCAAAACTGAGGCAATCTTCCGGCGTCGAAGTGTGTCCACCATCCACCTTAAATAGGAAGGCACCCCGCTGATTGCTGATCAGGAACAGCTGGGCCACTCCCTCTCCTGGCAAGAGACTCACAGATGGTTATGAGAACAGGAGTACTCACCCCGGCTCATGACAACCTGGTCTCCTCATCAAGCCCCAGCCAAGCCCTGTTTCCCTGACAACCGCAATCTACTTCATTCATTCCACCTGTTCCGGTCATCAATTCATCCTCCACACCTGGTTACTCTGCTATTTAAAACCCAGCCAGCTCTTCATCATTGCCAGATTATTGAAAGCCTTTGCCACTAAATCTTCCAGCCATTCACCCTGCCTGATCTCAGCCTCTGGACCTTGTTTTTTTCTCCTGACCCCTGCCTTGTACGCTGCCTGCCTTTACGACCTCTGCCTGTCTCCGACTCTGTCTCCAGCCTCTGGGAACTCTGCGTCAAATAAAGACTTTTTAATCTACTTTTATTGTGTTTGGCATCCTCAAGGGTCTTTTGAAGTTCTGTTCGTGACAGGTTCAACTTTCATTTTGGAACAATTTTTCAAGCAAGGGAAGGGAATGAACTGAGCATGCAGGAGGACTGACCCATCATACACCTGTCGGCTGTGCTGAAGAGAAAGGTACAGAACCAAATTATTTAATTAATAAGCTGTGCACTCTACTGTCCTCTGTCCTCCGGGCCACACACACACACACACACACACGACTGTCTCAGTTGTTATTTTCGTTAAGGAGTGTGCACGTACAGCATGCGCGCCTCGTGCACAAGCCTACTATTGAAGCTGCTGTTATGCATTTGGCCTGAGGGGGCAATCGCGAGCATAAAAATTCCAAACTCCGTAAAGTCCCTTTAACATATTATCTTTTTCGATGAATTTATCCAACTTAATACAAATAACTTTTTCCAATATTTTAGAAAACTGTGGAAGCAGTGACAATGTTATTGAAACTATGTTTATCACCACTCTTGTACAAAGGAATAACTTTCGCTGTTTTCGTTGCGTCAGGAAAATTTCCAGTAGAAAGGGATAGATTACAACAGCTGTAACAGATCACTGCATAAGAGAAAACCACATAATGGACTGGGACAGCACAAGGATCATAAACACCGAACAACAGAATTACAAAAGATGGATAAAAGAAGCTACCGAGATAAGGGGACGTGGATGTGGGACCATGGCATCACTTCCTTCGTTTATCCGCGGGTAGCAGAGGACGTATATCGCGCATGGGACTGCATCATCGGAGAGGGAAGAGCGGGCAGCAGAGGGCGACAACGTCCTCTGCTGCCCGCGGATAAACGAAGGAAGTGATGCCACCGTCAGCCTGATGATGTTTGCAGCTGCAAACGAAACGTTGCAGGTAAATAAAACCTTTCTGTGTTTTAAAAAGAACTGAAAGAGGGAATTTGAAACTAAACACAACAAGAACACACCAAAGATGTTTAAGCTTCTACTATTAATGTGGATAAGTGACATTGTGTCCTTAGTCCTTCTTCGTCCTGTGTCCTTCTTCTTCTTAGTCATTCTCCCACAGTTCAATTGTTCTTCTCCAATATAATCACAACTTATGGTTAATTCATATAAATTTCCATCTATTTTACTGTCAATATCATATATTTTATCATCTGTATCCATTTCAGTTGAGTGATTTTTGCCAGTTTAAATCCAGACCAATATCAAACCGAGTTACCCATGTTGTTTTTACAGCATCCAAAATAAGTTTGGATGCATAAATTCTGATGATCTTAACCATAGTTTGTAAACTTGTTTTATATACTCATTTATCACTTGTATTTTTTTAGTTCTGTTGGTTCCTTAATTATCAGAATCTTTGCCTGCTCCGGAGACCCATTCAGTTTAATGAATACCTTACAGTTTGAAGTCCATGTTGACTGTATTTTCTTTTGCTTTCTCAGAAGTCTCGCTTGCCTTGCAATGTCTGCATTTTTCTTGATTAGGTGTTCATACACACTGGTTCCCTTCAGCTTCCTTCCTTGTTTAAGTAGTTATTTCTTGTGTTTTCTGTTAATAAATCTGATAAGGATTGCAGGTTTCTGATTTTTATTTTTATGAGGAAGAGGATGACATCCCTCTATGTCCTTGGCCTCTAGATGTATCCCTTTGCTACCAAGGAAGTCATTTTGTAAAGCACTTTGAATCACACTTTGTTTGAAAAGCGCTTTAGAAATAAAATTTGATTGATTGATTGATTACTTGCCTTTCTAAGTTGTTTAATTCTTGTTCAGGTGGTTCTCCACTCTCTGTAGCTGTTGCTCTTGCATAAGTTTGGTGTGTTGTTTCAAGTCCTGTCACTATTACATCATTTATTCTTGAATAATGTTCCAGTTCTTTTCAACCCTTTAGACACTTTAAGATCTTAGAATTCATACTTTTTATGGTGAAACTGGGTGGAAGATACATATCTGAGCATTTAGTGTTGTCCCTGAATGCAGCATAATACCACAAATGGAGAACACTGGGAGTAGTTTGATTATAAGTGGCAGTAGTACAACCACACAGACTGTAGGCCGCCGTTAAAAATCAAAGATGGCCATGAATTTTTCAAACACATTTTGACGCAAAGTTCTATTTTTAGCAAGTGACTTGAGGTTTTGTGAAAACACATGAACTACAACTGCTCATCTCACCAAATTTACTTCATCAAATCAGAAAATAAAAGAACAGAAATGGCTATGAGTTTAGCGAGCTTTGCATCTTTCCTCCAGGACAAAAAGAGCATTAAACGTGGAATAAACCACTATAAATCTGGCAGAGATTATGCTGTGACATCATACATGTGTAATGATTCAATAGTTACGTCTTATGTATGAACCACAAAATGTGAGATTCCATATAATTATGAAATATCAATCTGATGGATTTTGGAATATTACTTTAACCAGATTGGAACTTTTTATTGCAGGGATTAGGTAACACTTCGTATTAACCAAGAGTCAAAGAGAGATAGAGACTAAGTTTAAAAGTTTAAGAAGATTTATTTCTAAACAAATTAAAACAAGGCTAACTAACTAAACACTCTGTGTGATGGTTGTGAATGAGGCAAGATGGTGGTGTGATGGAATGTTGTCATCAGAACTCTCGTTTTCAGAGAAGCGTTAGTTCTGTGTGGGAGCGAATGGTTTGCTCTAAACTACATTCGGAGTTTCAAAAACACATTCAGGCGCTATCTTGTCGTCTACGTACCCTTGCGGAGACCTCCGTGGTAGATCCAGAATACCAGGTACTCTGACCCCCCCTTTTGGTGCCAAAACCGATGAAACAGCGTTCGGTACAACAGACTAGTCTTTGGAATGCCTCCAGGTAAGCGACAGGTGGTTTGCAGCATCAGCAGGGACCCAGCCGAGTCCGTGAGTTCAGCTCTTAGTCTGAAGGACGTTGTGTCCAGATGCAGCTCGCAACAGATTTGTTATCCAGCTCGTCAAGGTTCTTGTTGTTAAAAAGTGACGAGTGGCCGGCTCGAAACTCTAGAACGTTGAACTGAGTTAAGGGTGACGTGGGAGTTTGTTTTATAATCCAGATGTTTTGATTTATGGTCAAATCAGGATTTGACAACAAAAGGGGATGGTGTTAACACACACAAAGCCACGCCACACGTCAGAACGAAAGCTCTGATTGGATGAGACAAAAGGAATGTGTCATGTGACTTAACATTACATGTATCAGTATGTCTAGCGCAAATATTTAAAGTTATATTACTTATTATATTCTATCATAGGATTATAATATCAAGTAATTAATATTTTCATTTCACAGATTGATTGAACATCACATCATTATTTGGACTACCAGACGTTATTTAATTATTTATTTAATAGTTCTGATTCTAAAAGAGTTCTTAATTTAAGAGTTCTTCTCTTGAGCTGTAGGGGGAGGCAAATAGCTAGTTAAACAGTCTAGATGCCGAGGCATCACAGCCCTTGAGCAATATCAAGGAGATGACCTTTAGGTGGAAAAACAGTCTCTTCATGACGCTGCACATGCAACTTCTGGTTTGTAGTATTTTTAATTACAAATTTCTACATATATATCAAATTACATGACATACATAGTTGAAACACACAATCATTTATCATATAAATTGAAGTACAACAAAAGCGGACCAGAAAATAACTTTTATAGCCTTGTTAACTAATGGATTTTTGTCGAGGGACCCATGAGCAAGCCGAAAGGGGAGGAGACCTAGACTCCCTATTGAGGCCAGCTGAATATTAGCCAATAGCAATTGACATCCACTTAAATACAGATGTCAGAGTGGGTACGAGCATTTGTGGATGTACCAAGGCTGATGCAGTTAGCAACATTTCTTGTAAACAGGTGTTTACATTTTATCTTTAATGTATATATGAATAAATCACTGAAATAGGGAGTGGATTAAGGTGCAATGTATTTGTTCCACCTCTAGATGGTGCCCACGGACAACAAACTCCAGACTTCTGCTTTAGGAGAGTTGATTCGTCTTAAAACAAGATTTCATAGCATAGTAACAACTACTGGATTCCGGACAACTTTGTTTGCGGTGAAAGGGTTATTTATGCTCTTGTGAGCTACAAAGTTTAAACACTTTGGTTCTACAATTAATTAGACATTTTTTGATTTTCAGCCTTCTTATAGTCTGAAATAAATGTTTATTTAGCAGACGCTTTTATCCAAAGCAACTTACAATTTATAACCTATAGGGCATGTTGTGATCTGTGGGGAAAACCAGAGTCCCCAGAGGAAACCCACGCATGCATGGGGAGAACATGCAACTCCACGCAGAAAGGCCGCAGCTGAGTTTCGAACCTGCAACCTTCGTGCAAGGCAACAGGGCTAACCACTGCGCCACCATGCAGGTTTGACAATAAGTGGGTCTCTGATCAGGCATTCATCTGCAGAGTTCTACTTTATCTGTTGGCTCATCTGAAATAAAATCTCTACAAAAATATTAAAATGTTTATTAGAAAATTCAATGGCAAAAAAACAACATGAAACACTCGTTTGTTGTCTTTTTAATAATTACTGTCAGGCAAAACCTAAACGAACAATACATTTATGACTTACAGTACAAGACAGAACTGAAGTGGGTCAGAACCCGTGACATGGCCACAACTGACCTCTATAAAGAAAGACATTCATCGTCATTAGATTGTTCCAACTTTCAGAGTTCACAAAAATGGATTTTGTATTTGACTCGTATCAAACACAACAGTTTTCTTGATTACCTAGCAAATCCTAAAGACCTTGATAGAAACAGAGTAAAAAAAATTTTTATAGAACAAGCAGAATTCCTGATTTGATCCTAATTTCCGGTCAATATGAAAGATGTACAATATATTGCTTTCAGGTGCTCAACTTAAAAATGGGCGCTTTGAGATTTCTGTAAAAACATTCTTTAGCATGGCGTCCCGCCCCCGGACCAAGTTCTGCAGGTTGGACTAGAGGAGTGGTACTTGCCGATGAAACCGTAGGACTCAAAGGAGCCAAACTTACTGCAGAACCAACAGCTCCTCTAGAAAATTGCAGCTTCCCAACACACATTACCAATGGTCTCAAACTGTCTGCCTCGTTTTCATGGAATCAAAACAGAACGACTACAAAATCAAACAAAACAGAAACTATTCATGTTCACTGAGAGTTTGGAGCCTAAGACACAGTATTCCGTTACAGCAGTAGGTTGGAGGAAAGGAGGAGATGAGATACAAATGACACGGAGATGAGCAGGAAAAGCTCAGGTCGGAGATTTCAACACAAAAAAATAAAAGGTAAGGGGGAGCGACAGAGTTTGGACTTTAGCCTGATCAGCAGATTTCTCTCAAAACTCTTGAGATGAAATTCTGGATGAGATGTAACAAAACTAATGTAGTACCACCAGAATCAGTTTTTTTAAATGTAAAATGCTTTCTGAGGAGAGAGAAAGCCCGGTGGCTTGGGATGTGAGCTGATTGTTGGACACACCACTCGGTGTTCAGCAGGACAGAGTCGGACCTGCTCCCACAGTCTTCAGGCCAAACAAAAACTGGTCCCACAGGCCAGCACTCCTTGAGCCTCATTTATGAGAAGGTTTTTCAGACACAATCCAGATTCATAATCGATTTCTTTTTATCTTTTAAAAGCTTTCTTATCTGGATTATGCTGTAAAAACAGATTCCTACACTACGACTGTAGCTTTCCCTCTGCTCTCATTGTCATTGTATTTTAACAAACCCTTTAAAGTGACATCTGGGAAAAGATCAGACAACGTTTTTATAAATGCAGCCCTCAGTACGAGCCAACATCACAGCGAGAGAGGTGCCTAAGCGGACCTCTGGGTGTAGAAGAGAATATAGGCCTGAGTGTTGCACACCTCCTCCACACTGCAAACCTTCATCTCAGAGTCGTTACAGTGGACCCAGAAACCTGCGGGTGACAGGGTAAAGAGTCATGTTAAACACAACAAAGCAGGAAGTGATCGTGGTGCCGACTTCTCCTCACCTCCTTCGGTGTTGTAGCAGTATGCGGTGTAGTGCCCTGAGCCGAACCCTTTACCGTGGTGCATAACCACAGCAGACAGATCGTAGGTGTAGCCTCCTCTGTGGACGGAGTGACCCGAGTCTGTGCAGCAGTACGGTTTGATGTTCAGAACCTGGTCGAAGGCCACGTGGACGCCGATTTTCTCCCTGTGGTTCCGGCCAGACCATCTGCCCAAAAACAGGAGCTTATCAGTCAGTGCTACAAAAACAAACACATCCAATCATGTTGACCAGGTTAACACGAGAGGAACGTGCCTGAAGCGTTTGAGGTGCAGCCGTAGAACCTGAGGTAAACGGTAGATCAGAAGCTGCTTACAGGCTTCTGACAGAACTAAAGGTTTGTGGGAGGATTTTCTTCTTCTCTCTGAAACAAATAAAGACAGAAAATGATAAATTAATCCGCAGACAATAAAAATCTTCATTCATGACAGGCCTTCCTTCATTGAAGAAGTGACATGCTTTCTCACAATGTACCAACAGTTAAAAGGTTTTTATGTCTTTAAACTTTCAGGCAGCTTTGTGGATTTCTGGAACCCATCTGGGTTCCTTCTCGGTTTAGGAGGGATTGAGGACCTGACAAAGTTGGGATCAGTGATAATTTTGTTGACAAAATTTGTTAAGGTACGCGTAGTTCATAGAACACACTTGTTGTAACGTTTGTACATGTTTTTTGCTGCATGAGAGAGGTGGAGCTGTCGAAAACACTCATCGGAAAGGGAACTGATGGGAATGCAGATGAAACACCAGCACATAAAGGACTGTACAGGCAAAACAACTTACACACACATTATTTTTGGTGTGCATACACACTAGGGATGAGCGAGTACACCACTATCTGCATCTGTTCAACCAACTAAATTATCTGTATCTGTACTCGGAATGGGCGTGGCATAACCCGGAAGTGGGCATGGTTTAACCGGAAGTGGGTGTGGTTTACATCAATATTTTATTCTAAGTCTGAAATTGATAAGGAATGATCAGAAGTTGATATGTGTATTGTTTATTTGAAAACTATTTTCAGAGCAGCCTCAGAATTGAGATTAAATATTTTTGATCACAATAGTAAAGGAACTATTTCAGAACAAGCGTTTCAATAAAATCAGAACATTAATATTTAAGTGCATGGATTAATACATCTGAACTCATGCAGTAGGAACTAGGAAATATGAAATGCTAGAACCAGACACAACTTTAATGTATATTTTTTATTTTAATTTGATTAAACTGATTTTTTTCTTAACGTTCTTGGCATTTTGCCCCACACAAAGTAAAAAAAAAACAATGTTGATTAAGGTGTGTGTGTCTGAGAGAGATAGAGGGTGAGAGGGAGAGAGATGGAGTTAAAAAAAATTAAAAAAAACAACCGGAGCGGAGGAAGTGAGTGACTGATGCAGCACGTCAGCTATGTCTTGTCAAATGCACCAGTAAGTTACAAAAAAAGTAACTTTAAATATTCAACCGAAAAAGAGGCGAGCTGAAGAAAACCTAGGGAAAACTGAAGAAATGTGAGCAACAGTGAAGCAAGCACAGCGAGATCCGTTACTGTGTGTGTGTGTGCGCGTGGATGAGCCGGACTGACTGAGCTCCCGGCTGGCTAGAGTGTTTTGTGTGTAGGGAGGGGCGGGCGCTCTATGTGACTGGCCAATCACAGAGCGTGAAGACAGTCAGTTACCCATTGAGGATTTTCCTTCAGCACGATTACAGATATTTACGAGGTTTACTCGTTTCATGCTCGTATTCGTCAAAAATGCTTTATGTGCATGTCAGGTTATTAGTAAACATCAACTTACATCATTAACTTTACCTTGTTCATTCTAACTAAAGCCTCATAGGTCTGCCACAAACAACTATTTTAATAGTCATGTAGCATTCTGAAACGCATGCTCCAATTTTATTGGTTTAGAGCAGTACGCCCTCCGTACGTAGGAGGGCGCTGCTGCTATAAAAGGGGAGCTCTTCCGGTAAGGAAGTAGGTTCGGGAAACAGCTGGTGCCATTATGCCGCTGCGTTTTGGTACTGCCAGCCCGTGTCCTCAGGCTGCGTTTATGGTGCAATCGGCTCTGCTTCAACCGTGGTATGTACCTAGATGGCTATTGTTTAGCGCTAGGGCTACTGTGTCTCAGTCTGTGTTGTGCACTTTGCAGCTTGGGCATTTGGGTCAGTGTTGGGTGTGATGTCATCGCTTGCCTACTGAATCCTCGTTGCTTCTGGGCAGAGAGTTCCCTTCTGTTCAGGCGTTACTAGCGGGGGGACCGTTAGGTGTGTGCTGCGCCGTCCCCACACTTGGCCATTTGTTTGTTGGGTAATTTTCTGCCTCTTCCCTGTCCTTTTAGATTGCTCTGTGGTCCGGCCGGAGGCGCCGCTGTTTCGTCTTGTTTCTTTTTACCACATTTTAAATCAGCTGGTTGAAGGAAGTTCCCCTGGCTCCTGGCTGGAGTCCAGGAGGAAGAGCAGCTGAGCAACATCGTACAGATTTTATACAGTTCTCTTTTAATTTTGTTTTCTTTGTGCAGGCTGAGGCAGGAGGTGTGGGGTGTGGCCTCGGAGGTGGTGGTCCCATGTGCGAGTGTGATGGTGCTGGGTTCTCACGTTGGTATGAATGTTCACTGCCAGGGGTGAATCTTTTATACGTTCTTTTTTTTATTTTTGCTGGTTGGGGCTTCTCTGCCCCGAGTCACCTGCCTCCATCACTAGCCTCAGTCCTGCTTGTTAACATATTTTTGTTTGGTTTAAATTCATTGGTTCTGTTCCTGTTGTCATTAATTTTAGCATTTTTATGATATTTTACATGGCCAGTTTTTTTTAAAATGTCTTTTAAGCAGTTATTTTCAATAAACTAAAATACATGAATTGTAACTTCTGAAACCACGTCTCTGTCTGAATGAAGTGGAATGGATCTACATGCTTTGATTCCTTGGGCGAGATTCCCAAGGTGGCGTTGTTAACGAAATTGCACTTGAGCAGGTACAATTGCTATACCTGGCGTCAATAGGTCATAGACCACTCCCGTATTGCCACAGTCAGTTTTGTTGACGATTAGTAGACTAATTGTGTCATGCATAAAAGCTGCACTAGCTAAAATAGTCTTGTTTGGCTTGGTAACAAACTCGTCCAATGAAGAGGAGCCTTTTTTACAGTTACATGTTAGCAGCTAACAAGAGGTAATTAGATTACAGAGGCGACTCTTTGTTCTTCACCATGACGTGCTTCCTTTTAAGGTGCTCATGAATCACAGCATGTCGCTCCCATGAAAGGACAGTTTCACATTGCAAATTTTGCAATCAACGAGCTTCTCTTTTGTCTGTAAAATGCTCCCAAATTTTGTACAAGCCCACTCACCATGAAGTCATGGGGGGGGGGGAATCAGATTTAACCATATAAAACCACAAACATTACTATTAAAATTCATCCTAAGAAAGAGATTTTCAAACAGAAAAAACAATGGCTTAGTTTTAAGTTCAACAAGTTCCTCTACAATAGTATCATTTGTTTCACAGTTCCAACTATAGGGGGATCACACTCCTCAGCCTCCCTGGAAAGGTCTACTCCAAGGTACTGGAGAGGAGGGTCCGATCGATAGTTGAATCTCAGATTGAGGAGGAGCAATGTGGTTTTCGTCCTGGCCGTGGAACTGTGGACCAGCTCTATACCCTTGCAAGGGTGATGGAGGGGGCATGGGAGTTTGCCCAACCAATCCACATGTGATTTGTGGATTTGGAGAAAGGCTTATGACCGTGTCCCCAGGTGGGGGACACTACAGGAGTATGGGTGGGTGGCTTTCTGTTAAGGGCCATTCAGTCCCTTTACCAGAGGAGCGTGAGTTTGGTCCGCATAGCCGGTAGTAAGTCGGACCTGTTCCCGGTGAGGGTTGGACTCCGCCAGGGCTGCCCTTTGTCACCGGTTCTGTTCATTACCTTTATGGACAGAATTTCTAGACGCAGCCGTGGTGTGGAGTGTGTCGAGTTTGGTGGCAGGAGAATCTCGTCTCTGCTTTTTACGGATGATGTGGTCCTCCTAGCTTCATCCAGCTCTGACCTTCAGCTCTTGCTGGGTAGGTTTGCAGCTGAGTGTGAAGCGGCTGGGATGAGGATCAGCACCTCCAAATCTGAGACCATGGTTCTCGACCGGAAAAGGGTGGCTTGCCAACTCCGGGTCGGGAGAGAGGTCCTACCTCAAGTGGAGGAGTTTAAGTATCTCGGGGTCTTGTTCACGAGTGAGGGTAGGAGGGACCGGGAGATCGACAGGCGGATTGGTTCAGCGTCTGCAGTGATGCGGACGCTGAGCCGATCTGTCGTGGTGAAGAGGGAGCTGAGCCAGAAAGCCAGGCACTCGATTTACCGGTCGATCTACATCCCAATCCTCATCTATGGTCATGAGCTTTGGGTAATGACTGAAAGAACGAGATCGCGGATACAAGTGGCCAAAATGAGTTTCCTCCGTAGGGTGGCCGGGCTCAGCCTTAGAGATAGGGTGAGGAGCTCGGACATTCGGGAGGGACTCGGAGTAGAACCGCTGCTCCTCCTGATCGAAAGGAGTCAGTTGAGGTGGTTTGGGCATCTGGTCAGGATGCCTCCTGGACGCCTCCCTGGGGAGGTGTTTCGGTCATGTCCTGCCGGCAGGAGGCCCCCGGGTTGACCCAGGACACGTTGGAGAGGTTACATCTCCAATCTGGTCCGGGAACGCCTGGGGGTCCTGCCGGAGGAGCTGGTGGAGGTGGCTGAGGAGAGGACGGTCTGGAGCTCCCTAGTTGGGATGCTGACCCCGCAACCCGGACCCGGATAAGCGGAGGAAGACGAGACGAGACGTTTCACAGACATCAACACCGTTACGTCCCACAATTTAAGGAAGTACGGGAATTCACTCATCATAACATGTAGCTGTTAGCTGACAGAGCACTGTTGTCACCTTGAGAGAGAAATGTCTGTAATTTGCTTTTATTACATCAAGGCTTGATTACTGTAATTCTTTGTACCTTGGTGTTTCACAATCCCAACTCTCAAGTCTCCAGTTGGTGCAGAATGCTGCTGCACGGCTGCTCACTGGGACGGAAAAGATGGAGCATGTTACTCCTGTCCTGGCCTCAATGCACTGGCTGCCTGTTCGTTTTAGAATCCAGTACAATGTGCTTTTATGGGCTTTTAAATCTCTGCATGGCCTTGCTCCAGAGTACCTCTCTGAGCATCTGTTTTTTTTTATTCCCCTGCACGGTGTCTGAGGTCAGATGATAGGATACTCTTGGAAGTCCCTAAAACAAGACGCTAGCTCAGAGGTGACAGCGCTTTCTCTGTAGCGGCCCCTACACGCTGGAATGCACTGCCTTAGAGCATTAGGTCGGCCTCTTCACTGTCTGGTTTTAAATCTAATCTTTAGATCAATGAAAATCTATTTTTATGATTTGGCTTTTAACCCAGCATGAGTCTTTTTGGTGTTTTATCAGTGTTAGTTCTTAAGAAGCTTCAGTTTTTATGCATTTTTATGTTGTGTGTTGTTTTTATGTTTTTAATGTCTGTGAAGCACTTTGGTCGGTTCTTTACCGTTGTAAGGTGCTATACAAATTAAGTTGCCTTGCCTTGGATGTATTTTTAAAAGAACAGCAAAGGGAGTGTAATCAACATGTGTAATGTGTGCAAATATGGTCATTTAATGACGTAGAAAATGTAGCGCTACGTTTAATACTGATGTGCCACCCTAAAAAAAACGGACCCTGCTCAGTTCGCTGCAGCAATTCAGCTAAGCCAGCCAACACTAAAAGATAAATTAAGAAACAAAGAAATAATATATGCAGCAAATATGACAAAATAGCAGCTTATTTACCACACTGGATAAGAGTCTGTGGTTGCAAACGTCGAGTTCTGCAGTCTCCTTGTGTGTCAGTATGATCTACTTTCTCTTCCTACTTTTACAGATACAGCAGTTCTACAGGTGTCTTGTAGAAAAAGGTTATGCTGCTGACGATGTGCCATGCCATCCCTATCCCAAAAAATAGGCTAAACACTGAGGAAAGGATGTAAAATATGAGCAACAAGGCTACTTTTACATTTATTCTTAATATTGACGTTTCTTATTCATTTAAATGGTAAATGACTATTTATTTATACATATATTAATATTAACACATTTCTTATTAATGTACCTCCTAAATGAATGATGTTTATGGCAGATAACCTAAAGAAAGCACATTAATACAGAAAGAAACACATTAATGATAGAAAAAAACTTTTCTTTTTTTTCTAATGCATTTCTAATGTCTCAGATCGGGACTGGGTATAGGCCGATTCTTACAATCAAATGACTCAGAATCAGATTAAGAGCAAAAAACATGATCGACACGTTCCTAGAAATAACAATATCACGTGGTAAAATGCTCCAAAAAGAGGATTTTCCATTATATGGCCTCTTTAAAAGCTACATTTGAAGTTCAAAAAGTTTGTGTTATTACATAAAGATTGTATTAAATAACTGAGATCTCAATATCAAATAAAGTAATTGTTATCATTTTTGTCATAACTGAACAGCCATAAGTTTTGTATACTTAATGGAGGCTCAAGAAATCCGTGCCTATTGTAAAATAAATAAATAAATAAAAAGTTGTTCTAGAACCCCTTTAAAATAGCAACCAGGAAGTCTAATAATAAAAATTAACAGGATTCATAAACGCAAGGCTGTAGTTGAGGTGTTTTTGGGACATTGTAGCACAATCACATGCCGTCAAGTTATGTTTACAGGGTTTCCACCAGTGCTTTGTAAGCCTGGTTTCCATGTTTGCTGAAAAGTAAAAGCAGCCTTTATTAGATCGACCTATCCATTCTGTTATCAACCATTAAACCTGGTAAATAATAGAACCGCCTAAAAAGGTTGTGTTTATTAGAATAATACACGTAATTGTACTGACTGTTGCAGTGGTTGCAGGCGTAGATGTTGCCTTCAAGAGCCTCCATCTCTGTAAACTTGGAGAGCATCTCCACCAGGGTGCAGCTACGCTGGTAAGCTGTAGAGCCAGAGCCTTTGTTTGTACTGTGGTACCGCACTGGAAACTCCAAAGATAAATCCCAGAATGGCTCTACTGTGTTGGACTTGTGCTTACAGGACAAACACGTCACCTAAGACATGAAGACAATAAGTAGGAGGGGGAAAAAAGATCAGGTTCATGCTGTTTGGTAAAGACCAGAAGAGGAGAGAAATCACATGGAAAACAAGTGAATAATCTACTTATTTTATTTTTAAGTCTAACTGCATGGTGGAGAAACATCACAGCACAACACAGGAACTAGGGCAAGAGAGAAGGGTGATTATAATGCAGCCAGAACTTTGTGTGACTGGAACAGAACCGATCGTAAAAAAGTAAAAACAGCTTTGAGTTAATCTAACAATATTAGCAGCCAGTTAAACTGTTAAACACGCCTCTTGACTGTAAAAGAATGTATCTGCTCTTTCTACTCATTCTACCGTTACAGTGATCCACTGATTTCCTGCTTTCCTATTCATTTTCCCTCTCTCCCTTCCTTACATTATTATTTTTTTTATCACAATTTAAATATTTTTCTCATTTTGAACATATTTTTGATCGTTTCTTTTTATCTTATTTGTACTTTGATCGTTTTTTGTTTATGTGAAGCGCCTCACTGTTTTAATCTTGAGAGGCGCTATATAAAAATCGTTTTCTTTCTTTCCTTTATTTAAACTATATCCCACCTGTAACAGAACTCTTGGAACAACCCAAATTTGGAGAAGAATTTATTAGTCCTGACCAGACTTTACTGCCATTTTCAAAACAACGTCAGAAAAAGGTTTCACAAATCACAAACTATGTTTTACATAATTTGCTATTAGTCTAGAATAATTTAGTACGGGTTTGAAGAGTGTAGGTGTTGTAGTTTTTGAGCTAGAGCAAATTAAAGATGGTCAGAGTAGAGAAAAATTGAGTCTAATTGCCCTTTAGCCATTTCCTGAATCGGAAGCTGGAATTGGAAGCTAACTGCAGCCTTGTGTGGATCTAATCCTGCTCATTTATGTCCACTAAGTCCACCTGTTTCTGTAGTTTCTGATTCCTCCACCTCACTTAGCATGGCTTTATTAAATACCCACTCCAATAAGTCATTCCTGCTCAATGATCTAATCCTCTCTAAAATCTTGAATTTTCTGTTTCAAACTGAAGTTTAGCAGCAAACATCTCATTATCCTGGTCTGACTGAACTCTGCCCGAGTGGTTATTCATTCCTTAGCCAGCCCCGGGGTTCTAGTAAAGGTGGCGGCATAGCTATTGTTTGTAGAGACCATCTTGCATGTAGATCTTTCTCTGGTCGATTTGCTTCCTTTGAACTGCAGCTGATTAAAGTTGGGCGCAAGGACCAAGCCGCCACAATTCTGCAACAAATTTGATGCCAACTAGGAAGTGACAAAAATTGCAGTTCCACTTTCATCCGCAAGGGTCTGGCAGCAGAAGTGAACAAATCCTCATCGACTCCCATGGTAAAAATGCCAATTTTACAGCAGAAATAAACATATTTACAGCCTGGTTCAAAAACCCATTTTAGGTTTAATATATCTAGTTTACATTAATAACTCTGAGATGGTGACATTTTTTGTAACTCTTCTGCTCAAATGGTTGTGTTTTGTTTTAGCCTGTGCAGCACTTTGGGCAGCTCCCATGCTGCGTTTTAAATGTGCTATATAAATAAACTATGCTATGCTAAGTGTTATTTAATCTTAAAAATTTGAACAATTAATGAGCATCCACGTGAGTTTAGCACTAGCTCTGGAGAAAGGCCTCAGCCCAGGCCTCGGCCTCACGTTAATAGATGTTCAGCCATTTCGACTCTCTGAACTTTAGTTTTTTTCTGTGTGTTTGTGTTTGAATGTTAATCATGGAACTAGTTGGACAAAAAGGAAAGATGTGTGGTTATTGACTGCGCTAAAAGACCATTCAAGCAGTTTCTGCTTTTTTTTAATCAGTAAGTACATTTATATTTCTATACTTCATTTCATTGGTTGAATGGGGGAAATGCTGTGTCATTTACCTGCTTGGTCAAACATGTTAGTGGGGCTGCATAAGAACCTTGAGCGGTTGTCCAGCTTCTCCTGTCTCCTGCCTGAGAATAGCAGGAGGCTGGCTGTTCCCGTTTCCCGGGGCAGCCAGGCCGGCTCCGAAGCGAGGCTGTAGTCATGCTGGTCAATGGTGGATCTCTGAGGGAGACCACAAAAACACTGCGGCTCTTTTTGTTGACGCTGCTTCACTTTTGAGTCGCTCAAGCGCATTTTTCTTAATGAAAACGACCGGAAAAACTCCATTAACTTTGAGTTAGTATGTAGCTAATGTCCCGCTGATCTTTGGCTCCTGGAGAAGGGACAATCAACAACGGCGGACATCCCGGCCCAAGAAGCTCCTTCTTAGCTTAGCTAAGTTAGCTAGTAGCTACACTGTTTCACCCCGTTTCCTATTTTTAGATTGTCTGAGCGTGACGGGACCTGTGACACGGTCAAAACGGCGGTGGTGGGAACCTCCCAATTGGGAACAAAAACATTTTAATTTGAGCCTATGGACATGAATTGTCTAGTATATATGTTGATGGTAAAGACATATTTTACTGTCCTGTGGTTTATCATTCTTTCCTTCAGGAGTTTAGTGACTTTTAATCCTCCACTGTGAAGCTGTTCATACTGGTGATTGTTGGTGATTTTAACATCCACACTTAGGGATGGGTACCGAATTCGGTACTTTTTAAGGTACCGACCGAATTCCATAGTACCGACCGAGCACCGATTCACGTCATTTCAAAAGGTGCCTCGTTTCGGTACCCGTCCTTCATAACGAGAACTTGCCAAGACAGCTGCGCATGCGCAAGAGCGTTATGTCGTCGGCCCTTGCGAGCGAGTTGTAAACAGAGCAGCATGGTAGAAAGAACGCACGCTAATGCTTGGGTCCACTTCACTAAATGTGATGGGTAACTGGGTGATGATGAAACCAGCGACAACGATCTAAGTGAGACATCCTCATCTTAATCTGCTCCGGTAGGTAAATAAAATGTTTAAGATAACGTTACCTTGATATGTTAGCTTCCATTTCGCTAATGGTGAGTTCGCTTTCTCCTCGGAACTCCAAATTTCTGACTAGATAAACATGAACGCGCTCTAAAGTTTGGCTTCACTTTACTAAATGCAACGGGTGATTGGGTGAAGATGAAACCAGCGACAACGATCTAAGTGTGAGGCATCATCATTTTAATCTGCTCCAGCAGTTAAATAAACTGTTAAAGATAACGTTAGCTTGATATGTTAGCTTCCATTGCGACCGTTGTTATCAGCTAATGGTGCGTTCGCTTTCTCCTCGGAAATTCTAACTTCCCAGTAGGAAAAATCAAATGAAAAAAGACGGCAAAAGGAAAGAAGATGCACAGTAAATTTAGTTCACAGTAAAGATGTTTGCTTCAGTTTAATTATCAGCTTATAAAACTACAAGGACGATGTTAAAATACAAACAGTTGAATGTTATTTATCATGATATTTATCAAATATTGTTATATATTGAGAAAAATATAATTGTAATTATAAAAGAGAATTAAAATAATAAACACTCAAAAGTATCGAAAATTGGTACCGTTAAGTACCGGTATCCATTCGTAGGTACCGGGTATTAGTACCGGATCGATTCAAATGTCAAAGGTACCCATCCCTATCCACACTGATGATGCCTCAGACCACTTCTCCAGCCTCATGGACTCCTTCAGCTTTGCTCAGCATGCTTCCGGACCCACACACACCAGGGGGCACATTCTGGGCCTTGTTTTTACCATGGGTTTAAATAATGACAGTGTTTGTCCCAAGGACGTTTATATCAAATCACCATTGCATTTTCTGTAACTTCTCGTTTTCATATCGAGAGCACAACTAGCAAATTTTCAGCTGATTTTAATTCCCCCTGTTCTTCTGATTATGACCCAGATTTTTTAACCTCTCAGTTTAACAAGCTCTATTCTGAACAACATCTGTCCTGTCAGAACCAGATCAGTTCCTGCAGTGAACCCTACACCCTGGTTTAATGACAGCATTCGCAGCCTGAAGCATCGAAGCAGAAAAATTGAGAGCTTGTGGAAGGAAACCTGTCTCCATGTGCTCCATCTAAATGACCTTCTGACATCCTTTAACTCTGCAGTCAGAGACGCGAGGGTTTCCTATTTCTCCAACCTGGTGTCCCAGAGCAAAGGGAACCCCAAGGTGCTGTTTAATACCATCAGCAGAATCGTCTCTCCTGCCTCTCCTACAGCCTCCATCCACTCTGTTACAGACTGTGAGAACTTTCTGTCTTTCTTTGTGGACAAAGTCAATAAGGTTAGATCTAGCATCTCTCCTTCAGCCTTATTGCTGCCTCTCCCGACTCCAACCAGGCCCATCATCCTAGATAGCTTTGCTCCTGTTTCTTTGCCTGAGTTAACCAAACTAGTTAACTCTATGAAGACCTCTGCATGCCCCCTCAACATCTTACCCTCATCTTTGTTTAAAAGTGCTTTTCAGTCCATCGGTTCCAGTGTGCTCTCTATAATTAATGCTTCTCTGAATTCTGGTCAGGTCCCTGCTTTCTTTAAAAATGCTGTAATTCACCCGCTTCTTAAAAAAAACGAGTCTTGACGCCTTTCTCCATAGCAGCTTCAGATACATCTCTAAACTTCCGTTCATCTCCAAGATCTTGGAAAAGGTTGTGGCTTAACAACTCACAGCTGCTCTTGATGAACATAACATCTATGATAGCTTCCAGTCAAGTTTTCGTAGAGCTCATTCTACTGAAACCGCTCTTCTTAGGGTCTCTAATGACCTTCTGACTCACAGTGATGCAGGGGACTGTTCTGTTCTGGTTCTGCTGAACTTGACTGCAGCCTTTGACACTGTTGACCATCACCTGCTACTGGAGAAGCTAAGAGACTGGGAAGGCCTATCAGGACCAGGGGTCTCATTTATAAAACATTGCATAGAATCCTTACTAAAACCGTAATTAAGCTCAGCAAAAAAAATGTACTTACGCCATGTTAGTTTGTGACCTATAAAACATGGAGCATGCACAGCTTCACACAATCTCCGCTTTATAAATCACAAACTACCTAGAAATGTGCTCAGGTGTTTTTCATTTGTTCTGTGTGCGCACGAAGCGGTACAAGTGATAATGCTGCTGGAATTCATAATTTTATCCTTCTCAGCAGCAGCACTGCAGGTGCTCTCCATGTCCAAAATGTGCGTAAGCCAGGTCCTTAGTCAACTTAAAGTTGTGCACATTTTTCCACTCCGTTTTCTTTTATAAATCCCAAAGTTTGCGTGGAAAGTTGCTTACGCAGTTTTCCGACCCTGCTTTGTGCGTAAGCAAGCTTGATAAATGAGGACCCTGCACTGGAGTGGTTCTCCCCTTATCTTTCTGAACGTTCCTTCTATATAGCCATCTTTAAGTTTTGGTCCTCCACGACCTCCCTCATCCATGGTGTCTGAAGGGCCCCTACTCTTCCTCCTCTAGCTGCTTACTCTTCAACAGATCCTGAGCTCCTTTAAGGGAATCTCCTACCATCTTTATGCAGATGACATCCAACTGTACATCTCCTTTAAGCCCCATGAGATGTCTAAGCTGCAGCTGTTACACACCTGCTTAGACTCTATCAAAGCCTGGATGGCTGGGAGCTTTCTACAGCTGAATGAAGATAAGACTGAGATCCTCATCTGTGCCCCAGACAAGCTGGTTCCCAAAGTCAGAGACTCTCTTGGTCAGCTTGCTTCCCACACCAAACCTTCTGTCAGGAATATTGGTGTGACCTTTGACCCAGCTCTCACCCTGGATTCTCATGTCAGTTCTCTTGTTGGCTCTTCCTTCTTCCATCTCAGGAACATTGCTGAGGCCCATTCTGTCTCACTCTGAACTTGAGATCGTTATCCACAACCTTCATCTCCTCACACTTAAGACTACTGCTTGCTTTAGGGCCTTCAATAGACAAGCACCATCTTAAATTGGTGATCTTCTTAGTCCCTACACCCCCAGCAGGTCCCTGAGGTCCAGTGACCAAAGCCTACTGGTTGTGCAGCACCAGGCTAAAGACCAAGGGTGACAGATCATTTGCTGCTGTGGCCCCCAGACTCTGAAACTGTGGAGCCTGGGATCAGTGGACTCAGTGGTCTCCTTCAAAAAGCAGCTGAAAACTCACTTGTTCATACTGGCTTTGGTGGGACCTTCATCACTTCCCTCCCCTTATTCAGCTCTTTCTACCAACTCCGCCTTTCCTGGGATTCCCTCTTTCTTGTTCGTTTTCTCTTTCCCTTTCATTTTTAAATCAAAATTTTTTCATTGATCTCATTCGTAGATTTAATTATTTTTTTTTTATCTTAATTTTTGTTCTTGTGAAGCGCATCATGATAAGTTTTCTTTCTTTATTTTCCAAATTTCTACAACTTTTCAAGCACGCTTTCATGACTCAGCATTACAGAACTGATCCACTAACCTGGCTGAGGAGCTGCCCGTGAAAGATGGTGTTGAGAACCTTCAGCACTTGCTTCGAGAGCTTCCTCTTTGTGATGGGAATGACAATCCGCCGTTTTGACCCGTCCGTGTCCAGCTCTTGCTGCACCTTGTCCAGTAGCTCACACAGGAACTCCTGGGCATCTTGCTGGTCGTAACCACGGAAAGCTGGAATGAGGTTCCACACGGAGTGCAGCATGGCAAAGGGAGAGACCAGAGACCACCGGCCTGACCACATGACCCTGAAAAGTGTATGCAACTCATGGCACAGAGACATTTGCTGGCGAGTGGAGCAGCGAGGCTCCTTGGGCTGGACCAGTTCTGCTGCCTGGGAGGAAGGAGGGACACTTTCTTTATTACCCACAGGCAAATTCCAACAGCCCGCCTTCCCCATACGTCCCAGAGGTAAATCTGACAGTGGTGTGTTCCCACTGACAACCCCCCCAGGCATGGCCTTCACTCCCTGGGAGTGATTGGTCTTGGCTAGCAGCTCCTCTGTCTCACATAGGTCCAAAGTGAGAAAACACTCCCTGAATTTCTGCAGGTGGCTCAGCACTTGCAATATCGAGTTCATGTAGCATGTGTTCCCCAAGTTACGCAGACCAGTGACACCTGGAGCAAGTTTCCTTCGTGTTACAGCATGTGTGGAGTAGTATCTCCTCAGTTTGGTGGCTCTGCCATCCCGGGGAGCCTTGCGGGGCACAGCAAGAATCGAAGGCTTCTTAGGAGGAGGAACAGGAGGTAGGCGTTCAGGTGGGTCGCGAAATTTGCGAGGAACGAGTGTGATGGTTGAACGTGGCGCCTGAGTTAGAAGCCTGGCACTCTTTCTGGGAGGAACACTAACAAGTTCTTCCATAAGTCTCCTCTTTACCTCCTTCTTTTGTCTCCTAGCTTCCTCCAGTTTCTCTTTGCACTGACTCTGAAGCTCCTGGTGTTTGCTCATCCACATCTGGAGCATCTTCCTCATGAGCACTTTCCTCCTGTGGCGAAAGGCCAGCTGCATGGCTGGCTGCGGTCCGCCTTCCCCCCCGGTGGAAGAGCGCAGCGAGCGTCTACCTGGGCTCCGAACTGTAGACAGGGCCCCTCTGAGGAGTTTGAGGTCTCCTTCTGCATTGTCATTGAGTACATAGTCTCCACAGGCAAAGCAGAAGACATCCAGCTCCCGCACCTCCATAGCCAATGGGTGATGGGACTCCTGGAAGTGTTTGAGCGAGTGTTCCTCCATGAAGCGTCCACAGGCCACATGGGAGCACTTGAGGCAGGCCCACACCGAATCTGTAGTGCTGCACTCCACACAGTGCCATTTCTGAGGATTGAGAATAGAATGGTCCTCGCCTAGACGAAGGCGTCCCACGTGTTTACAGCGGTCCATCTCTCCAGACACACATGTGGCCTCAGTGAAAGGACGCACGTCCTTCAGCCAAACAGCAACTCATTCTGAAAGAAATAATAAATGACTGTTCACAAAACCACAATGAAGATTAAACACGTTATGCTGTAGAGAATAACTGAATAAAAACTAACAATAAAACTATTTAGCTTGATCAGGTTTGGGACAAAAGATCACATCATCTTCGGAGCTCAGCAGCAACTTCAGCTCTGCCCACGGTCACCACCAGCACCATCAGGACGGGTCTGAAAAACAAGGATTACAGTTGCATAAAACGTGTCAGCGATGAACGTCTAAGTCAATTAATTAGTTACAAGGTGAGACAACAAATAGGGTTAACACCAGTGCAAAAAAGGATTCATTAATCACCAGGAAACTACATTTTTCATCCCTAGATCTAGGTCTGTCTCAAAGTTAAAATAATAATAATAAAATATGCATATATACAAAGGAAAATAAATAAGATGTTATTTAAAACAAAACTGGTGTAGCTTTAGATCAATTGCTGGACTGATCGTCAGCTTTGCTGAAACACTAAAGAAAATAATTCTAACCCTGACAACAAGTTTGAATCAGAAATTTGCTTATTTTTCTGTCTTTCAGCGTTAATATTCTGAACTTTATGAAACTTAATTTAAAATGTGATTCACTAAAGCAACATCGTTACAAAGCTTGGCGGATTTGTTTATTTGGAAACTAGAGTTTATGGACAAATCAGATGCTGCAGGCACCATCGCTGCCTCGGGTCGCAGCAACTGGTTCCTTGTTAGTTTAAACCCCTGTTATGTTGAGCTGCCGCCGCCATGCATGTTAACGGTCTTCTATAATCGCATCGAGCTGCTAACATTTTTCATTTAAACCACTTTCTGCTGTGTTTGTGTTAACTGCTGCAGCGTGGCTCGGACAGGCTGACTCCTTAACGCCATGCTAAGCTACTCCACCATCACCATGTTCAGCCAGAACAAAGAACACGGAGCCACTCTCTCCAGGAACCTCCAATAACTTTGTTGGTTGGAGGCAGCCCGGCTAACCGCTAGCTACAGCGGCTCGGCTCCGTGGGTTAGCCACGAGCGAAGCGGCGCGAATAAACACGCTTGGTTAATCACAGATTATGTTATTTGCTCGAAGTACACACTGTTAGCTTAAATATAACTTGCATTAGCCGCGCTGCTAACGCTCCTGCCGAAGACAATCGAAGTTAATCTAATGGTTGTTGTTGTTCGCTAACTAATGGCTTAGCTCGCGAGCAAACTGCGCCGTTAACCTTTTAAAAACTACCCCGGTGACATTCACCTCACCGAGCCGGTTACGCGGCTGAAACGAGGCTTGTTAGAAAGTCCGACGTCAGAAAGAGATCGGTGTTGTTAACATCGCCGACACTGATCCACCTATCCATCCATCCGGTACTCTGAGAGCTGCGGCTTGTTGTCCTCCGCACAGATTGAACAACCCAACTCTATCCGAGCTCAGACCCCACTGCTCTCATTGGACCGGGGCTGATCGGCAGCCGGGCTCTCATTGGTCCAACTGCGGAACAACAGGCGGCAGGATGGACCGTCCGTCCACCCACCCACCCACCGAGGCCACATGGAACAATAACCGAGGCTGGGGCCGTGCTGCATACCGGGGAACAGGGGGGAGGAGTGCTGGCTTCAAGGGGCTGAAGAGGCGGTAAAACAAAGTTTTGTAACAAGTGTGACACATAAATAAACAAATGATACAAACATTCTAATGTTTATGAAAAGCCTAATGAATGGAATTTATATGTTGGGCTGTTTATAGAACTCATGATATGCTACATTTGCATCTAACAAAACAAAACAATTATCTATAGTAGCTAGGTCATGTTGTATATGGTAAAGGTCGTCTGTATATTTGTAAAAAAAAAAAAAAAAAAAAAAGTAAAAAAAAGACATTTAGTTATTGTGAGAAAAGCATTTCAGTATTTGCCAAAACAATTTCTTAAATATTGCAAAGTATTAAATTATTGTAAATACTAGTAATTGTCTAAAAAGAAAACTAGATATTTTGCCACATAGACAATAAATGCATAGGAGTATTATAAGTGAAAAATTGTTACACATCTTTAATATTTGTAAAATATAGAACAATGAAACACTAAATATTTAATTTTAAAATAACTACGTTTATGAGAGATCTATCTCTTTAATAAGATTTGTACTACCCTGAGCCCGGCGCGGTTCCATCGGCCCGGCCCCCAGCAGCGCCGAGGGGTGCTGCTGAGCCAAGCAGGCCCAACAACATTCATCGTGTCGCGATGAGCACGGGACCAGAGGACGACGGTTGCAGATGAGTGGAAGAGATGCCAGGAGGAAGATCAAACGAGCTCTGAACTTTACGTCAAAAGTAACATCACAGCAGGATCGATTAATGAGACTGATGGAGGAGGTGAAGGAGCTTAAAATACTGCTAACTGAAGATAAGAAGATTTCGGCCTAAGAGCAAAGAGTTGATGAACTTGAACAATATACAAGACGAGAGGATTTGGTGATAATGGTGGAAACCCGACACAGAAGCTACGCAAAAGCAGTAGAAGATCACGACGCAGCAGGAGAGGCGTCAGACAAAGAGCCCGAGACACTAGAGCAGCAAGCGGTTACTTTTCTGCACAGCAAGAACATAACTACTCAAAGAGATACTATCATCAGAAACCTGCAGTGAACACGTCTGTTTTCCTCTAGTGGAAGACCTGTGTATTACAGGCGACAGGTAATAATAATTATACAGTTATATTTAATTACATAAATAATGTAATCACTAAGTCATTTAGTTATATAGTCCAGTAAACTGTTCATTTTATAACGTGTGTGTATTTTAATTTAATGCGTCAGACATGTGAAGGGTTAAACTGTTCTAACTTCAAATATGGAAACATTTCAACTTAGTTTTTACATCTTCTCCCCACATGTATTTCATGTACATTTTTAACTTTGGTCTTTATTTTGAATTAAGTCTCATTAGATGACTTTTCTTTACATTCCTAAATAATGTTATTGATAAGAAGCATCTCACTCTTGAATGTGAATTAAGTGATTTGTTGAAGTGCATGTGGGAGTTCTTGTTTTGTGTTCTAATCAAACCTTCAGGTCTTTGGGTTAGGGACCGGTGAACATCCAGGGAACAGACATTGAGGTAGTGGACTCTTATAATGACCTGGGTGTTCACCTGAACAGCAAACTGAGGCCATAACACAGATATTCTTCAGTAAGGGCCAGAGCACACTACCCGCTGATGCCACTGAGGTCCACTGGAGTGCAGGGGGTGCTCCTACAGACCTTGACTAAATGGTGGCATCAGCCATCTTTGATGGTGTGGTTTGTTAGGTCAGCAGCATAGCTACTGCTGAAAGACAGAGACTAGATAAGCTTATTGACACTACATCTGCCCTAGGATTTCTCCTTGATCTAGTGCAGGAGGTGGGATACAGGACTGGCTAAATTAGCATCACTTTTACACAATGTCTTCCACCCCATGCATGAAGCTGGGGAACTCCTACAGCGGCAGAATGCTGCATCCATTGGTGCACGGAGAGTAATCCCAGGTCCCTATTTACACATTTCTCCTTTCATGCCATCACTCCTCATTATAAACTTCGTCTATCTGCACAGATTTTTTTTATTCGATTGAATGTTTTAAGAATTTCTTGCATATGTTACAGGATTTTGTTCTTCTTTGCTCCTGATGTGAATGATTGCTGCTGTGACACCAACATTTCCCCACCGAGTGTAAGGAATTTTTACTTCTTGCAGAAATAGGTAGATTTTTGTCTTTATTTTTGTCTGTGTTGAGCATTTGCATCTATAGATTGTAGCTGTATTCCTTTTAACTGTATCAGGGTAAACAAATACAAAACTGAAGTTACAAAAATAGAACTATACAAATCATACGGTTTCCATAGGACCACATTTAACACACATCAATACAATCATTAAAAAATGTTATTAGTGCACATTGCTTCCTGTGATTTGTAACTTCCGTAGCTTGTTGAACAACTCCAGGTACTGAGTCATGGTGTCGACAGAGTCTGCTGGTGCAAAAAGACCCTCAGGCTTGGCAGCAAATACAGTGGGAAGCTCAGGAACATTGTTGCCAAGAAAAGACAGCATGAACTCCTTCATGAGGTTCCAGCAGTCCCCTGGAACCACACAGGGACAGTACTCCACCTGAGGAAAACACATCAAGGGTTAATCCTGTCAAAAAAGAGAACAATGGGCCTCTGGTCTAACTGATAATACCAAACTGTCACCTCCACTGATATCCCTCGAACACTGGAACTCATTGTGACCGTGCCAACTTTAATCAAGAAGTCACAGTAGCGATATCTCGAACCGCGACACTCCACCTTGTGTCCCTTGGCATTCTGGAAATGGGTCTTCAGCTTCACCATGAGGACGTCAAAGTTTGTGTCCGCTACCAAACAGGGTCCTCCTTCAAACAGAGCCAAGCAGCTCAGGGGAAATTCAGAGTTGTGCATTACATAAAGGAGCTTGGAGGGCTGACCTGTAACAAACCCAGACTTAAAGTGAGAAATTGCATGAAGAACAGCAAAATGTAACAATGCAATTTTTGCATAATGACTTTGCATGATTTTTTTATTTTTGGACACAGATTAGAGCAGCATGCTTATTAAGTTTAAAATTACACAAGTAAGTAGTAGAATCATACCATGTCCTGTTTATATAAATGTTGCTTATGAGGGATGCGAGAGCAGACACCTTTTTTTCAGGAGGACACTTGAGCTAAATTAGATCATGATTTACTGCTCTGCTAATGGACTCATTGGTGGAAACCTGGAAAAAAAAGACTAGTAGTAACTTAGAAAGATAAATGCCAAATCAAACGTTTATAGACCCCGGGTTGCGGATGTTTATAAAACATAAAAATAAAAACTATTTTTCAAGGAGCTTAATGTAAATGGCCTGTGTTTGTATAGCACCTTCACAGGGTTCTACATCCCCCCAAAGCACTTCACAACACAGTCACTCACACACACATTCACACGCTGGTGGGAATGAGCTATGATGTCACTACAGATGCCCTGAGGCGCACTGACAAAGGCGAGGCTGCTGAGCACTGGTGCCATCGGCCCCTCTGACAACCACCAGCAGGCAAGGCAGGTTAAGTGTCTTGCCCAAGGACACAACAGCAGAATTCTTTGGTCTGAGCCGGGATCGAACCTGCAACCTTCTGGACAACCCGCTCTACCTCCTGAGCTACTGCTGTCCCATTTAAACAAATTTAAGCGGATTCTTGCAGTGGATGGGGCTTTTTAAATGTTCCTGACTTCTGGGGAAAGATACAGTGGAAACGTGGCTCATTTAACCTTGCATAACATAGTAATGAAGATTTACAGAAAACCTTTCTAAAACACACCAACTGTATTTTAATCTGGCTATTTTTACCCAATGGATGACTGTTTTTGTTAACCTTACAGAGAAATAAGATCAGTAAAAATGAAAATTACATAGCTTGACAATATATTTGTCACAAGGCACACATATCCTGGACAATTGAGTTTAAGTCAAATATTTGACATAATTATTAGAACATTTTCAAAAAGCAGAATTTAATCAAAGAAATATGACAAATTCCCCTGCAGCAAGTTGTATTAATAGCAATGCAGAAGACTATCCATCTAAAGCACCTAAACAACAGGAATGATAATATTTATATGGTTAATAGCTGAAAATTACCGCCAGCGTTTACTGTTGATTGATATGTTTCACAGTCTACACAGAAGTTGCCCTGCTTCACAGCTCCAAGCTGCTCCAGCTTCTTATGCAGAATGTCCACTGTCTGTTGGACACTCTTCCCCTCCGCCACGGGCACCTGGCAAACACTGCACAGCACAAGAACAACACAACACCGTGAAGCAACCTGTTCAAAATTGATCATGTGCAATAACATTTGAATGTCCTATTTCTGTTTACTCAATATGCTAAAATTCTGCTTACTGAACCCAACTAATATATATATTACTGTTCATTTTACATTTATATTATTTCTGTATTATTTTTTGTATAGTTTTCCATTTTGCACTAAAGAGAGTGGCACTCTAATTTCGCTGTACACCGTACAACGACAATAAACACTATTCTATTCAGTGTAAAACGGTTTGGAAGCAAATAAAGGCTACATTCACCGAGTTAGCTACACATGCCGAACGAAATCATATGCACAGCGTGATAAAATATATTACAAAAATATTATTACAGTTAGCATTTAACTACAACATAAGTAAATCTGCTTACCAAGTAACACCCATTGATTTCTCGCCTGCAAAAAACACTCGTGAAGCAATTACTTCCGGATTAACATTTACACTTCCGGTGCACGTAAACGACCTTGTTTCAGAAAATTAAAAAACAAACTCAAGAAACTTTATAATCATATTGCATAAATGTATGTTACATACAAACATATAAAATCAACATCATATAAAATTGTATGTTATATATATGTTTTTCAGTGCACAGACGTTACGTATATCGTCACTTCCGCCGTACGGTAATCTGCACGTGTAGAATACAGACTGTTTACAGAATTCTTTCTCCGCGTTGTTTGTGTCTCTAATGGTAAAACAAAACACGGACAGCGTCGTCGCAGCTTGAGTCACTCTTGAAAGATGCCGAAAGTGAAAAGAGCTAAAGGTGGCGGTGGAGGAGAGAAGAGTGGCGGAGGAGGAGCGGTGCCACTGGCCGACCAGATCCTCCAGGCGGACACGATCCGAGCCCGAGGCCGGGTGAAGAATCGAGACGCCCGGGTCGAAAGTGAGGACACCTACGTGGACGAACGTCTGTCAAGGAAAATCTTACAACAGGCCCGGATTCAACAAGAGGAGTTGCAGACCGAGTATGGCCTGGCACCTGAGCAGAGGAAAGCACCAGTCACTGTTCTCGGTATGATGGAGGGTTTCGGACCTTAAATTGGCAGTATTTTTTTAATTAAGTCTGGTTTATCAAGCGTAGAAACCACGAAAGTGTTTTTGTAATTAGTTATACGGTGTTACTTATGCAACATCCCTTTAGTTCTCTGCAAAAATAAAACTAATGACGAATGTTTTTTATGTGGACAAAATGTCAGACGATCACAGAGAAAAATAGTTCCCAGCGTGATCTTCTCAGAACTATTTAGGTGAAATAAGTCTTTGCTGAATGCATGAATAATATTTTCTAATGTTGTCTGACCTGTTTATTTTAGGCCCTGAGTCCCAGGATGCTGACTCAGATGAAGATTGGCCAGTTCTGGGAGAAGCAGGTGCTGGGGATGGTGATGTGGAGGGTGATACTGAAGTCATCGTTGATTCTGATGATGAGAAGGCCATTGAGATGTTCATGAATAAAAACCCTCCAATGAGGCAAGATTTCTCACAACTTTGTTTGAATTCTAGCTGTTGGAATTTGCTAAAGTCCACTTTGAGGTTAAGTTTATGTTCGTATACTCAGCTGTTTTCCTCTTTGTGACCATCACAGGCGGACCTTAGCTGATATTATCATGGAGAAGATCACAGAGAAGCAAACCGAGGTGGGAACAGTGATGTCTGAGGTATCAGGGGTTCCAATGCCCCAGCTGGACCCTAGGGTGACCGAGGTCTACCGGGGTGTCGGTAAGGTAAGTTATACAGTTGTTTGTGTTATGTTGAAATGTGTTCTCCTGTTAAAAATGATCTCACCTACTTTGTTCTTTTCCCAGGGTATCTGCAGGTTTAAGGGTGCCAAATTTAAGACTTTTTAAGACCTTTTTAAGGCCACTTTGACCAAATCTAAGCTATAATTTCCGGCTATTGCCTGGAACCGGTGCCAACCACGTCGCGAACGTGGGATTATCCATCCAGTAGCCATTAAACTTGCCCTTCCCCATGGCTCAAGCTCCCACTAGCTTAACCAGCTAATGTGCTAATCTAAAAATAGCCACCTTTCACAACCAACTGAATGTGTACGGTTCTGCTTACGCCAACATCATACACACAAAAAAGCTGAACACTAACTAGAAATTCACGAAAATGTTATAGTAATAAAATAATCTTGTTTATTGGGTCTTTGGTCATTTAAGACCTTTGGAAACTGTATTTAAGGATTATTTGTAATTTTTAAGGATTTTTAAGGCCTTAAATTTGGAAAAGCCAATTTAAGACTTCTTAAGGACCCGCGGATACCCTGTTTTCCCCTTTACTTTAGTTTTTAAGCAACTGTATTTTAAAGGTCCTGTATCATGTCATTTTACACCTTCCAGAGCAACAGTAGATGCAAGATACTGTTGATTGTATTGTATTGTAGTGCACTGTTGGCACTTCAGAGATGTAATTTGTTTATTGAAATTATTTTCGTGAGACATTCCTTCAACCCAGAAATAAGATGCTTGGATTCAATTAAACCCAGCCCGACTTGGATTCAATTAAACCCAGCCCGACCCCCCCCCCCCCCCCGGTATGAAATTCACAGTAATATACAGCTGCAGACTTGGAGACTGCAAATCCATGGCAACATCTCTTCTCAAGTCAAGCTGCAAACACACAGAAAAAAGATTGCCGAGATGGTAGATGCTGAGATTCTCGGCCTGAATTATCTGAATTATGGTCCCAGTCTGTCCCTGACACTCACCCACCACACTTTATAACCATTTGGCATTTGGTTAGCATTTTGGTTGTACTCACCACTCTGGCTCTTCATTTCTTGGTTTTAACACTGGATCGACGCCAGTTTCAAGTAGTCATCTGTCTGAAAACCCACTCTGGTAGTGGTTTAACAAGCAGTCTATGAAATCACAGCCACATTCTGGCTCGGTTTTTGAGAGCTTCTGAAGATAAAATCCTACCAGAAGAAACTTCTTCTGAAAGACTGGATGGGGTCCTGTATCTCTTGTAGACTGAAATAAAATTTTGGGTTCCAGGCATTATCAAAAGTGCAGACTAGATTTTTAAAAAATCACTTATTTACTTCTGTGGGGATTAAACTTATCTCGCTACAAAGAGAGACTGTGCATTAGTGTTTACAGTCCAGGGGAGGAGGGATCCAGACTGAGTACTGCCTGGATGGGGAGGAGTGGGACATGATGACACAGCAACAACTCCATCCAGGCTTCTGCAGCAGATGGACACACCGGCTAGGATTTGCAGCTGAGACAGTAAAATGCGTGCACGAAGCCAAAAATCACTTTGGGGTGGTTTTTTAATGAGGAAATAACTATTTAACAAGTTCCAAAAAGTAGATTTAGCATGATATATGATCTTTAAGAAATATGTTAAAGATCTGAATTGGTTTCTGGGAAGTTTTTGTTATTGTAGCAAGAAAATATAAAAATATGCCAAACTTATTTAAAAAAAAAATACAGAAATCAAGGAATCAGAGTTCAGTTTCCTCATGTCAGTTGTGTTTTCCTTTTTGTCCTCCTTTTAGATTGTTTGTTTTTAATGAATGTGGGCTTCATTTTATCATTCTCATCTCCAAACTTCGGAATATTGTTCAAACGATGATTTTCAGATTTAGCAAGTGTTTTTCAAGTCAACTGTAATTTCATCATTTCTCTTCCTATCTTTTAGGTTTTGTCAAAGTATCGCAGTGGAAAACTGCCAAAGGCTTTCAAAATCATCCCGGCTCTTTCAAACTGGGAACAGGTTCTTTATCTGACTGAGCCTGAAACCTGGACTGCGGCAGCCATGTACCAGGCAACAAGGTGATCTCCCTGTTTGTGTTCCATTTACTGAGTTGATCCCAAATACTCAAATTTGAACAAGGCTTTGATGATGTCATATAAAACATTTAATGTAAATGTTCTTATGTCTGGATTTGGGAGTTAAAGGCGCATTCCTGAACTTTGCGGATATATGCTCTCTGTCCAGGGGCGCAGATAGGATTTTCAAACTGGGGGGGGACAAAGTTCCAATGTACCCTCCCCCAAACACACGCACGCACACACACACATGCACACACACATACACAAACTATTGCAAGCGCCTCAACTAGAGCTCAGTCAGTTTGTGTAATTTCCTCCAATGGTTTACGTAAAAACTAACACTTTTATATATGTGTTTGAAGCCGTTACGCAGTGGAACGCTGGCAACAAAGCTCTGCCTGATCAACACTATGAATGATAAATGATCCGCACTTGTATAGCGCCTCTCAGAGTAAGGACTCCAAAGTGCTTTACACTACAGTGTATCATTCATCCATTCACACACACATTCACACACTGATGGTGATGAGCTACGATGTAGCCACAGCTGCCCTGGGACGCACTGACAGACGTGCCCCACTATTTAAATCAGTCATTATTCTCCCAATCAATTACTAACCAAAACCTCATGCTTTATGCAAAACATTAAATGATTTTCAGCATACCAATCTTTACAGAAAACATAAAAGCCCTAAAAAACTGCACATAAAATACATTTAAAAAACGAAATTCACTTATCACTTAGAGCAGTGGTTCCCATCAGCCTGACCAACAGATGTTCCTTCGTATTTTTACGTTATTTATAAATTTTCATTATATTTGGAAAGTTTTAATTTATATATAAATCACTTTTAAAATTTAATATTTCACTTTTTTTATGATTATGTGGCACACTTGACTTCCATAAATAACGCATCGGCATCTGCCTCTTTTTATGGCTTTTTTTTTTTTTACATTGTCGCTACGTCTGTCACGTTTGCGGTGTTTTTACCATCATTTCTACATCCATCACGTCCCAGAGAAGGTTAAACCAACATCAAACCCAACGTTTGGAGCTTGTAAACTCCACACACCTCTCGTGCAGCACCAGCTGTCTGATGCTGGAGCTGCATAAATCTTCCCAGCTGGATGAGTGAATTTCTTCATCAGAGTCAATATTCTGCTTCATAATCAGAGTCAGTCATTACCAGACAAAGTGATCAGTCAACAAAGACCAGACCTGCCGGCAATTATACGTTTTATCTAATATTTGCGCTCTTCATGCTGCACGCATCTCCTCCTCTCCCCGACTGCGAGCCTCTAGGCGGGAGACGTTTTTCAAGCTCTAAAAACTCCCAAACTTTGCTCAGCCTGAAGGTTCCACATCTCCACTATCTTCTGGTGTAAAGTAGTAACTTCATGAGGGATCATATTTGTAGATGAGACTTGTTAAAGTCAGCAATGATGCTTTGGCGCTTATAACCAACATGCATAAACAGACAGATCGGTCCTGCCTACTTACATTGTTGGTCTTTTTTAAATAATAATAATAATAATAATGCATTGAACTTATATAGCGCTTTTCAAGACCCCCAAAGACGCTTTCACACACTCTCACATTCACACACTGCTAGTGATGGTAAGCTACTTGTAGCCACAGCCGCCCTGGGGAGGTCTGACAGAGGCGAGGCTGCCATTTGGCGCCGTCGGCCCCTCTGACCACAAATACGCCTTTTTCGCTTCATCCTGCATCCTAGCAGCAACCACTTTGGCGTCTCTGGAGTTGGTGTTTGTTTATGTCATGCTGCATTCGGTGCAATTGGAAAAAGGAGCTTCAAGCACTTAACCTCCGATTTTGTTTTCTTTCTGGCCTTAGTTGGGGGGGGACGGATCGGGATCGATCTGAATCTGGGGGGGACGGATCCCCCCCCGTCCCCCACCCTATCTGCGCGCCTGTCTCTGTCGCCCACTCAAGGCTTGCTGCGTAACGTCACTGTCATGAAATCAAATCTCTTGTCTGCATAAGAGGCATGTTTACTGGCTGTTTTCCAACTCGCGTGCCCAAACAAACACATTAAGCAGCATTGAAAAACGTTTTTATCAGGACTGTAGAACAACTTCATGCCAGACAAAACACAATAATCCCGGTGGAATAATTTATTACTTACCTATCCATTAGCAGCACGGCTAGGTCAGAGTCCGTAGTACATGCCATTCTTTCAAGAAGATCTCTCCAGCAAGGAAAAGTCAGCCCGATGTTAACTCTGGTCTTTGCTCTTGCTCTATCGCGTTCTCTTTTTCTTTTCCTAGATTCCTCTGATAAGGGATTTCTAGCTTTCTTTGGTGGATTTGCCATTGCTCAAGTCTCTAAACCGTGGGTCTACCACAGACATTTGTAGATGTCCTTTGGACTGGTGCTGCCTACTGGAGCTGTCGTAGTGGCCGGCCGCCATTCGTCTCCATTGCATTCATTTCTACTGAAGATGTTTACCCATTTAAAAAAACACATTTTATCAAGCTTTTTCACATAATAAGACAAGAGGTATGACATCATAATTAAAATATAAATATAACCAAACAAAATAAATAGGTAGGCTAGAAAAGTATACGAATCCCACATGATCAGTTTTCAATTGTATGCCAGGTGTAACCGTAGGCTGCACAAAAACGGGCATAGTTGCTCACTCTGTTGTAGTTGATTTCGAAGAGTGAGGAGACCCATCCAATATGGCGGCGGCACTGTTAACGCTCTCCAGCGCCCAATGGGGCATCTACGTATTCAGGTCTATGGACGTGATACTGCCATAAAACAACACACAGTCAGTACTTCTGGGGGTGGAAAGCCGGTCAAAACCTGTACAGTGCAGTAAACAGACGTGGGACCCCATAGCACTATCACAGCTCCAAAATGAACATATCATAGAATGCCACCAAAAGCTTTCAAAAATATTATTTTAAGGTGTAAATGTTGCAGATTGTGTCTTTAAGCTAAGGATTTCCTACACATTACTGCTGAGTTTAAATCATTTGGGTTATTAACATGGCAGTAATTTAATTCAATTAAATTTCAATTCAAGTTTATTTATATAGCGCCAAATCACGACAAGAGTCATCTCGAGGCACTTCACATAATAAACATTCCAATACAGGCCAGTTCAGTAAGCCAATCAGTAAAAAGTTTCCTATATAAGGAACTCAGCAAATCGCATCAAGCAATCCTCATACTAAGCAAGCATTTAGTCAGAGTGGAGAGGAAAACTCCCTTTTAACAGGAAGAAACCTCCAGAGGATCCTGGCTCAGTAAATTTTGGCATTTTTTTTGTATTTCTTTCACAGAATCTTCTCCTCCAATCTGAAAGAGCGAATGGCTCAGAGGTTTTATAACTTGGTGCTGCTGCCTCGAGTGCGGGACGACATTGCAGAATACAAACGACTAAACTTCCATCTTTACAGCGCCATGAAGAAGGCTTTGTTCAAACCAGGAGCGTGGTTTAAAGGTAGGACTCATACTATTAATCTAATGCATCTGCAGCACATTTAAATTTTTTGCTGAATTTGATGTGTTCCCTTTTAACTGAACATATTTGAGCTAAATCATGACAGTGAAATCAGCGATTCTTTCAGACTGAGTTTGAGAAAAGTACTTTTATTTGAGTACTCGCTGATATGAAGTACCAATAAATAGTTATAAATGTCAATATACTCCATAAAATGTACTTATAAACTGTTTATTTTCATGAGGCAAATACAGATGAGGCACTGGTATTGTGTCCTGTAGTGTCGGAGTTTATGAGTGGGAGTACATGCACGTGGTATCGGCCTGATAATCCGATGCCAGTATCAACACCAGTGCATCCCTGAATAAATTATTCCTCACCACATTTTTGATGAAGTAGAGGACACACCCTGAATGGTCTTTAAAGGGAAATTGTTCAACTTTTTCATATTTTTAAATAATTTTCTTGAGCCAGCATGTGCTAAAATGACCGTTTACGGGGTTAATGAGAAGTCACCCAGACGCCACCGCTCCTGTGGCCAGAATATTGCACTTGCAACTTCAAAGTGGTGGGCCGCCACCTGTTGGACTTAAAAATAATAGAGTTGACATGCCTGGTGCTAGGCTGGACCGATTCCTGATCAAAGAAGAGATATTAAATGACAGTTAGTATGGTTTTAGAACAAATCATTCAACATCCATGGCATTAATGGAATTAACAGAAGAAATATCGGAAGCCATTGACAAAAAACTCATCTCATAAGTATCTTTATTGATTTAACAAAAGCATTCGATACAGTGGATCATAAAATTCTTATTAAAAAACTTAGTAAATATGGCATCACAGGGATGGCCCTAAAATGGATAATAAGTTATCGACGGTGGCACAGGAGTTAAGTGCTCGCCCCGTAATCGGAAGGTTGCAGGTTCGAGCCCCACTCAGTCTGTCGCTGTCGTTGTGTCCTTGGGCAAGACACTTAACCCACGTTGCCTGCTGATGGTGGTCGGAGGGACTGGTGGCGCCAGTGCTCGGCAGCCTCGCCTCTGTCAGTGCGCCCCAGGGCAGCTGTGGTTACACCGTAGCTCATCCCCACCAGCGTGTGAATGTGTGTGTGAATGAGTGAATGACTGATTGTGTTGTAAAGCGCCTTGGGGGGTTCCAGGACTCTAGAAGGCGCTATATCAAATACAGGCCATTTACCATTTACCGATAGGCAGCAATATGTTCAAATAAACAACACAAAATCACATATAAATAACATTACTTGTGGTGTACCACAAGGGTCGGTATTGGGCCCTAAACTATTTATCATTTATATAAATGACATTGTTGAGGTATCCAATATATTAAAATGCACCTTATTTGCAGATGATATAACTTTTTATTATTCAGGAGATAATGTTGAGCAGATGATAGAAGTGATACAAACGGAGATGAAAAAAATTAAACTGGTTTGATGGGAACAAACTATCATTAAAGAGTGATAAATCATGTTTTATGATATTTAGTAATACATACATTCAAATGATGACATTTTATTAAATATAGATGAGATTAATATTAAAAGAGTTAAAGAAGTCAAGTATCTGGGAGTCATCATTGATGAAAAAATGTCTTGGAAACTACATATAAACAATGTCAAAACTAAAATATCTAAAACCATTGCACTGTTACATAGAGCAAAATGGTTACTTGATAATAATTCCCTATATTTGTTATATAACTCACTGATCATACCGTACCTGAACTACTGCATTGAAATCTGGGGAACAACATAAAAAATTTACACAAATTCCATTTACATCTTACAGAAAAAAGCAATAAGAATAATCACAAGGAGCAACTACAGAGATCCGTCCAATCCATTATTTATAAAAATTAAAAACACTAAAATTCTATGATCTGGTGGACTACAATATTTTAAAATTTTATGTATAATGCAAACAAAGGGTACACACCTGCAGGATTAATCAAAAGATTTACAAAAAGACATAGCAAATGATTTAAAAGGACACGACTTATTTAATATACCTAGACATCGGATACTCATAAAGGAACATTGTGTGTCCATATATGGAGTTAAAATGTGGAATAAATTAAATACTGAAATCAAGAATGCAAAAACAATATTGACTTTCAAAAAAGAGATAAAAAATGAAATGATTAACTTATATAGATCTGTTACATAAACGCGTGAGGGGAGGGGGGTTGGGGGGGTGAAAGAAAGAAAAAAGGGTAAAAAGGGAACAAGTGTATGTATGCATATGTGTATATGTAAGTATATATGTATATAACTTTATGCTTCTTTCTGTGTAACTTGTTTTCTCTTTTTTTTTTCAATTAATGGGTTGAGGTTGTGTCGGCCAACCAGTCCAGAAACTATATTGTTCAAATTTTTTAAGAATCATATGATTGTCGTTGTCGTCTTCCTCCGCTTATCCGGGTCCGGTTCACGGGGGCAGCATCCCAACTAGGGAGCTCCAGACCATCCTCTCCCCGGCCTCCTCCACCAGCTCCTCCGGCAGGAACCCAAGGCGTTCCCGGACCAGATTGGAGATGTAACCTCTCCAACGTGTCCTGGGTCGACCCGAGGGCCTCCTGCCGGCAGGACATGCCTGAAACACCTCCCCGGGGAGGCGTCCAGGAGGCATCCTGACCAGATGCCCAAACCACCTTAACTGACTCCTTTCGATCCGGAGGAGCAGCGGTTCTACTCCGAGTCCCTCCCGAATGTCCGAGCTCCTCACCCTATCTCTAAGGCTGAGCCCGGCCACCCTACGGAGGAAACTCATTTCGGCCGCTTGTATTCGCGATCTCGTTCTTTCGGTCATTACCAAAGCTCAAGACCATAGGTGAGGATTGGGACGTAGATCGACCGGTAAATCGAGAACCTTATTTTAGTTAAAAGGGGCAGATAACATAAGTTTTTCTTCTTTCCGTCCACTTTTTCATTTTGGCTTTTAGCAATTTAGTTTTGTATTTTTATTTTAATTTCAATAAATGAAAATAAAGTTGAAAAAAAAAGTCACGTGGTTTGTGAGATCATCTTTACAGCAGGAGAAAAATCCAAACCGCCCCCTCAAATTCTCAGTGAAAACATCGAGATACAAAAGCTTTTGAAAAGATTCTTTCAAATCCATCAGTGCTTTTATTTATATTTTCCAACTTTGGCACACAGCTGCCAGGCCTGTAAACAGAAAGCACCATGTTTGGTTTTACGAATACTGGGCCAGGATCCAGTTTCATGTGACCTTTGGAAGAAACAAGCGTGTGAAGAAGATGAATGAGAGGATTTTGTGTCTTATGTTTCAAAGCAGAAATATCAGGCTGCAGGGGACCTGACACAGTTGTGACTTTTGTACATGATTTATTATTTTTATACTGAGGATGCTAATGGAGGATTAGCTGCTGTCTGTTGAAGGAGTGACACCATTTTTCTGGCTGGATAAAAGTGTTAATTAATAGGTCAAATTAAGCTTTATATGTGGAATCAGATGTTTAAAAACATTCTTTTGATTGCATTTGTTTGAAAACACAAATCCCTGCAGTTTGAAGGGAACATTCTCCTGTTCTCTACCCTTTTATTCTACCCTTTCTCAGTGGCCTAGTGGTAGAGTGTCCGCCCTGAGACTGGGAGATCAGGGGTTCGATTCCTGGTCGGGTCATACCAAAGACTTTGAAAAAATGGGACCCAATGCCTCCCTGCTTGACACTCAGCATTAAGGGGTTGGATTGGGGGGTTGAACCACCAAATAGTTCCAGAGTGCACCAAATAGTTCCAGAGTGCAGCTGTGTCTGTAGCTCCCCCAGGGGATGGGTCAAATGCGGAGAACAAATTTCGCACACACACCTGTGTGTGTGACAACTAATGGGACTTTAACTTTTAACTTTAACAATCCATGACCTGAATTCAAAATAACTTCAGTTTGAGCCTTAAACACTAGGTGGCAGTGTTGCTCTAAGATCCATCATACTGGGAACTAGTGATGGGTGTTTTTCCATCCACAGTTCAGACTAATAAATGGTGGTAGATGATAAACTAACTCCAGTTCTCACCCACTACAGCTTCCATCCTACTGACTGAAACATTTGACACAGATCTTAAAGGATAACTAGACATGCGTGTATGTTAAACACCTTTAATGAAGCTTGAGCCATAATTAATGTATTGTTTCAAACTCAAGCTCCAGCAGAAGGTTTGTTGTTTATTAAAATACCTGTAAGAGTTTTATCTGAAATCCTCTGACCTGTAGATCACTTTGACATTGAAATCAAAATGGTAAAGATCTCTTTAAGCTTCAGTAAATCAATCTTGGTCATATCAAAGCAAATTTAATGAAACTTTCACAATGTGATTTCTATGTGTTCATCTAAACTAATGAAGCTGTAAACATCAGACTATAGAGATAAACCGATATGGTTTTTCTATTGCCGATACTGATGCTCATATGTAGAGGTCACGGTCAGTTATGGCTGATATGTGCTCCTGTTTTTTGGGTTGATTTTCATGGCCGATGTCTAGACGTTTTCTAACATATCTGCATCCTAAATTGTCACTAATAACATCTGTTGATGCTCAACATTTCTGAACCCGAATCAGTTTCTGCTGGTGGTGGTCATGGGGACAGGTCCCCAGGGCAGCTGTGGCTCCAATTAGCTCATCATCACCAGCGTGTGAATGGGTGGATGACTGACTGTGTTGTGAAGCGCCGTGGGGGGTTGTCGAACCCTAATAAGGAGCTATACAAATATAGATCATTAACTGTTTTTGAACTCTGATTTTAACCATTTGTTGAATCTTAATCTTGTACACTGATCAGTATTAGGATGAAACATTAAACCAGAGTCACACATCAATAAACTGACCAAGTATTACATATAACTGAGAATTTATCAAGCACTTGTTAGTCAGGAACGTAAAATTAGGGATGCATGATATGTCTGCGTCAGTATCGGTATGGCCGATGTTAGTCATCTGTTAACATATCACATTGGTCCAATGAATAAAACTGGGCCAATATCAACAACCGATTATTTTTCCAACATGATTCCATTTTTGCATCTGTTTCAGAGGGAGGAGGGGTGATTATCTGTAATTGTTTATTCATGTGACAGTGATGGTAATCATCTCAGAAGTGTAAATGTGTGTGGTGTGTATATAATATTGTAAACACACACACACACACACACACACACACACACACACACACACACATATATATATATATATATATATATATATATATATATATATATATATATATATATATATATATATATATATACAGGTGCTGGCCAGTAAATTAGAATATCATCAAAAGGTTGAAAATATTTCAGTAATTCCATTCAAAACGTGAAACTTGTACATTATATTCATGCAATGCACACAGACCAATGTATTTCCGATGTTTATTACGTTTAATTTTGATATTTATAGGTGACAACCAATGAAAACATCAAATCTGGTATCTCAGAAAATTAGAATATTCTAAAGGCCAATGAAAAAATGTTTGTTTCTCTAATGTTGGCCAACTGAAAAGAATGAACATGAAAAGAATGTGCATGTATAGCACTCAATACTTAGTCGGGGCTCCTTTTGCCTCAATAACTGCAGTAATGCGGCGTGGCATGGACTCGATCAGTCTGTGGCACTGCTCAGGTGTTATGAGAGCCCAGGTTGCTCTGATAGTCGTCTTCAGCTCCTCTGCATTGTTGGGTCTAGCGTATTGCATCCTCCGCTTCACAATACCCCATAGATTTTCTATGGGGTTAAGGTCAGGCGAGTTTGCTGGCCAATCAAGGACAGGGATACCATGGTCCTTGAACCAGGTGCTGGTGGTTTTGGCACTGTGTGCAGGTGCCAAGTCCTGTTGAAAGGTGAAGTCTGCATCCCCATAAAGTTGGTCAGCAGCAGGAAGCATGAAGTGCTCTAAAACTTCCTGGTAGACGGCTGCATTGACCCTGGACCTCAGGAAACAGAGTGGGCCAACACCGGCAGATGACATGGCACCCCACACCATCACTGACGGTGGAAACTTTACACTGGACCTCATGCAACGTGGATTCTGTGCTTCTCCGCTCTTCCTCCAGACTCTGGGTCCTTGATTTCCAAAGGAAATGCAGAACTTGCTTTCATCAGAAAACATAACTTTGGACCACTCAGCATCAGTCCAGTCCTTTTTGTCCTTGGCCCAGGCGAGACGCTTCTTGCGCTGTTTCTTGTTCAAGAGTGGCTTGACACACGGAATGCGACACCTGAATCCCATGTCTTTCATGAGTCTCCTCGTGGTGGTTCTTGAAGCGCTGACTCCAGCTGCAGTCCACTCTTTGTGGATCTCCCCCACATTTTTGAATGGGTTTGTCGTCACAATTCTCTGCAGGGTGCGGTTATCCCTAGAGCTTGTACACTTTTTTCTACCACATTTTTTCCGTCCCTTCGCCTGTCTGTTAATGTGCTTGGACACAGAGCTCTGCGAACAGCCAGCTTCTTTAGCAATCACCTTTTGTGTCTTGCCCTCCTTGTGCAAGGTGTCAATGATTGTCTTTTGGACAGCTGTTAAGTCAGAAGTCTTCCCCATGATTGTGGTGCCTTCAAAACAAGACTGAGGGACCTTTTAAAGGCCTTTGCAGGTGTTTTGAGTAAATCAGCTGATTAGAGTGGCAGCAGGTGTCTTCTATATTCAGCCTTTTCAGAATATTCTAATTTTTTGAGATACCAAATTTGGAGTTTTCATTAGTTGTCACTTATGAATATCAAATTTAAATGTAATGAACATTGGAAATACATTGGTCTGTGTGCATTGCATGAATATAATGTACAAGTTTCACGTTTTGAATGGAATTACTGAAATATTTTCAACCTTTTGATGATATTCTAATTTACTGGCCAGCACCTGTATATATATATATATATATATATATATATATATATATATATATATATAATATCTAGTTTGCACTTTATAGAAAAAAACATTCAAAAATTCAGCTTGCATAATTTCACAATCAGTATCAGTATTTGCCATATTAGGGATATTAATATCGGTATCGGCCCTAAAATGTCATATTGGTGCATCCCTTGTAAGTATACATTTGAATAAAATTTGGCAGCATCGCCGGGCTGCCCACAGATGTGCCCGTTTTTAAATTGGCTCTATAAAAGTGGTATATATCAGCCCAATATAGCGGCCTGTCCCTACATCAGAGTTTGACATGGAGCACTAAGCAGTCTAATGGAATGTAGAAATAAGAGTAAATTCTAAAAAAAACACATTTAAATGAACAGGTAGGATAATTAACACATAATTTTAATGATGTATAAAATATATATAAGCTAAAAGTGAGCTTATTCTCCTTCCTTGTCTCCACTGATGTTTTTCCCTGAGGCTCTGTTTTGCGTTGTAACCTGTAGCAGGTGTGGCAGCCTCCCATCACTCCTCCTCCTTTAAAGTGTTTCAGGATCATGTTTTAAAAACACAGATATTGTTTCATCTCTGACGTATCCATTGCATTACGCTCTACATACAGCTCTGATTACGGCCTCCACTGTTGTTGATGAGTGTCACGTATAATTGGCGACACTTTAGCTGCTACCTGATCTGCGCTACTTATGGTTGTGCAACTGCAAATTTAAAACAAACCGAGTTCCGTTGGTTGACATTTTTCAGGGATTTTCCCATTTCCTGTGACTCACAAAGACTCATTTACATTGTTTGGTTTGTAAACAAGTCATGTACCATTGTGATAATATGATATATGCTGCTCTAAACATCACTGAAGCGTGCGTTTAATACCTGATTCCTTATAACATAGGTATCCTGATTCCTTTATGTGAGTCTGGGACATGCACCTTGAGGGAAGCCATCATCATCGGGAGCATTCTCACAAAATGCTCCATTCCTGTGCTGCACTCCAGGTTGGACCTCCTCACACAAAAACACACATGTGTTAAATCAAGTCTGCTGTTACATAACTTGTGTGATCTGTCCTTTCTTTCAGCGCTGCAATGCTTAAGTTGGCAGAGATGGAGTACAACGGTGCCAACAGCATTTTCCTGCGTCTGCTGCTTGACAAAAAGTACGCCCTGCCTTTCCGTGTTCTAGATGCCTTGGTGGCCCACTTCCTGTCTTTCCGCAACGAAAAACGTGTTCTTCCTGTGCTGTGGCATCAGAGTCTGCTCACCCTGGCCCAGCGCTACAAGGCTGACCTGGCCTCAGAGCAGAAGGCAGCGCTGATGGAGCTGCTCAAGATACAAACACACCCGCAGATTTCTGCAGAAATTCGCAGGGAGCTACAAAACTCTGAGTCGAGAGACGCTGAAATCGGGCTCCCTATAATGGTTGAAATGGACTGATTCAGTCTGATGTGGTGCACCATTCTCCACATTCATGTTCCCTCTTTACAAAACAGACTTTGCTGTTGTTCATATACAAGGAGGAATTTAAACTTGTTTATGGACCTCAGAGATGTTTTCTGTGTTCTGCCTTGACTTGTTTTCACAAGTGAGACTCTCACCAGTGGTGATGTAGCTGCAGTTTCACAACGGTAACACAAGTCTCTGAGCCTGGGAACACAAACTCCTTTCGGATTAAAGTCGTAATTCTGAAACCTGTCAGAATAAAAACCAAATTATACCTCATAAATTGGTTGTTGATTTTAATTTATAGTTAACATTCGCTAACCAGAAACATGGAGTATGTGAAAAGGCCTCTCTGAGAAAGGTAACTCAGTATTTAATTTATTAGGAGCACTATAGCAAAGATTAAATGCGGAATTGAGAGGCACATTTCTAGGTATGAACATGGAGCAAAAATGATTTTCTAGATGTTTTTTCTGGAGCAAAGGGTACGTGCTAAAATTTGCAGAGTTAGAAATGAAAGTTGCACAAACAAAATGTGTCATTACAGAGCTGGTTGTAAAAATTCCAGTTAAAGATGGCAGATGGGCGTCAGTGGGAACAAATTATTACTGAAGTTATGATTCAGCCTTTTTGATTATAATTCGATTATTATATCTAATTTTCTTTGAAAATGTGAAAAAGTTATTGGAGAAAATGTTATATGATAAAAATGAACATAAATACAACTTAAATCAACATATTTGCCAAATTATAAATTTTCAAAACTACAGATGGGAACGTGTTGTGCATTTAAAGAAGAAAAAGTATAAAGTTAATCCTTAAAACACGTTTTTACAGAAACAAACTTTTCTATTATGTTTTGTTGACTTGTTTTAAAGTGCAAAACTAAATGACTGATTACTCTGAACATAACTGCTTTTTGCCTCCTTCCACTTGATGCTGAAATCTTAGTGTAGTCTTTAGCCTTTTATGTAAATTAAGAGGGTTGAAAGGGGGGAAAATAACATTAAGTCATTAAAATTACGTTATTTAACCAACTTAAACTTACACCACCGCTCCTGAAAGTGCTATTTTTACGTTTGGCCAGTTGCTTAGGTAACGGGTCAATTAGCAAAGCTAGCTAAAGCTAACTGCGCTAGCAAACGTGAAAGTGGAGATTCGCTGTTTTTGTGTGTTTTTAACCTTGTGGGGTTCGGTTTAAACGAAGATGAACATCTCTATATTCGACTCGGATAAAACACCAGAATGTGGTATGGAGTTGGGTGTGGTCGTTCGGACGGGGAGCGACCCCACCGTAACCGGTGACCTCCGGGTGGTGTCTAATCTGCGGGCCTCGGAGGAGAGCAGTTGGGTGACTCCATCCTCTCCTGGCAGAGTACCGACAGACATCCGGAAGTTGCTGACGGAGTGGATGTTCAAGGTATGAACTTTTTTAGTTTAGCTTCCATGAAACCATTTTAATAAATCTACTTAAAATGAAAGACCTGTGTGTATGCGTGTGTGTGTGTGTGTGTGTGTGTGTCAGGTGTGTGAGGAGCAGCTATGTGAGAAGGAGGTGTTTCCATTGGCCGTGCATTACCTGGATTGTTACCTGAGTCGGTGCTCTATAGAAAGGTCCCACCTGCAGTGTTTAGCGGCTGTCTGCATGTTTTTGGCCTCCAAGATGAGAGAACTTGTCCCCCTGACCGCCAGCAAGCTGTCAATCTACACAGACTGCTCAGTTTCAGCCCCATCCATCCTGGTAAATCCTCAGATGACCTTTGTGTTACCAATAATGTCAATAATCAATCAATAATGCTACCTCTTCAGAAAGAAAAACACCAGTTGACCTCATGGACAAAAAAGACTTTTGGACTAGAAAATGACAACTGGTATTTGGCACTATGTCCTTCACTGAGGCAACACCTGTTCCCATATCAGGCTTAGGGATTATAGCTAACGGGAAAGATGAGAATTCTGTGACTATGTGTTTAGAAGCTAGCTTGTAGGGATGCTCGATATAGCCGCCTTTTTTTACCGATATGCCGATATTATCTGACTCTTAATTTTGGATGCCGATATAAACCAGTATCGACATGCTTTGGCCTCTTCTCATAAAAAAGAAAAACTAAAACATTTTAGGTTAATAATGATCATGCTTAAATTTTAAACATTGTCTGTGCAAAATGACAACTACTTCAATTTAAGTTAGTGAAAGGAAAAGTGCCACATTTGTCTCCAACAGCAGCTGAATCTCATTCTCCCTGCATGACACCAAGATGTGTATTAGTCAGTAATGTATTTTTTAATTTAAATGTATATTGCAGTTATGGTGATAAAATATATATAAGGATCTTCAGATAAATAAAGCTAGCCTTGGATGAAGATTCTTGTGCTTGTTTTAGTCGTTGTTAGCTAGCTAGCTAGCTACACATAGCTACGTGCTGTGAGGACAGCACACACTCACTACACATAACAAGTCTCTACTTCACATGCTGTGCCAAATAAACAAAATGATCTCTATTTTAAGAGGAGAAGTAGCTGGCAAGTTTGATGTATAATATGTAGTGATGCACCGATATGAAATTTTTGGGCCGATACAGATATCCGATGTTAATATATCATTGTTATGGCCGATAACCGATATTAGCCGATACCAACATACTGACAATAATGCTTTTAAAATCAGCAGATTTTATACAGAATAAAAATTATTAAAACTAAATTTACATTATTAAGTACACATACCACACACAGTTACGCTTGTGAGATGATTACAGTTACCATCACATGACTAAACAAATACACGTCACCCCCCCCCCCCCCCCACCCCCACCCCCCCCCGGCACCCTCTGAAACAGATAAACAAATGGAAACAAGATGGAAAAAATATTGGTTGTTAATATCAGCCCAGGTTTTTTTTATTGGACCGATAACGATATGTTCAAAAATTGCTAACATTGGCCGATACAGATACTGATGTCGATATATCATGCATCCCTAATAATATGTGTATGGTATGTAAAGGTTGCTTCATTGAAAGATTGAAAACCAATAGCGATTTTTTCCCCCCGATATTAAATTTTAATGCCAACATCAATGGTAGACCGATAATATCGAACATCCCTACTAGCTTGTTTTGTAGCTTTAAGATTTAAAAAGTTAAATGTAGAATAAAGTATAGAATATGTACTTTTAGAAATAACTCAGGTTTATGGCTGCTATAAATCAAGCAAGGAAAGGCACTGCATGTTAGGTTACAATGCACTGCTCAGTGCATTGCATTCTGGGAACTTGGGGCCGTAATAACTTGATACTGTTTGAAATGTAGCACTAGCTAAGGTTGAAGATCCCTGTGCTAGTGAGTGTTCTGTTTGATAACTTCATTTTAAAAGAATTTGGCTGCTCTAACTGCACCTTTCTATTCTACACACTGACTCTATGACAAATGTAGATACGCAGGTATGCATGACGAAAGAGCTTAGAGTCGTTTCCAGGAGTCATGGCATGTTCTTCCTGTGTAGCAGTGAGGGTCTTAATAAGCTACATCTGAGTCCATGTTGCTGCAGTGGGATTGTGATGGTGGATTGCTTTAGAGGAATGTGTGTGTTGCAGCGGTGGGAGGTGAAGGTGGTGTCCAGGTTAGGCTGGTGTCTGGCCTCCGTGGTGCCTTCTGACTTCCTGGAGCCAATTCTTCATGCTCTCCCTTTTGTTCAAGCTCCCTTCCTCCAAATAATCCGCCACCATGTTCACTCCTATATTGCTCTGGCTGCCATGGGTAAGTTACCTAACTGAGTTATCGACACATGACATGGTTTTCTCAGATGCCACAGAATTGTTAATAGATTTCTGTTCATTTAGACTGGAAACGAATCGATTACGCAATAAAAACCGCTGATTTTGTTTTTTGGGTAACCGAATCATTATTACCGGTACTTAGTTTTGTAAATGAGCATAATTGTGGCTGATTTTCCGAGCAGTGAACAATTGGCACTCGGGGGGGGGGGGGGGAGGGGGGGGGGGGGCGTAAGTTCAGCCACGATGTGTCAGCACTTCGTTTTGGAGACAGAGAGCTGAGTTTGTGTAATCCTGCTTTGTTCTGCTGTGAAAGAGCAGCGTCCAGCCATTCAGCTGGATGACTTCCCACGAATCTCTGTGATGCTGCCAGAGGCAACAGGTCACAGGGATACTGTGGGTTTGTGCCGGCTTAATAAGACTATAACATTACAGCCCTTGAAAATTCAGACAATTCCCGGATCTTGACGTTTTAACTCATTCAGAAAGGTGTTGAGCAATTGGGTTGGTTCCTCGATTTCTGCTGCCTGAAGCAGTAAAGGTATTAGATTACCAGGTTTTTGAGAAGGGGCTTCCTATGAGCAATTGTCCTTCAAGGGTGTGTCTACAATGCTGCCATGTAGGTTTGATTATTTCAGTGTTTTATGTGAAAAGAAGTCATCCAAATTAGGAAATATCAAAGAGCCTCCCTTCCTTCCCCTCAGACCACCGGTTTTTGGCCTTCCTGCCTTCCACCCTTGCATGTGCCTGTGTGAGCGTTGCCATGCAGAGGCTGAAGATAACAGACAGAGATGTTTCCTCAGACTCGATCGTCAAGTTTACAGCCAACCTTCTGTCTGCTGATCTGGTAGGGATAATGTTTAACTGACCTGTGCAGATATCACGTTGACTTTGCCCTGTCAACACTAACTTGTGTGTTTTTAAGCACTGTATTGGCCAGCACCAAAAGACTAGTAATGAGGTGTGTGTTTGTAGCACAATTGCTCTTGAAGCAGGGGAGATTTGAATGAAACTTTCACAAAGTCTTCACCAAACAATCATCAATGAAAAATTCAGTTTTGGAATCAGTCCCATGCAGTATATTCATGAAAGCTTTAGGAAGCACAAAAATGGCTACAATTCGGTTTAACTGACAGATGTTAAAGACCAAGTTCACTTGTTTTTTTCAACACATCTGCTGTGGTCTCTGGTATAAATGAATTCCTTGTGACTCCAGCTCAGTGAGGAAAAGCTCTGGCGCTTTGGTTTAATGAACTAAAAGTTGATCAGAGGAGAGGTGAGCAGAACACATCAGGATTTGGAATCTTATTTCCAGTATTCTGACATCTCTTCTCTGATTGGCTAACAGCAGCACGACTCTTCCACTGCCTGTTTGTTTTGCAATGTTGATGTTTTATTTCCACAAATAACAAGCCTGGAGGAGTTTTACCATGTAGTGGAGTTGCTAATGCTAACGGTTAGCTTCTACTAGCCGATTATGCGCTCTTCTCTCTCCTGGATGCTAAACCAACAAGGTGGATGAGGCCATGAATGCTTATTTACAGAGTGACATAGATCTGATAGGCAGGGACATGCTTGAATTAGAAAAGCCAATCTTCTATTGGCGGCTAATAGATGAAATAGGGGTAAATTCCCATTAGTCATCATCACACACTGGTGAAATTACATCTGAGCATTTGACCCATCCCCATGGGGAGCGGGGAGCGGTGAGCTGCAGCGGTGGCTGCGCTCTGAAACTGTTTGGTGGTTTAACCCCCCCTATCGAACCCCTTAAAGCTGAGGGTTGTAATTTTAAAGTCTTTGGAATGACTCGACTGGGATTGGAACCCCGATCTCCCAGTCCCGGTGCGGACACTCTACCACTAGGCCACAAGACTATCTTCACATTTAGCCTATACGTTAAACTCATAGCCATAGGCCAATCATAACTCGGAAATAATAAGTGAAAAACGGTTTCTCAGTGAACTTGTCCTTTAAATAATTCTTTTAATGACCATAAAAGCAGCTTCATCTACACTGATTTACGCCTTTCTTTTCCTCTTTTCTTATCTGGCCTTGAACAGAGCTCCGTCCTCTGTTGCCGTGAACTGCTGGGAAGCGTCTTGGAGCTCAGCCTGCTCTCCCTTCTCTAGGACAAGTGTTGGCAGGTCAGACGTATGCAGGTCAGGGATCGCCAACGCCCCCACCTACATCCAGGATGTTGCACTGACCCCGGTTACGCCACATCAGGATGTCAGAACCAAAACACTCCTACCTGCCATGAAGAATTCCAGTGAATAATGATGTTTGCAGCCAGCCTAAGATATGAGACATTTATGTGCCTGTGAGGGTTCAGAAACTAAATCTGTGTTCAGGGTTTGTTGCTTGTTCGTATTTAGTTGCTGGAGCAGCTTTGAAAGTCAAAACTCTGCTTGTTTAACTTGAACTGCTATGCCCCACTCTTTTGCTGTGAAGCCAGTAGAAAGCACTAGACTTTACTGTGATTCTACCTTTAGCTCCAACAGCTGTTTCTGCATGTTTTCCCTTTTAGGCATTGTTACATTAATCCTGTTAACTTTATGTGGGTTACAAACAACTTCAGTCAGCATTTGAGTTCTTTGATGTTTCCTTTTATTGTTTTTTTTTTTTCATTCCAGAACAGTAGATCAAACTGTTCACTTTGGCAAACTCAACTTTTAGACCTTCTTTGAGACAAAAACAAAACAAAAACAAAAAAAAAATACAGATTTATCGTTCAAATCTACATTCATGTATTTGCTGAATATGTGCTTTAGTCTTGTTTGTTTCTGTCAGTAATGAGTGAATAGTTAGACAACACATTAACTTTAGACCAGTTCACAAACACATTTAGTCAGATTCCAGTTTTCACTTCACTTTCCAAGTAAAGTAGGATTTATTTTGCACATGTGCAGACAATCAGTTCCTGGTGAGCCTAGATGTGCCCCAACAGTTTGAAAAGAAAAAAAAATTACCTTCCAGGGTTTTCAAAGACTTTGTATTTGCAGCTCGAGTAAATAAATGGCTACTAAGGTTTGACAGCCTTAATTTGCTTTTCCCAGTCACAATTTATACCCACAAAATTAGCCAAAATGTGTGTGTGTGTGTGTGTGTGTGTGTTACATAAAGCTCCACACTTAAACTGTAATCTCAGAGGGCACAAGATTGCATTTGTTGATAGTTTTGAATAATGCAAGCTTCAAAAAGTGTGAAATTTATAAAACTCCACTAACTCGTCTCCCACGATCGAGCGTCAGAGACACGTTTTTGTTCAACTTTCAACAAACAGTGACTGAGCGGTCGCCGCCCTCGCTGGGAAATCAAGCCACAATGAGTCAGTCGACCTGTGCAGATGCATTAGTAAGTAGAAGGCAGAAGCAGGTTTAGCTGGTTGCACCGGTCAAAGTCATTGTTTTCAAGTCATTATCCAAACTTATGAGTTACTAAAAAAACAAAAACAGGTTTAAGTTATTACACGCAAACATCACCTTGGCACGTTTTGCACTACATAAAAATAACAATACAAAACGGTACAAATGAAATAAACAAACGTGGTCTTTGGTGTCTGAAATATCTCCCCTAAACATAACAGCTGTGACTCTAGAGAGGAAATCCTAAACCAGTGTTTTTTTGCTTCTAACTGAATTTCTGATGAGTCAACACATCCAAGTCATCCTGTAAGAAACCAGTGACTCTGAGTTTCTAAACAGAAAGTGTTGCACAGTCTGTCTAAGTAATCCATAATCCAACACTGGTCTTATTAAACAGGAGTAACAAATGGTGTTTAGTCTACAGCTGCTGATGAAAGAGGTTGTTTTGGTTCAAATGTGGGATCCTAATAACTGTAAACCAATCACCTCTCAGTTCTCCCAGGAATCTTTGATTTTGATACATTCCTCTCATCAATCCTGCCCGTTCTTACTCTCATTTATTTCAATTAAAAGTTCTAATTGGTCTAATCCAGTTTAACAATCTAAAATACAGTCTGATGTTACACAACGCCTCTCTTCCCTTTTTGGTGCCTTGGAATTCTTCAAGTTAGCCCAAACCTGTGCTGGCATTCCCACCTGAAACACTTTGGTTCAAGTCTTCAGTAGTTTTTAGCTTGTGTCCTTAGCTTACTGCAGATCCCTGTAGAACCGCGGCCTGTTTGTACGTTTCTGTGACGTTATCACAGTCACTGATGGAAAAGGCACTGTCGGCCACTCCAGACTCATAACAGTCCCACGGCCTCAGCATCCCATCAGGCAGAATCCCACCTTCACCCATGTCCAACAAGTTGTCTGCGGAGACGCTGCCTTTCATGCTAGCTTTGGCTGGTTTGGTCATTTGTGTCGGAGGCATCACATGGTCTGGCAGGTCCAGCTGATCAAAGGACTCCGAGGACAAAATGCTGTCTTCACTGATGGCCACACTTGGTCTGGATCTGGTGCTTTCTGCAGGTAAAGATGCTGCTAGCTGGTCCAGAGAGCCGAACTCTTGGAGCCCGCCGGAAGAGAACTTTCCGTTACGTTTGAGGATCCCCTTCCTGTAGGTTGGAGCTGAGGGGTACGCTTTAGTTTGTGGTGCCCAGCCCGAGTCGCTGTTTTCAGGAGAGGAGGAGTAATACCCTGACTCTTGCTCTGAAGGCTTCTTTAAAATGCCTTTGCGTGGCAACAAAGAGGCAGAAGGTGTGTGAGCTGAAGCAGACAAACCCAAAATGTTCTGAGGATCCACTGAACCGACAGCTGGACCTTCATTCACTGCCTTCTGTTTCATGCTGTTACGTCTCTTCAGAATGCCCTTGTAGGGCCGAGAGTCTGTGCTTCCTTCATTTACTGTCTGGGACACATTGTTCTCCTTTTGGGACCTCCTCAGTGAGCGCTGTCGCACCACGTCTCCTCCACCCACCTGAGGACGGAGCAGGCAGCGCATCTTGGAGCCGTTCTCCAGTAACGGTCTGGATGTACGACGCAGCCAGCTAGCAACACTAGCCAGGCCTGTGGGATATGAAGTTGATGGGGATACTGATGAAGGGGTCTGCTCTGCCACACTGCTCTTCTTCTCACACAGCAGGGACTGAGGGTAGCCCCAGTTGAGCCACCAGTGTCCAGCCACCTCCTCTATGGTGGCCCTGCGTTCAGGATTCACCATGAGCATCCAGCGGATGAGTCCACAGGCGTCTGTCAGAGAGCAGGAGGAAGAAAAATGTTACGGTTGTGCTCAACAAATAAAATATGAACGCTAGCATGGGGGTTTGACGAATTTATCGTACCAACTCTAAGCACCAATATCTCAAAAGATTTAAATGAACTGCAAACATAAACAGCATGCCAATCAGCTGCGAGTAGCTGGAGATGCAAAACTGTGAGTTCAAATTTACCAGCTGGAATCACACAGGACGAATACAAACAACTCATTTGCAAAACGTTTTGCATATTGCAAGGTAACATGAGGCACGCATTCGGGTCAGCAAACCTTCCCAGAAGCTATCTCACTTTCTTGCACATCTCCGATTAGACTGAAAGTAGATTTGTCTTGAAACACAAAAGTGAGACCTTGCCACTTACGCAAGGAACTTGAGAACCCTCACAGACATTTCAAGACTCCCTCGAGACTTTGTCACCAACAGTCACAGATTGGTGAGATACTGACTTTACAGACGTGAGCAGGACAACGTCATCGTGTCAGTTTTATTGTATAGTATTGACAGAAGATCAGCCCAAAGTTCTCACCTGAAGGCCTGCTGGGTTTGCGGTAGTTTCCTGTGCTTATCTGCTGGACCAGCATCTTGTGGTTGAGTCCATCAAACGGCATGGTGCCGTGAACCAGCGTGTACAACAGCACTCCGAGAGACCAGGTGTCCACCTCCGGTCCACGGTATGGCCGTCCATTGACTATCTCTGGGGAGGCGTACAAAGGGCTGCCGCAGAACGTCTGCAGGAATTCGTCCCCGTGGTAGAGGTTGGACAACCCAAAGTCTGCAATCTACAGGAGCAAAATGTTCTAGGGTCCGCTTACTCTGTGTGTGTGTGTGTGCGTGTGTGTGTGTGTGTGTGCGTGTGTGTGTGTCTGTCTTACCTTCACATTGCCATTGGCATCTAGTAAAATATTCTCCAGTTTCAGGTCTCTGTGTACAATCCCATTCTGGAAGAACAGAAACATCAAACAAAACTTCATGTTTGGTATTACACGAATAACTTTTAAACACCCCGCCCACACAGCAGTGCATCGGTTTACATGAAACCATCTGATTTACATAAACGGTTCATTTTTTACTGGGTCAAACAGGCACATTCTTTCCAAAGTGAAGATTTCTTCCAGTACGTCAGCGACATTTCATTGTCCCCCACGCTGCAGGAGGGCATACCTTCGACTCAAGTGAGCGTTTCACAAGCCAGCAGTTTTTTTTTCAGAGAGGCTGATCATGCAGTGGTTAGTTGTGTTATGTCGTGTTTAGCTAAGATGCAACCGTGAAGATAGCGTGGTGTGCAAAACCTTTAACTCCTAAAATGAGGGTGTAGATGAGCATTTATGTGGAAACTTAAATATTTAACAAGATATTAGAATCCTATAAAGGTAACATGAGACAGCTGACACGGACAATGAGACTCATGCATTTTGTAGAGCAAACATTTACATACTCGGTTCAAAGTGCAGAACGACTGCACTAAAACAGGAGCTCTAAATGTAATTGCTCTGCTCTGCAGCCCAGAAACAACCGTGTGCTGTTGGTTTGGAGGGTTCTGCTCAATCACACCCTCATTAAACTGTGAGACCATGCGTGTGTATGTGTTGAAATAGTTGGCCTTTAGCCCTAATGCTAACTGTTCTTCCCCCTGCACCGTTCTCACAGTTCAGAGCAGCAGGAGGACGGTGAATGATGCCCATTATGTAGCTTATGTAACCAGCTAGGTTGTAGCGTGCCCCAGAAAAAATAACGAGTGCAGCTCCGCGCCATCAGGCATCGACACAGCAGACAGAAACAACGGCTGAAGACCCGACGGGTACGATATACCTTCTGTAAACAGCTTTGCATCACGCTGATGTCTGACGAACGGTTACCTGATGGCAGTAGTGCACAGCAGAGACGACTTGTCTGAAGAAGTGTCTGGCATCACGCTCAGAGAGGTTCTTCTTGTCACAGATGTAGTCGTACAGGTCCCCTCGGCTGGCGTACTCCATCACTATCACAATTTTGTCCTTATTCTCGAAAACTGAAAAAAAAAAAAAAAAAAAAAAAAAAACTTTTTCGTACTGCACACTCACTGTCACGCGTATCACTTTATTGTCATAAAGATTGGACTGATTTGGGACGAGCAGCTGGCAGACACACTGATGTTGACGATGATCCTGTCTGGCGTGACGGAGGGCACGAGGGTCAGCAGCACGTTATCTCACAGAGCTGTCGGGGTACAGCAGGTTATCGCTGCCGACGTAGCCGAACGTCCGGTCTTCATCACAGAGACGTGCGTGACTAAACTCTGAATTCCCGTTTGACTGAGACGTCGTTTATCTTTGTTTTTTTCTCCCCCTTCTCTGTATTTTCCCCAGGCATCACGTTCCTTGGAGGGTGCAGCTCAAAGTTTCAGTCCCTTCTGAACAATCAGTAGTGAAAACAAAGGCAAGAGTCTTGAGTTTGTACCTTCATATATGGAGATGATGTGAGGATGACACAGAGAAGACATGATCTCGATTTCTCTGCGAATGTGCACCAGGTCCTGCTCGTCTTTGATCTTCTCCTTTCTGATGGACTTTACAGCAACCTGCAAACGGAAAAAAGGAAGGAATGTGTTAAATGTCTCAACCATTTGTAAACACTCTTAATTCTGTCAGTAATATCCGCAACTTGCTTGTTTTTTTTTTTTGGAGTTATTTCAAGATGGTGTCTATACCCTTTGATCTTAGCTTCACTCAGACTAGCCGTTAGCCTATCTCTCCTGAAGGACATTAACAGAGTACATTCAAGAAGCTGTCAGCAATGTGTCTGGGGGTTTATTTATTACTTTTGCACTGAAACACAAATCAAAATGGCCCCGTATCACTTTAGAAACAATCATCAGAAGTGAAAACAAACTGGTTTTACATTTTATTCAGATTAATGGGCACCAACCATCACTAAACGAGCCGCTTTTTAATCAACAAAAAATAAATAAATAAATCCTGTTGCTAAAACTTGGTCTCTGAAGGGATGAGGACAGAGAGGGCGCAAGGTCAAACATCATCTGCCGTCTGTTCTTCAGGGCCCAGAGGTTTTAGAGACAAGGCAGCATTCAGGTTTTCATGTCGGGGTTGTCTGTTTGCAGCTCAGATGCCTGGGATTCCTCTGTGTGCCGAGTGCGTCATCAGTCTACCCCGAGTTTGACGGGTGTCGTGTCCCAGCTGGTGGGACGTCCTAGTTTTATCTGTCTCTCGACCCTCAAAGCTACAGACACAGAAATGAGTAAAGCAGCGACTTTCGGCAGACAACGGCCTCCTGCTGTTAGTCACCGTCTGTCGGAGAATGCTGCTCCGAGGTCAGCGCTGGCCTTTAACACCGCGCAGACATCATTCCTGACTCTGGGAACTGTGGTTTCCTGTGTTTGTTAGCATAGCTGTCAAGACGGTCTGAAATCACACTGGTGACGACTTCACACCCACACGGAGCTTCCAGTGTGTGTGTGCGGTCTTTGTTACGGCCAGTTGGCTCTACGCTAACGGCGCCCAGCTGTTAGCTTCTTCAGTATTTCACACTAACTTTCTGTACAAACACACACAAAAATCACAAATTAAACGCAAAATTAGCCAGACTCGGTGAGACAAATTCATTGTTTTTCTGTTTTACTCACAGAACAGGACTGCAGATTAAAGCATTCTCCTTTTTAAACAAAAATGTCAAATTTCCTGACGTGAAACTCCCACAAGTTTATTCTTTCAGCTCTGAATACTTAGTTTAGAAAAAAAAAAAAAACTCAACAGAGGTTATCTTGCCAGTAAGCCAGTTTGTCCATCATCACATGTTATTTTAGATCACACTTCCCCCAATCTTGGTCTTCCTGTTAATCCCTGTTTTAAATATTATTGGTAAGAAACAGGTTTGAGAAAGGTCGGTAATGACTGGTTTATAAAACGTCCATTTTGATTTTAGCCTCAGAAATGCAACGCACAAACTATTTCTGCGTAATAAAACAGAGAAAACTTCTTCTTCTGTTAAAAATGCAAGTTTTAAAGCCTAAAATTCAGACAGAGTGTCATATTCAGGTGCAACTTGGTACAAAAAACTGATTTTAAAACTGCTTGTTACTCATTTTTATAAAGACACAAAGTAAAAAAACACATCTAGCTTTACAAGAAAACAAAAACATGAAGAATCAGGATTTCCACCCATGAAACAGCTATGGGAATTTCCTTTTATTCTGCATATGTTAGACGTTTCCTATGAGACAGAAGATAAGGAGGCTGCTGAGCCTGAATATGAGCCACAGAGCCTAACCACACTTATTCTGCATGAACAACTCATATTGGGAACAAACAATAAAAATTCCTTCTGCACTCGTAATCCCTGACTCACTGCTTAAGGATAAGATCCTTTCACTTCAGACACATGAATCTTTTTGTTATTCAGATCTAAATAAAAGCCTGGCAGTTTATTTTTTATTTAAACATTGAAAAATTCTACATTTGTTTACCTTTTTTTAATTAAAAACTTTTTTTAAACTATAAAGTGTTTTACGTATGCGAGGAACATAAGTAACACCCTGTGATTTGTCCAAGTTCTCCCACTTAGAAATCATGAAGGAGTCTGAAATTCACATTGTAGGTGCATTCCCAATGTTTTTTGTTAGTGACAGCATCTTAAACAACAAAGGTTGTGCACACACTGCAATCGGGATTTTGGCCCACTCCTACACACTAGATCAGTCAGGTTTCAGGGCTGTCGCTGACCAATACAGAGTTTCAGCTTCATCCAAAGATTTTCTATTGGATTCAGGTCTGGAGGCTGGCTAGGCCACTCCTGAACCACGATGTGCTTCTTACAGAGCCACTCCTTGGTTATCCTGGCTCCGTGCTTCGGGTCATTGTCATTTCCTTGATGCCCGGTTCACACTATGCAATTTTCGGCCGTCTTAGCCAAATCCCTCTTCCCGAGCAGAATCGTGACCAAAAAAAAAAGTGAACGCAAGGGTGATTTGCATATCTGTGGACATACAGTGTATGGCTCTGCGACATCGTTTTGAGCCATCACAGGACCAAAGACAGCCTCCAACAGTCTACAAGCACTGCTTGAAAACCTACAACTCCTGTCTGCAACCGACCAATGAAAACACACCTTTGGGACGCCGCAGCAGCAAGATTTTGCCTCTCTGAGCTTCGGTTTCAATTTATGCTTAAAATGCAGATTATTAACTACACAAAGATTTTCATTTTTGTTAATTGCTCAAGGTAAACCAGAGTTATGCTTAAAATAATGAAACTACCTTTTTTAGACCATCAGATAACTTGTGAAAACCGAAACGTTTTCAAGAAACCAAAAGAAGAAGTCCAGTTGCCTTCATTTGAACCCTTTGGATTACCGTGACCTGGATGACTGAGAACCTTCACCAGCATAAAAAGTAAAACACAAAAACACGCGATCCCTTTGCTGATGGTGGAAATCTCACACATTCAACCGAAAAGGATTTTTCAGTAGCGTTTTGTTGCCGAGTGGCAGCACCAGGTGTGATGAGCTGTCATGGAGTGGAGCTGCATGAGGAGTAAATTCACAGCAGAAGTTTAGATATTGGGGCGATGTGTGATGGATTGTTACTTCTCTGTAGTTTAGTGGGTTTTAGGGGATGAGAAGTGGCGCATGTCCAGCAGACAGCTCTGCTGTTTAGCTGGAAGACGGGAAAAGGAGACTTGCAGACGGAGTCTGAGGCCAAAGCAAAGGTTTTAAAAATGATCCTTCGTCTTTGAGGTAGATGAGTTGACTCTAAAAAGAAGTGTTGACGACGGCCTTTTAAAAAATCTTTTCCGCTTTGTTTTGGTTAGCAGTCTTAGTGACATATGCTATCGGGGCGCGCTCATGACGTAGCGTGTCGTGCTGGAACGAGACGCTGTGTGCTCTGGCTAACAGAAATCTTGCGCCGTACAGTGTGCTTGCTACCTTTCTGGAGTTCTCACAGTGGGACATGAGCAGTCCTGTGTGATGGCTGAAATACGCACAGTGTGATCCCAGCTTAATGCAGTGCAGTCATCCCATTCTCTTGGCAGAAAGGCACCCCCAAAGCATGATTTTTCCACCCTCATGCTTCACTGTAGGGTTCTTGTGACGCAACACATCCTTCTTTTTCCTCTAAACACGGAGAGTTGAGTTTAGACCAAAAAGTTCTATTTTGGTCTCACTGAACCACATGACTTTCTCCCATGCCTCCTCTGAATCATCCAGAGGGTCATTGGCAAACTTCAGACGGGCCTGGACATGTGATGACTTGAGCAGGGAAACCTCCCGTGTAATGCATGATGGTGTTGTGTTCTACCAACAGTGAACTTTGAAACTGTGGACCCAGCTCTCTTCATGTCATGGACCAGCTCCTCCTGTGTAGTTCTGAGCTGACTCCTCACCTTTCTTATCAAAGATACCCTACCAGGTGAGATCTTGCATGGGCCCCCCATCCGAGGAAGACTGACAGTCGTCTTTAGCCTATTCCATTTTCTAGCAATCGCTCCAACAGTTGATCTAGTTTCAATTGCCCAGCACTCCTTTTCAGCCTGGTGAAGGTCCACAAGTTTGTCTCTGGTGTCTTTTTACAGCTCTGTGGTCTTGGCCATGGTAGTAGTTGGAGTGTGACTGACTGTGGGGTGGACAAGTGGGGTGGAGCTCAGACAGGTGCTACTAACTTAGACGAATAAGTGGAGTAGAGGTGGACTCTTTAAAAGGCAGAGTGACAGGTCTTTGAGAGCCAGAATTATTGATGATTCCCAGGTGTTCAAATACTTATGTGCAGCAGTGCAATACAAATACATGATTTAAAAATCACCCAATGTCATTTCCCGATTTTTTTAAAAGCTGTCTCTCCCAGTGGGGATGCACTTACAATGTGAATTTCAGACCCCTCCATGATTTTGTGGGAGAACTTGCAAATTCGCAGGGTGTTCAAAGACTTTTGTTCCTCACTGTAGTTAATTGGGCTGCGCAGTGGCGCAGTGGTTAGAGCTGGTCTTGGGTTCGCTTCCCGGCCTGGGAACTTTCTGCATGGAGTTTGCATGTTCTCCCTGTGCATGCGTGGGTTCTCTCCGGGTACTCCGGCTTCCTCCCACAGACCAAAAACATGACTGTTAGGTTGATTGGTCTGTCTGAACTGTCCTTGGGTGTGAGTGTGTGCGTGCATGATTGTTTGTCCTGTGTGTCTCTGTGTTGCCCTGCGATGGACTGGCTCTCTGTCCAGGGTGTACCCCGCCTGATTGCCTGTCGACTGCTGGAGATAGCCCCCCCCCCCGGCGACCCCATGTGGACAAAGCGGGTTCAGAAGATGGATGGACGGACTGTAGCTAATTGGGGGTGCATGAATGCACAAACAGCGTTACTGTTATGCAGTGAGTGGCGGATCAACACCCTCATGGATGCATGCATAGCCCCCAACCTAAATGGGTTATGCAATCAAACATATGAACTCAGACAATAGCTGTGGAGAATAATGCAGGATGGAGCGCACTTCTGTGTTGAGTCGGATTACAGATTATCTCACTGCAGAGGCTGATTTCTCTGATAAATGATATTAGTTTAGGGTGAAACCAAATCTAAATCCCAGACAGTTGTTTCCTCTGAAGGGTGTGTGGACAAGACTGGACTCGTACCCCTGCATGTTTTCGGCCAATGCTGGCAGGGAAATTCCTGATAATTCACTCACTTCCTTGAGTTGAAGCACTTTCGCTCACGTCAGACGTTTATCTTTTAAACAGCATAAACATCTGATAAGCAACACAAAACTACTTGGGTTTTATTTTTAGTAACTGACCTGGTTTAACTCTGAGCGACTTTGTTTCTGCTTTGCCTGTACTTTTAGTTTCCTTTGGGTTATTTTTTTTTATTATCACACTGTTGGAAAATTTTAAATGCAAATTATAAATTGTGTGAAATTTCTTGAAATGTGCACAAAATGTAAAAGGCAAGTTTGAGGGGTTTAGTTTATTGAAGGTGATTTTAAAGTCACTTTTAAATCGTAGTTTTAATTTCTTTAAAATTGTTGTAAATTCTGCTGAAATATTTCTAATCTTCAACCCAGTCTAAGCGTTAAGAGTGTAACTTCAAACACATTTTTTAAATACTTGAAGGTCAGACAATGTTTAGGGACATAATCTTCAAAAACACATGTCTTAAGTTGTCTAACCTCCTTTATGTGCCTTTTAGGGGCTTATCTCAGACATTTTTCTACTATGAATGCTTCACATTCCCCCTTGGGTCAAAGGGAACAGGAATTCACCCGGAAGGCCAGCCTTAATTCCCACTTTTGTTTCTGAAACTTTGAAAGAAAATGACTACATTTCCTGGTTTGAACTTCCCCCAGAAGAAATCAGTTTCAGTTATTCCAACACAACTTTCTGATAAGTTTCACATATTTTTCCTCAGGCACAGGAGCTCATTTGTGCTATTATCGCACAACTAGAAGACATTTATTGGAACCTCATTTGACTTCTTATCTTAACTCTGATAAAGGTGGTGGGAATACAATGCTCAGATTATTTTAGATGTGATGCTATTCAGTGCGTCTAGTGATTAAAAAGGACTGGGCTATCAACGCATGATGTTAAAATAAACTTGCGTATGAGAAAGCCTGTTTTCAGATCTTTTTTACATTCCAGCGACACGTGATGACTCTCACTGAAGTGAAACCGCAGATTAAAAAGGCAACAGACCTGATGGACTAAAAATAATCCCGCAGGTCTAAACAACAGGTGGCAAGGAGGAGCGGCGGCACAAACACTCGCGTGAAACGGACTGCTGACCTGTCGTCACGATGAAATACTACTACTTCTAATAATAATAATAATAATAATAATAATAATATCAGCTGTATCTTACCAGCCTCCCGGATCTCTCCCTGGCCTTCTTCACCTTGCCGTAGGTTCCTTTCCCCAGAGTCTCCAGAAACTCGTACCTGTGCTTCAGGTTGTGTTTGTGGTGGTGCCTCTTCACCGCATGCTTCCTCAAGGGCACCTGGGACGGAGATCCCCCACAAGGAGGGTCTGAAACTCCTCCGGCAGACGGGAGACTCCAGCCGTCCATGCCGACGCAGACAGCGCTACTGTCTCTACTTTCGTTGTGCTTTTGGTCGCAGCAGGTGTCGCTTGTAAACAACATTCCTGAGTCCGGAGCTACCTTGATTATTTTAAAATCGCCAGGTTCGGTTGGGTGTCATTTATCACGACAGAGTCCGCCCAGCCCGGCCTGATTAAGGTGACTTGCTACGACTAAATTGTGAGGAGGACATGAAGATTAAGGCCAGCAAGAGGAGCCGGGCTGCAGGTACTCTGCGTGCGGGCGGAGACTGAGGGAAGCCCCGCCCCCTGCCAGACAGAGGAGGAGTTTCAGGTCGCGCGCCGGAGAGATTGTTTTTCGCGGGAGCGCACATCTCACTTCAACCAGTAAGATCTGAGCTGAATATGTTACTTATCCTTGTACTTCCTGAAAAAGGTTTGGGGCAGACAAATCAACGAAGTTTCACATTTAATTGAACACGTTTCAAATGCACCTTTGTCAAAGTGTGTCAAGATAGTAATCTTTTTCTTCTAACAACAATGACAGTTTGTACTACAAGTCTGCTGTGAGTGCAGATGAAACACAACATAGGTGAGAAAGCATTTAGAAGAAATGTGTATGCCCCTAAGTGTCCATTCTGGTTAGGAAACAAATTAATCGTTTTATTTTGTAGTAACTTGAGAATGATGTACAAATCAGAAATGGAACTTTAATTTTTGCATTTTTCTTCTTTATTTTCATTTTTAACAGCTTAAGAGGGACCTTGTGTATTAATGAACATTTAGTATAACAAAATGAATGTGTTGTGTGTATTAGTTTATGTAGCTAGTCATCCTATATGAATATGTCCAGATTCAGCCACTAGAGGTCAGCAAAAGCCACCTTATGTTTGAATTTGGGTTAATTGATCTGATTTAGACCTGTTCAATGAAACCAAGACAAAACAACTCATTTATAATATAATCAGTTAAAGCATTTTCAGTGTTTCATCTTCTATTCATCCTATTCTATTTCATAGTACATAAAATAAACGAAGCATGAAAAACAGCTCAGACCAGGTTAATGGATGTCAGACAGTCTCCTTCTGATAGGATGCTTTAAAAAGCTCTTTCACACATCATTCCCGATTGACCCCCTAACCCATCGGACAGAGACTTTGTTTACGTATGTTTACTGCATTACTACATTTAATGAAATGTTAGATGGCCGAAACAGAAAGGGAGCCTGATTTAACTAGGATCAATAGTATTACTCATACCACCATGGTTATTTATTATCTGGTAGAGGATCCACATCTCAGAAAAGGTTTTTGACGGCTGAGTCTCAGACAGGCAAAGTGCTCAGTCACAGCATGCGATCAGACCCGTTTCAGAGACGAGTCTTGCATATGAGCACTATAAAGCAGTGATTGGTAACTCATGCAGGACACTGTAAAATCCTGGAAAACAAAGAACTAAACTCACAAAGAGGAAACCTTTTAACGCAGATTTCTGCTGATAGCAACTGACTTTTTTTGTGAATTATTTAGCAGCAGCATGAGTTCAGTGCAGATGTGTTAATTGTTCAAATGCGCAGATTTTCTAATTCATAACACATTTACTAATATTAGCCTGTTTGCTATTTGTCATATTTAGACTGAATGCTGAAAATAATTATTTTCCTGTTTCTCTTCATTCTAAGTTTCAGTATATTTTTATTTTTCTGCATCTGTACGTTGTTTGGAATCGGGTCACTACTGGTTCTACAATTTCAACAAATTTCAAATCAAAACATTGTGCTTGTTTTTCCTCTTTCCTGCTGTGACCTTTTGTAATTCTGACAATTATAAATTTCAAGTGATAAAATTTATTCTGTATTTAAAGGGAGGCTAGGCAGTCATGGCTTGCTTTTGAGCCCCCCCCCCCCCCCCCCCCCATTAGAACCGAAAGCAAAACCTAAATCCTTGCTTTTAGTTAGTCTTTTTAACACCTTAATCTAACAGCTGAAATGTCTCCCCGGCTTTCATCAGTGTCTACAGAGGTGGTTCATCACTAAATTAAACAAATCAGCTGTGTTCAAGATTTAAAACATGCAGGAAACATGCAGGAACCAGACTGCAGTGCCAGATATGTTGGCTCCAATTTTTTCTGCCAAGACGCAATGCCAATACTCATATTGCGCTGTGCTACTTAAAAAAAACTTCATATAAACTTTCATACAAACCTAACAATTATTTGAAATACATTTACATTCACTCCTGCTTTGTCTAAAACATTCATAGCATCAGTTAATTGTCAATGAACGACATTCATTTGAAAATACATATTTTCAAAAGAGGCTCTTGGGTCTTTTCTCCCACAGCAATGGATTGTGGGTAATACCAATTAAGTGAAGTGCGCATCAAGGCTGCAAAAGGGGCATAACCACAGACACATTTTTGACTTGGGGGGGGGGGGGCGCAACCGGCATGAGGACCGGGGGGGATCTTTACAGTAAGTACACAAAAAATATGTGTAAAACTACAGCCTAGAGGCTCTTTTATGCAATGTCAGAAATGCAGAACTGTCAAGTACCCAGGTGGCAGGAACGGCCAATCAAAATTTAGCAAGTATCTGCAGAGCCAATAGATGAGTTTATGGACAGTTCTAAAGGGAAACAGGCTTCAACACAAGACGTTGTTTTCCACTTGGTCCTAGTGCAACCAATGTCTATTTAATATAGCATAATATTGTTTTTGGACGGTTAAAAAGTGCAGGAGACAAAACTGACTTTGGAAAAAGTGTGTGTGTGTGTGTGTGGTGGTGGTGGTGGTGGGGGGGGGGGGTCTTGTAAAGGGTTATTTTAGCTCAGACTGGCTCAAGAAAATGATCTGAAAATATAAAAAGTTACATAGTGTGTCTTTAATTGCCAAATGCATTGAAAACCTTTCAGGTCCTTTCAAATTTCAAACTCAGTTTCTTAATCCACTGATCTGCTATTATCTCGTCCAACCACTTATCTTAACCTAATTTTTCACAGTTCAGCTCAGTTTCTGCTTCACTTCAGGTCTTCAGTAATTAAAGCTAATTAGCTTTCAACCTGTAGCCTTTTTCTGCTAGAACTGTACATTTCTTGTTTCTGTAGTTTTTATCATATCAAAACTTGTAAATTAACATCAAATCAATCAAATCAAATGAAAGAAACTTCATTAATCCCAGAGGGAAATTAGAGTTTCAGTACACACAATTCAGAGATCAGACACACATGGGCAAGACACATGACAAGAATTCGTGACTGTGGTCATTCGCAACCCTGAGTCGCACTACCTTAATAGAGATTAGAGGGTTACATGAGGATTGGTTCAGGTGGAGGGAAAAAAGGCACTTCAGAGTTACCCTCCCCCAGGAGGGCAGCTTTGCTCTGCAAAAAAAAAAACTCAGACAGATATGCAACAGACTTCAGACAACACAACATAAGTGTCCACTAGGTGGGGTAGTGGGTTGGGACTATCCCCACTTCAGTTCCTGCAGCCACAAGCAGTGCATTTCACCTCAGTGTGGATAGGGGGGGAGCATTGAGGGTTGGAGGGTTGCAGTGACCCTGGAACGTTTCAGCGGCCTTCCCGCTGTCCCGCCCAGGCTGAGAAATGAGACAGAGTTGAGTTGCCATAGCGACGGCACATTCCACATATCTTCTGAGGGAGTTTTTGTTGGAGCCTTGCAGGCTTAAGGGCGCCAGATTCCCATTAGAAATTGTTTTGGGGTCAGACAGAGATAATTTCCTCTCTGTCTTACAGTTTGTTGGTCCTCAACCTCTCAGAATCCCAATAATGTACTTTAATCCATCCCAATCTGTGCTGATTTGTCCACTCTATCCTTGATGGCATCCATCTTTTGTGCTAATAATGAATCTCGGCCAAAGTTCCAAGCTTATGATTCATCTCGACAATTATGTGAGTGTGAATTCACAGCGTGGTGCAAACCATCTCTGAGCTCCGGGATCAGGCCAATAGAGCTCCGGGAGTTGATGTCACTTCTCCCGGCATGCAACAGTTCAAATCGAAATGGCGCCATATTGGCAGGTAGAAGCCCGCAGCTGGACTATTTGTTATTGTCAGAAAACTCAATCAGACAGGAAATATGGTAGATTCCTGTTGTGCCCCAGGATGCAGAACAGGCACGGACGACATAAGGAATGAGCCATCTACAGGATTCCCCAAGTTCCGGAGCGCCGCAAACGTTGGATCATTGTAATAAAACGCGCTAGTGACCAGTGTAAAATGAAACTGTGGGATCCCGAGAGTAAAGGATTTCGCTTATACAGCGACCGCTTCATATCAGGTACTTAAACCAACGTTTCCTCAACTGTGTATGGTATTTATTTTAAATGCTTTTATTACGATTCTTAGTGGGCTTCCTAAACTTATTTTGGCGTGGCTTTTTCTGTCTTATTACTCATAGTAACAAGTAAACATCACGTAAAACGTTGCCTCGTGAGTTCTGTGTGCTGCCGTTTACGTGTTTTATGATCACAGCAATTAACAGGCTAAGCTGTATTTAATTTTTAAGCAATGGTTGATCAATTGTCAGATCACACATAAAAAGCACTTTGGATTGCTATTTTCTGTCTCACCGAGACAGATCTCAGACAGATCCTGAGACGCTCCGGCCTGACATATTTATTTTATTCACGGAAAACAAATCAAGCTAGTGATTTCTCTTGGCGTTCAGTTTATACATTCAAACAGCACAGCAATCTATTTAAACTACTTACGTGTAAATCTGTTATTTGTCCATCAATTTTCATCCACGTATCCGGAGTCGGGTTGCGGGGGAAGTAGCGTCGAGAGTCCCAGACTTCCCTCTCCCCAGCCACTTGAGCCAGCTCCTCCGGGTAAATCCCAAGGGGTTCCCCGGCCATGTCCGGTGTAGTCCGCTCCGACAGCTTCTGGTGTTTTTAAAAAGTATCCCAGAGGCACGGTAAGGGTCGGAGATGTTTAGTCTATTTAATTTCTGACTATATAAAACGATTTCTTCGGTTTTAAAGTGTGAAGTAAACTCCGACGAAGTAAAATCCAAGCCGGTCCCGTTCATGTTCATGGTTACGAGCCGTGTTTGTTTAGCTTCTTTTACCTGCCAATATGGCATCTACTAACTGAGAGTCACGTGGGGTCCGGAGCTCTATATTCCTCGACAGCTCGTTAATTTTCCGGTAAGCCAGGTAGCCTCCAAGGCCAATGAGCAGGAAACCTGACACCAACACCACGAATATCCACACATCTTCAGCACATCTTCAGAGTCCTCCACAGACAGCTGAGAAAGACAGAAAAAGTTCCACTGTTTCCAGGAGTCCATGATGTGTCCAACTGGGTCTGTCGTGGAGGGGCATCCGGGAGCCCCTTCTCCCGTTCTCATCGTTGAAAAATTTTTATCAATCGCGTTGAGTGACCAACTGACCAGATCCATTTTTAGTGAATTTCAGTTTCCATTTTCCAGAAAAAATGCAGAAGCAGCCATGCACCCAGCACACACAGACAGACAAAGGGCCTTGAGGAGAAGATATGGAGGAGAGGAGGAAAAAAGCATCTGCACCCTCCAAGAGTCGGAAGAAGAAGAACCTATGCATCCACAAGCAGAAAAGGATTTTTCCACATATTAGAAAATTTATATTTAAGTGATAGGTTTCATCTAGATATGGAGTAGCAATGTTTAGATGTTATTTTCATCACATTATCACAAGATAAAGCTGTTTCTGTGGTGAAAATTGTTTATTCATGTCATTATCTTGAGAAAACAGGTTAATATGTTTAGTTATATGATTTAGAAAATAGTTTTTCATGATAAATATGCATTATTTAGAAATAACAATAAACACTATAGTAAAGGAGTAAAGCAATTAAACTGACAATAACATCAGAACCATTATTTTCGTCTTTATAATCATCTTGTGATCACTAGAAAACATGAGCCTGATTTCTTCAGATAACGAGACAAAACAGTCTGATTTTCTCCAGATAATGAAATAGTGATTTGGAGAAGATTGCTAACTGCAGGCGCGGATGCTTGCACATCTGTTCACAACAGCAAAAATAAAGTGAATAGAAATGGTTGTTCGGAAACTGGCCTAGCTGGTAGTGGTGTGAGCCTACATTTCCCAGATAGCAGCGCGCCACCTAGCCCCGCCCATTTTAATCCCTCGCTCTGTGGTCTGAATTTTTGTTTTTGCTGTGATTGCCTGCTCTTTGCTCAGCTATGTGACTCGATTCGGAGACACACCTCGTCCTGCGACAAACCTATCTGCTCTTCCTTCAGCTCTGAAAGGCGGAAAAGACGCTGTTAGCTGTGTTGTCGCTCTCCAGCAGAGGTGGAGGATTTATTCTGGCTTCTCCTCGCGCCATATTCTCTCCGGTTAGGAGCCTTTTCCCCACGGAGCTCGTTGGGAGAGGACCTACGATGTTTTGAGGCTGTTTTTTGTTCATGTCAGTTGGCTGCATGGACCGGGCAGCTGTTCTCTGGGCAGTTTTTATTAATTTGAAGAGCATGTTTGCAGCGGCAGGCCAAGGTGGAGACGGACTGGAGATGTCCTCAGGCTAGCAGCGCTAACGTCTGCTGACCATAGCTAGGTCGCAAACATTTAGAGTTAGCTTAGTGGTTGGAACAACATCCCAGTCTCCAGAGGGTGCCTTTAAAACGCCACAGTTTCATATTTCCCACTGTATTTTTAGGACAACGAATAAATAAGTAAATATGTAACTTAATGGATGTTTGTTGCGTGAAACAACTCACGTCCATCTCTGACCCCAGAGACTAAAGGTACTGTTTACTAATGATACACTCACGTTAGAGATATTTATTTCTACACCACCATTCATTGAAGTATTGATTTGTTTAACAAAGCATCGCCAGGTGGGAGGACAACATGATAACGAACTAGTTAGTAACCAAATAAGAGGTGTGATAAGAGGACGATCGTCTGCTTGAAGCATTAAATCACATCAAGGCGACCTGTTTACCACCATGGAAGGAAACGTACAACAACAAAAAACACCCCCTTTAGCCCGGGAGCTAACGAGAGTGTTCAGCAGCTACAACAAACACTCCATACTGCTGAAGAAGAACCTGAAGGAAACTCACGTCTTCTTCCGAGAAATCAGACAGAACTACAGCAACGCCTGTGCGTCAACCATCAGCTCAGATTCAGCGTCTCTGGAGGCAGGTGAGTCTGAACACATGTGCCTCAGCAACATCTGTCAAATCAGGTGCCTGACCATTTCTAATCCTGGATCCAACTGTTTTAGCCAGAGGTAAAAATAATAAGAAATGGTTGCTGGTGCCAAGTTGCATGCTGAAGGGATAAATTCATTCATTCCAGCCATGGAAGGAGATTAAACCCCCTCTGAAAAGCACGAGAAGACTTAAAGAGCTTCAAATCGTGTTAAGGTTTCTGCGCAAGTTGGTTGAAAATCAGAAATTCTTCTCTTTTATCTGTGCTTCTGTTTGTATTCGGTTAACTATTCACTCCTCTCTGTGTGCATGTGTTTATTTATGTGATACAAACCCATGCTGAGAAACACCAAACACTGGATGTTTATTTAAGAGATGCGTCTGCTCAGAGAGGAATGGTGATCTGCATGATCAGAGATGAGAAAGATCGTTTTTATTTCAGTGTTGAATTAACTGTTGGCCTGGAGATCTTATGACAGCAGTGGAGAAAGTCAACAGAGAATTTCTAGTTTTATATTTAGCTTCAACCCCCTTCATTGCTTCTGCATTTAGGTTCTCATTAGAATATTAACTTTAACTAGCAAATGTTCATCGGCGTCAGAAACAACCAGGATCTGTGTCTGGGTTTCTGTGCTCACCACTGCAGCACACTGTGGCCACTAGCCAAGCCATTGCAGCCATGAGCATCGTACAGTCATCAGTTCAGGTACAAACCATCGGTACAAACACACCACCAGGTCATGTGACTGGAACAAAGCGACTAGAGTGGGCAGTCCTAGGATTGTCGTTTATGAGTCCAATAGCATAGGGGAAGAAACTGTTCTTATGGCGAGAGGTTCTGGTTCGAATGGATCTGAGCCTCCTGCCAGATGGGAGAGAGTCAAAGAGACTGTGTCCAGGTGACACGGGTCAGCTGTTATTCGACCTGCACCCCTCAATATCGTGGAAGTGTTACAGCTCCTGTATGGAGGAGAGTTTGCAGCCAATGACCTTCTCAGCATAACGTACAACACGCTGCAGCCTCATCTTGTCCCTGGTGGTGGCTCCAGCATACCACACGGTGATTGAAGAGGTGAGGATGGACTCGATGGTTGTGGTGTAGAACTGCCTCATCGACTGTGCTGGCAGGTTGAATTTCTTCAGCTGCCTCTTGGTGCTCAGGAAGCGACATGTGTCCACCATCATGATGGGCGTCAGACAGGGTAATTTGGGGTGGGTGGGTGGGGGTGGGGGGGTTGGGGGGGGCTGTGTGCATCCTAAAAGTCCACAACAACCTCCACTGTCTTCTGGGTGTTTAGCACCATGTTGTTGTGGCTGCACCAGGATACCAGCCTTTCCACCTCCATAGGCAGACTCATTCCCATCAGGGATGAGTCCAATGATGGTGGTGTCGTCTGCAAACTTGATAAGCTTGACAAACTCGTGGTTGGAGTTGCAGCTGTTGGTGTATAGGGAGAAGAGCAGAGGGGAGAGACAGCCCATGTCATGATATCCACTCGGCTGTAAAACCCAACCATGTTTAGGGGCTGATGGGTTTCTGATCCAGGAGCTTTGCACAGTTGTTTATGCAAAAATAAAAGGGGGGTTTAATGGATTATGATGATCATTCTCTGCATTTTCACAAGATAAAAGGGTTTGCATATCACTTTGTCTTTGGGGCGACGGTGGCCGGGGAGTTAAGTGCTCGCCTCGTAATCAGATGGTTGCAGGTTCGAGTGTCGCTGTGTCCTTGGTTGGGCTAGACACTTAACCCACCCACAGAATTGCCTAAAAATGGTAGACAGGTCAAAAATCAGCCCTCAGAACCATGACTGGTGCATCTTTATTTTCTTCACAGAACTTCTGCTGCCTGTAAAATAATCCAATCTAAACTTCACCTGTTTAAATAAATGTGTAAAACGCAGTGAAATGTACTTATATAGTACTTTTAAATGTACATTTAAACGGTCACTATTCTGTTACATTGGTAATTTGATTTCTTGGGTTTTACTGTAGTTTCCACTTTCTGTTTTGCCACCATGATTTTTACAAACCTCTTCATGTCTTTTAGCATTTCAGACATCATCATCTAAACTGTCTGTGGGCATCAAGGGGAGCAAGCGTCCATCAGATAATCATTAGACAAATCTATTATTATAATGGAGAGCATTGATTGATGTACAACACATAATTACCTGTGAATTATAACCATGTTTACTTTGCACATTGATGATGCATTTCCAAATACACCAAGCAATCAGGGTTAGTTGCCCAACTGTTGCTTAACTTTCAGGCCTTCTGATTGGTCAGAAAAAATAACCTCTGGTTGTCTCTTCAGGAGCCTTTGTGTTATGCATTTTTTATTTGTCTGATACACTATTTACAGCATAAACCACATACTTCTAATTTGTTCAAACCGATTTAAAAATCGTGTTTGAGTAATGAAACCATAAGGATGTACAGTGGGTACCGAAAGTATTCAGACACCCATCAATTTTTCACTCTTTGTTATTGTGCAGCCATTTTGTAAAATTAGTTCAATTCATTTTTTCCCTTATTAATGTACACACAGCACCCCGTATTGACAGAAAATCACACAAGTTTAGAAATGTATGCAGATTTATTAAAAAAGAAAACCGGAAATATCACATGGTCCTAAGCATTCAGACCCTTTGCAGTGAAGTGACATTTAACTCGGGTGCTTTCCATTTGAAAGATGTTTGGGACGACCAGAACCCTTTCTAGAGCAGGTCATCTGGCCAAACTGAGCTACTGGGAGAAGAGCCTTGATGAGAGAGGTAAAGAAGAACCCAAAGACCGCTGTGGCTGAGCTCCAGAGATGCAGTGAGGAGATGGTAGCCTGGCAAGCTAGACTAAATAAATGTATTATTTAGTCTGGCAACGTTCTATTGACGGCTCTCGGTTGTGGGGCGGGTTCTACCGTTGTCTTTCAAATGATCTCCGCATGCTACTGGACAATGAAAGTGACATACTCTTTTTCACTGTTGCATCATCCCACCCACCAGGCATATAGAGTGCCCTGATTGGCCCACAAAGTGGATAAAGCTCTGTGATTTGTTCACTAAGCAGATAGAGCACTATGATTGGCCCACCATTATGGACCAATCACTAGGGCTGGGGGTAAACGATTATTTTTAAAACTATTATTCTGACGATTATTTTATCGAATAGTCGACTATTCTAATGACTATTTAGAAAATTAATCTAATGATTATTTTTCTATTGCACAATTAACAAAAACCAGAAAATCTCAAATAAATTCCTCAAAAAAATTGATAAATTCTTACTGTAAGAGAATAAACACTACAGGCCTTCCATTTTGTATAACATTGCGTTTATTGTGTTGGTTGGTTATGTTCTGGTGACGTGTAGAACTTGGGAGTGCAGGCTGCTGCCTGAGAGGTGGTAGAAGACGGAGTGTCTCCATGCTGCTTTGTTTTGGTCTCTTATGTGCGTGAGGCGAGTGATGTTACGGGTTAAACCAAACTCAGGTGATATTTTACACTAAACCGAAAACCCACAACACTCTAAATGTAATAAAAGGGAGATCTACACCACAAAAAAGATGAACTCTAAACCAAAACGTAACAGCTTATCCCAACGCAAGAAGCTGTTAGCGAAGATGCTAACAGTAGCTTTACCAACGTTAAGTTCAAGTTACCAAGTTTAAATAAACCAAAAACACCCAGCAGCAAACAGACCAGCACGGAGGAGAGACTGCTACCACCAAAACAGCTCTCCTCATGTCTGAAAGAAGCTCCTTAATGAAGGGAGAAGCGCTCCCGGTGACTTTCTACATCTGCGATAGACACGAAGCAGCGCATCTGACCCCGGAAGTTGTTGTCCGTTGCCGGGAGACGAAGGGGCAAAACAGGAAAATAATCTAGTAGTAGACGGACGTTGTTCCGGGTCTTCGGTATTTGGCGGAGATGTTAGTGAAGGCGGAGAAGAGAGCGAACTAGAGGAAAAACAGGCAGATTCCTCCTCTATTTACAAACTCCTGGGGATGCAACAAGTGGGCGCGGTGCGTCGACTTCCGGATCTGACGTCGACAAATTTTTAGAATCGAGCCGTCGACTTCGTCGAGGCTTCGCTACAGCCCTACCAATCACAGCTCTTTATGTGTTTGAAACCCCTCTAGAGAGCTGTTATTGGCCAGCCAGAATCTTGTTGGGGCTGCAGAGGTTCTAGTGGGGCGTTCCTAGACCAAACTTTGCAAAGCAAGAATTTGGTCTAGTTCACTAGGCTAAGGAGATGGAGAATGTTGTAGAAAGTCAACCATCACTGTAGCCTTCCACCAGTCAGGACTTAATGGCAGAGTGGCTCATCAGAAGCCTTTCCTCAGTGCAAGACACATGAAGGCCTGCATGGAGTTTGCTAAAAAAGACACCTGAAGGACCCTGAGATGGTGAGAAATAAGATTCTCTGGTCTGATGAGACCAAGACGGAACTTGTTGGCCTTAATTCTAAGCGGTATGTGTGGAGAAAACCAGACACTGCTCATCACTTCTCCAATACAGTCCCCACAGTGAAGCATGGCGGTGGCAGCATCTTGCTGTTGGGGTGTTTTTCAGCTGCAGGGACTGAATGATGAAAGGGATATCCTGGACCAGAACTTTCTCCAGAGTTCTCAGGACCGCAGACTGGGCAGATGGTTTACATTCCAACATGACAATGACCCTAAGCACACAGCTAAAATAACAAAGGAGTGGCTTCACAGCAACTCTGTGACTGTTCTTGAATGGCCCAGCCAGAGCCCTGACTTAAACCCAACTGAGCATCTCTGGAGAGACCTAAAAATGGCCGTCCACCAACGTTCACCATCCAACCCGACAGACCTGGAGAGGATCCCCAAAGCCAGCTCTAAGAAACTTGTTGCATCTTTACCAAGAAGATTCATGACTTTATTAGCACAAAAGGTGCTTCCACTAAATACTGAGCAAAGAGTCTTTATTAAGAAATCTGCATACATTTCTAAAATTCTGTTTTTCTGTCAATATGAGGTGCTGTGTATGCATTAATGAAGAAAAAATGAATTTAATTGATTTTTATCAAATAGTTGCAATATAAACGAATGAAAAATTGACAGTTTCTGAATACTTGCCTTCCCCTTTGTAAATTAAAGGTATGGTGGAAGTTGTTTCTGAATTTCAGGAAATAAGTGCTCTCTCCACGTTTTAAAAAAAAATGCGCCTGAGCCAGAACGCCCAGTTATCCTCATGCACGCTCTGTTTACAAGTAGCTGCCGGCCTTTCAGCTAACTTCTTCTAGCAGTAATCTGAAATGAATTTCTCCAAATAGCATGCCAAACTTTAGCTTACCTGTCGAGCAGAAAACCAGCGACAGAGGCGTCTGTGGGAAGACCAACCTTCACTTTGCGCATGTGTGGGAAGGGAAAACTACCCAGCAACGAGCACGTCAACGGTGGTCTTGTGTGAATTGTTCACCAGAATGATTGACAGTTATCCTCCCCTCAACCTTTAACTAATAATTTGGATTGACACATTTTCTGATTGACTCTGTAACCCTCCGATGTGGTTGTTCCTAAAATATTTTCAGATGTTTTTATGCTAAAATCCTGGCATCACAAACTCGTTGTGGGCCAATACTGACTCTAAAAAGTGTCGTAATGTTAATTTGGTTTGGGGGGTCATGATAACATATTAGTGGAGCTTGTGATTTAAATCTGTAATATTAAAGTTATTATCCAGATTGGATCAGTCTATGAGCTGAAGTTCTTTTATGGATGGGGGTGTCAAACTCAAATTCACACTGGGCCAAAATGAAAATCTGGGACGAAGTTGCGGGCCAAACTTAATATTTTTTGAAAAAGTGACGTCAAATTTGCACATTTTCTTTATCAACGTATACAATTTTGAAATGTGCAATAATCAAATTACACACGAGCAAGTCAATTTTAAATAAAACTTATCAGTGGTATTCATTACTTGTGGTATATTCAGAATTTTTTTAATCTATTTGTGTTTTCTTGTTGTTTATTCATTTTTCCTATTTTTTATTCTCCTTTTTTTCTCCTGTAATAAGTGTCATCGCTGCTGTGACATCTAGCTTTCCCCACTGAGGAACAATAAAAGGATTTTCTATTCTATTCATCTATCTGCAGCACTACAGATAAACTGCAAAACGACAGCAGCCACAGAGTCATGCTGGTTTGAGCGTGTCGCTGCTCGCTGGTGTTATATCAGCTCTGTCTGGATGTTAGTTGGAAAACTTCCTCCTTCAGTCGTGAACACATCACTGAGCGGTTAAAATCTCCGTTTCTGGGCTTCAACGTTGGCAAATAGCTGAGTGAACTCGGCGCTGAGCGAGAAGAGTGTTTGGTTTGTCCGAGACAGCGGAGCTGCAGACACCAGCAGCAGACGCTGGAAAAAAAACACAAAGGAGGGGGCACTTCGGCTTCGCGCTAACGCCGTAAGGCATCATGGGAGTTGTAGTCTTTGCGGTAAAATGGCCAGCGGTTCAGTTTTAATATATTTTTGATATTTATCTCGCGGGCCACATCTGTCCCGCGAGCCTTGTGTCTGACACGTGATTTAAACAGTGAAGTAAAGCAGTCCGTTTCTGACCTGAGTTTGACTTGACTCAGTGTGAATGTTTGATGGATTTATCTAGTTTGACAAAAAGGCTCGTTACATTTTTGTCATTAGCTGCAGCATTAAAACCTCATGATGGGTCCAAAGGTCAGATGAGGAAACATATGGTAGGTTTGTGTTAAAGTGAAACTGTGTTGGTGTCTGCTGCTGTTGTTGCCTCTTTGTTAAATAATTGTCTTAGATGGTGACTCAGCATCCCAGAGGATTATGTCTAATTTTACAAGAGCTCAACTGAATCTTCTAAGTGGTCCACATGTTGGAGTTTGACCTGGAAATTAAAATAAACCCACAGAATGATTCCAGATTATTAATAATTTATGATTTATACACTGAATTTACTCCCCAAATGTAACAGTGCCGACAGTTCACAGGCACAACAACTTACATTTGTTCATTTATTTTCTCTTTTAATCTCCCACTCACCCAACAGTTCAGCTTAGCTGCATCTCTTTCCCGAGTCATGAAGAAGAGTTCCTACGCAGCACCGTGGGCGCTGCCCCGTACATCCTGGTTCTGGGCCAGGACTGCGCTGCCCGCTATCAGCTGCTCAACTGTCTCCTGGGGGAGAGGTTGTTGCCGCTGGGCACGGAGCTTGGAGAGGCCTGCCATGGAGTCCAGGGGATCATCTGTAAGAGGAGGAAGCTGTGTTTCACCCATGGGAGACAAACGCGGCTCAGCTTGGCGCTGCCCGGTCAGTACGAACTTGTGCACCAGTTAGCTGCTAACCGAGGCCGGTGGGACACGGTTCCCCAGGAAGACCTGGAGATTCACGAGGAGTGTGAGGACCCTGCTCACAGGCTGGCAGAGCTGGAAATCACTCTGCACCATCCTCTGCTTCAGGTAGGCCATGGCTTCACACCACATCCTCAGTCTGACACAAACCTGGAGCCAGACAGAGCTCTAAATCCTTTTCATCTGTCTGTTCATGAACCATGACACTTTAGAGGGATTTTCTGCACTTTTGGTTGAAAATTTTCCACCGATTATTGATTTATAGTTGGAAGGTGTTGATAAAAGCTGAAGGTTTGTGACATAAAGTGGCATCTTTAGTTTTCACTGAAGGACATTTTCCTGAGTTTGATCAGACAAAAGGCTGTTTAAATCTCAGTTCTTGACGTTGGTGGACCAGATCCTCAACATTTGTATATTTAATATAATCTTTGTAACAGAACAGATTTATTTACTTATAACAATATTATTTTTGTTTAGCTTCATAGTAACCTTGTTTTGATCCTTGCTGTTGCCTATCTTGACCAAGTCTTCCTTAAAAAATAAGTTTTAATTTCAATGAAATCTTTCTGGTTAAATAAAGATTAAATAAATTAATTCTATATAAAAGAAAAAAAAGAATCAAACTGGCCCTCAGGAGCACTGGATCGTTTCACAGTGGCCTGGCCCACAAATTATTCGACCATTAGCAATTGGCCATGCCCTTCTTTGCCTGAGTTAACCAAACTAGTTAACCCTATGAAGACCTCTCCATGCCCCCTCGACATCTTACCCTTTTCCTTGTTTGAAAATGCTTTTCAGTCCATCGGTCCCAGCGTGCTCTCTATAATTAATGCTTCTCTGGTCTCTGGTCAGGTCCCTGCTTACTTTAAGAACGCTGTAATCCACTCGCTTCTTAAAAAACGAGTCTTGACCCCTCTCTCCATAGCAGCTTCAGACCCATCTCTAAACTTCCGTTTATCTCCAAGATCTTGGAAAAGGTTGTGGCTAAACAACTCACAGCTGCTCTTGATGAACATAACATCTATGATAGCTTCCAGTCAGGTTTTCGTAGAGCTTTTTCTACTGAAACAGCTCTTCTTAGGGTCTCTAATGACCTTCTGACCCACAGTGATGCAGGGGACTGTTCTGTTCTGGTCCTGCTGGACCTGACTGCAGCCTTTGACACTGTTGACCATCACCTGCTACTGGAGAGGCTGGGTGAGTGGGTAGGCCTGTCTGGAACTTCTCCAGAGTGGTTCTCCTCTTATCTGTCTGAGCGTTTATTCTCTGTGGTCGCTGGGCGGACACTGTGCGACTTTTTCACTCGTAGCACTCGGCTTCAGCTCAAACTGTACGACTTCCTCGCAGGGCAGATCTCACAAGTCATGTGCTCACACTGTACGACCCAGTTCTCGGATGCAACCTGACTGCTCACACTGTACGTCTGGTAGCAACACGTCGGGCCTAAAAAATATGCTAGAAATAGCAGTTTTTACACAACACGTCAGACGTTGTCCTTCGGGAGTGCTGCAGGAGGACACACAGGGATTTATGGAGGTTGGATGAGGAAAACGAAATAAAGAAAGTAAATCTGTGTTTTGTGATCAGTTTACTTTGACATGAACACGACAGACACGCTTTCTTGACAATCCTTGTCAATGTGTGTAAAAAAAACGTTAAGAAATAAAAACGAACAATGTGTTATTAGGGAAATAGCAGGTGAGCGGTGTTGATGCATGATTGCGCATGCGCCGTGAGCGGTTGCAGCCGCACGCTGCGTCGCTTCAACCCTCACGAGGAACAAGCAAATAAACACTCCAGAAGTCCGTGCAAGCTCACAATTGCTGATCGGTAGCTGGTCACGTGGTGTTAATCGCCTGTCGTAACCCCCTGTATACTACACGACGCTCAGCGCAAAACTCGCCCCGATCTTTTGGCTTCTCGCACGAGTGGAAAATCGGCTCAAAAAGTGAAAAAGTCGCACAGTGTACGCCCTGCTTTACCCATGGTGTCCCAACCGGCTGCAAGTGGTTCAGAATGCCTGTGCCGGGCTTCTGTCCAAATCGTCAAAGTACACCCACATCAACCCGCTTCTCCTCCAGCTTCACTGGCTGCTGGTTAACTTCAAAGTTAATTTCAATATCCTGGATCTGGTTTTTAAGGCCTTACATGTACAAGCACCACCATACACTGGTGATCTTCTTAGTCCCTGCACCCCCAGCAGGTCCCTGAGGTCCAGTGATCAAAGCCTACTGGTTGTGCAGCACCAGGCTAAAGACCAAAGGTGACAGATCATTTGCTGCTGTGGCCCCCAGACTCTGGAACTCTCTCCCTCTGAGCCTGAGATCAGTGGACTCAGTGGACTCCTTTAAAAAGCAGCTGAAAACCCACCTGTTCAAGCTGGCTTTTGTATGACCTTCATCACCACCCTCTCCTTATTCTGCTCTTTCTATCAACTCTGCTTTTCCCAGCATCTACTGATTTCCCCCCTTTTCCTATTTATTTTCTCTTTCCCTTTTTTATTCACATTTTCTTCCTTTCTCATTTTAGCCATATTCTTAATCATAACAATTTTTTTGTAAAATTTACAAAAAATGTTTGTTCTTGTGAAGCGCGTCTAGATTTTTATCTCGAGAGTCACTATGTAAAAGATCGTTTTCTTTCTTTCTTTCCTGATCATATTTGTATGAGTGGTGATATTTATGCCTATGAAGTCTCATGGGACCCCGGAAGATTGAAAAAATGAACGCAAGTCAGTGGGGCTAAAATAGCTAGTTTACACCTTGAATGACAACTATGATGTACTTCAATTTAAATGAAAATTATCAATGTGTGTTTCGACCACACCTGTCACATACTCCGGATTGTAAAAGTTCCTAATCCATATGACTACAAATCAGACGTCGGTACGTCGCATATATGACGGGCGGCAGAAGCTCAACAGGTAGAGTCCAGTAATCGGAAGGTTGCAGGTTCGATCCCGGTTCCGGACAGAGAATTCTGCTGTTGTGTCCTTGGGCAAGTAACTTTACCCACCTTGCCAGCTGGTGGTCGGAGGGACAGGTGGTGCCTGTGCTTGGCAGCCTCGCCTCCGTCAGTGTGTCCCAGGTCAGCTGTGGCTGCATCGTAGCTCATCACCATTGGTGTGTGAATGTGTGTGTGAATGGATGAATGATACACTGTAGTGTAAAGCACTTTGGAGTTCTTACTCTGAGAGGCGCTATACAAGTGTGGGTCATTTATCATTTATCATGACATCACCACAGAATCTCCTGTGCCCTAGTATAGCTGCTACTTACCACATGGCAAGATTTATGGTGGTTCTTTCATCCTAGATGAAGGATTCAAAGTTCGCTAAACTTTGCCATTGTTTTCCTTTATGTCTGGTTCGAAGACGTCAGTTAGGTGATGCACATTTGTAGTCCTGGTCGTATTTTCACACAAAACCTAAAATAAATTTTGCCCCATTAAGCACTTTCTTGACATCAGAATGTGTTTAAAATTCATGGACATCATATGTGAAATCCATGGCATATAACAGATGGGATTAGAAAATGGCTTTTCCCGCCCCATTTTCTTGAATTCAAAATTTCGTTCTTCCAGGGACTAAACGGAGTGTTTGCCAACAATTGTCAGCTTAAAAGGTAAAAACAAATCTTTACTAAGCTGTGTTTAGAAAAGAACCAGGCACGTTTGACGGATTACACCGAACAAACGTACAAAGATGGTTTATTGATTTCTGCTTCTAAAACTTAAAAAATGTCCTTTTTAATTTTGAAAATGTGTAAAATGAGGTTTTAGGATTTTATTAGAATGGAAGAAGATAAGAGGGTGCAGCCTTAGAAGTTATAATTACATAATACTTCAGAAAATAGATTAAACAGTAATGAGTTGGTGACAGTGACTTGCTGCTTCTTAATGATCTTTTTTAATGTGTATTAAATTATTTTGTAAAGAGTTTTTGGGACTTTATGGCTCAGTCTCTTCAGATTGTTTTGATTTGTTTATTTGTGGGAGGCAGTTTTTCCCTTAGCTGGAAAAGGAAAATATGCATACATTTTTTTTGTGTCTGTTAGACAAGTTTGTGCTCACATGGCTCAGCTCAGAATAACAGATTACAGAGCAGAGCGGATTATTTCCTGGGTCACTGAGGTTTTTTTTTCTCCTATTTACTTGTTCTCTCGTGCTGTGTAGAAAAACTCTTTAATAGTTTTCTCCCTGTATTTGTCTCTCTAACATAACTTAGGGTTTTATGGGAATAAAAGGGATGTTGAATCACTTCTGACCTAAAAATCCCAGTATGGTTTGAGGGTGAAGTGATTTGATGTGGTGTGAGGATTCTAGTCATTCCTGTCATGTGGGACACTTGGAAATTGGCCTCTAATCTTTTAAACCCAAGCCCTTCAACGAGCATCACACAGTCCAAGAAACTGGGCTGAGCTGTGCCTGGGGCTGGGCCGCCCACCCATCCAACCTCCTTACGTAATGCTACTGGTCTGGTGCGATTCACATGACTGGGTCATGTAGGAGAAGATCTCAAACCCCTTTTTTGCCTGGGATACAGTCACCATGGTGACAAATACATTCTGGGAGTCTGAAACTAAAATACTAGATTATAGCTTTACTTAAAGCTTAAATCAAGCTTTTTGTGTTATAAGTTTTTAATCCAACAGTTTTGTTGTTTGGATGCACAACTTCATCGTCAGAGGATATGTTTGTGAACAAAAACAGACACTCAGCCAGCAGTAGTTGTTCAAGTCTTTTAGTCATGCAGGCTTTAGTGAAGCATTTTTACAGCGTTAGAGTCATTTAGGGAAAGTAAAACCTCTTTTTGGGAAACAAAAGTAGTTATTTCATGTCAATGCCTTCATTTGACCACTACTTCACACTGGAGGCGTCAGTGGCGCTGAATGGTTTACTAGCAAGTTTCACGGTGCGCCAGTACACACCAAGAGAATTTCAGCTTCTCTGCCATGCTCCTCGCTGGACTCACAAGATCACAAAATCCCTAAAGACTAAAAAGGTCTTAGTTTGTTTGTGTCATCTGCCATTAAACCAATGTAACAATTAAATTTACATATTATTTAATGAACCATAAAATGTGAGATTCCATATGAAATATGAAATCAATCTTATGGATCTTTGGATAATTTAAACCAGAAGATTGGAACTTTTTATTGCAGGGATTATGTAACCACTTCGTATTAACTCAGAGACAAAAGAGAGTCAAGTTTTTAAAAGTTAAAAGATTTATTTCTAAACAAATTAAAACTAGACTAACTTTAAACACTAAACACTCTGTGTGATGAGTGGATCTCTGTGTGAATGAGGCTAGATGGATGGTGTGTGGAATGTTGTTCAGAACCAGCAAATCCGGAGAAACGATTAGTTCTGATGGGAGTGAAAATGGTGTTTCACCCTAAGCTTTGGTTTGGAGATTTATAACACATTGAGACGCCATTCTGTCGGTCTGCGTACCCTTGGCGGAAGTCCCCGTTAGATCAGGAATGTCGAGGTCCAGCTTGACCTCCTCTGGAACCGAACCCAGTAGAAAAAGCAGCGATTGCCGACCAGACCAGTCTTTGAGATACTTCCTGGTCAAGACAGTTTACTGGCATCTAGCAAGACCCAAAAATGGTTCGTGATGGTTCAGCTTTTATTCTGAAAGGAACCATTGCAGCAGGTGGAACATTAAACAGATTTAATCCAGCTTGTCGTTGGTTCTTTCGGCTGAAGAGGAAAGTTACAGATTGGCCACTCCGACAACTTCTCTAGAACGCTTTGAACGGAAGTTTAAGATGACGTGGGCATAGTTTTTTACTTTGGATGTTTTGATTTACGGTCGAATCAAAAAAGGACAGATTTACCAAGCACCAACAAACCACGCCTCGCGTCAGATCTGGAAGGTTCTGATTGGATCAGAAAAAGGAAATGTGTCATGTGACTTAATATTACGTGGATGAGAATGTCCAGTGCAGCTAGTTTAAAGTTATATTACTTATTAAAAACTACTGATCATAACATTGTCATTTCACAGATTGGTTCACATTTTATTATTGGACTAACACTTTGTTTGATTAGCTTTATTAAAACAGAGTTCTTCTGATTAATTAAAAGAAAGAGTCCTTTGTCTTCATTCTTCTCTTGAGCTGGAAGGAAGAAACAGTTTAGAAACAAATGCATGACCTTGAGGCAGTCTCATGCAGATTAGTTCTTCCTGAGGAGAGAGAGGGTAAATAACCTTCGGTGGAACAGCTCCTTTATGACGTTACACCAAAAAGAAGGAAATCACACTCGATAGCGCTGTTGATGCCATATATGATGTTCCTCTCCATTGCCAGATTTCAAGCCTCAAAACCACGACTTCACTTCTCGAATGATGCTGGGAGTAAATAAGTCGTTAGGTCACGTTTTGACTTAATCTACATAAATATAAAATTGCATTGCTACAATAGTCTTTTATTTAGAAGATTACTTGGGGTTTTACTCTGAAACTTTGTGTGATTTCCTGTCTTGCCCTGTGTTAACTGCAGAAATTGATGTGTCCCAGAAGTGGCTCGCTGCAAAAATAGAACCCGATCCTATCTTTAGCGGCACAGCGCAACAAGCTGCTTTTGGAACGCGCCTGAAAATTGCCATGTCGCGACTGGTTTGAAACACTCCATAGACAATAATGGATTCAATTTGAAGCGGTGACATTCTGCTGACGTTCTGCGCCGCTGATGCATCCAGTGTGAAATAAGGGTTAGACATGATGTCAGGAGCTCCATCATCTAGGTGGAGCTCACAGTAGAGCTGCTGCTCCTAAGCAGGCTTGGACATTTGATTAGGATCCCTCCTGGTCACTGCCTCCTGCAGGTCTTCCGGGCATTTCCCACTAGGAAGAAACCCCCTAAGGCCGCCGTGGGATCCCTCGCAGGGAGCTGGGGAGAGGCATGTCAGGGCTTCTCTCCTTGAACTGTTGCCCCCTGCGACCCAACCTCAGAGGAGCAGTGGAAAATGAATGGGTGGAGAATGGCTACTCAATCAGGTTTACAGATACTGAGCTAAATTTTTATTTGTTGGTAGTCGAGAGTCGTTCACAACAGCTCTTCTTAGTGCCAAGAGATTGGGAGAGATTTTGCAGTATCTTAAACACACACCATAAATTTAAAACAATTACCAAAATGGCCGAACATTAGCATAAGATGATCTGAGTTTAAAACCCTGGAGACAGAGGTAGCAGCCGTTCCTTCAGGACTTTCATTTTTAATAACTGAAAATTTATCATAGATAAAGTCAATATTTAGTTCTTTCTTCATGATGGATGTTTGCTTCAGCGAAAACCATAATCTGTAAAGCGTAAGCCGGCTGATGAAGCCTGCTGTTGGGCTTTGGGTTCCTGCTGAATGAACAAGTCGGGGCCATGTGGGCAATAAGTAAAGCTACAGAATCTGTCTGCTGGCTGTGGTATTCTCACCGTTCTGCTAGAGTCACAGCACCGTGCCTTAGAGGCCTGCACACGAAAGCTGACCTGCTAATTAGCTTCTCAGCACATTGGAGTTTAACTCTTACTTCAACCTCAATTTTACCATGAGAGCATGACGGAGACAACCCCCCCTCCATGTTTCTAAAAATATATTCATGCAGACAGGCACAAAGTCATAGAAGTCTATCCTCTTGTTAACAACGGGCTGTGATATTAACAGTCACTCCTCAAATATGTCGATAGATTAAACTCCTAGTTTCATTACGTTTATGTTGCATCAGACTTTGGTCACAGGAACAGTGAGAGCCTTTAAAACAGAGCAGTGACTTCAAACTCCACGGAGATCATGTTGAAGAGTTGTTATTGGAAACGGGCCGCATGAATTCAAACGCTGCATTGATTTTGATTGGTCATGAACAAATGTTTGCAGGCGATCTTTGTTCCAAAGAGACTGCTCATGCAGACTCGCTGCCTGTTTCTTGGAGACGGGACTGACTGTCTCCTTTGTTTGGCTGTTGCTCATTTCTGCCTCTTTTCTCCCTCAGACTATTTATCAGTCTGCGTTTGTTGTTGTTTTCTTTTTGTAATTGAGGCTTAAGAAAATGTCTTTACGTCTCTCTTTTATGTGTCCTTTTGCTTTTTTTTCCAGCCCCGTCAAAGACATTCCCAACACCACAAATATTTATGTGATCAGAAACAGAAGCAGCGTGTGATGAATTCGAAGCTTTAGTTTGTTAATCTGCTGATTTGTACTGTCTGTGTTTGTTTATCTGAAGGACGTAAAGCATTTTAGGCGAGCAGACAGAACATGATTGTGTTGAAATGATTTAGTCGTTGTCCAGACTTAAACCTGCCAGCAGATCTGTGCTGCAAAGCAGATATTGTGGCTTTGAGAGGAAACTTCTGAGGTTTTTATGTCACAATAGATGGATTATTTCTCTCCTCTCGTTGCATTTCATTGCCGGGGGAAATTTTTCCCCAGCAAGAGCCCTGTGGAGGTTAAAAGGTCATCATATATACAGGCACAGCTTCCACAAATCAGCATCCATGGAAAATAAAAACAACGACCCTGTGTTTATAGTGAGATCTTTTCTCGTGTGTTAAAGACAGTAAATGCTTAGTTTTTCTTTTTTTCCCAGTGAGAGTCTTTATGAGAGCTTCTGTTTAGATTTACCACAGATATTCACGTGTTTTGATTTAAATATGCAACTCAGATAGTTCAGATGTTATGAAGTAGGGTACTGCAGAAAATGTGTGGACAGTTACCATCTTACCTGTTTTCGAGAGCTCTTAGAACAACCTCTGTCAGGAGAAATCGAGATTCATGTGCCAACAACTAGTCCAACTGAGACCAAGAGAGGATTTCTGCAGCCTTAAAAGGACTCCAGTCCAGGGGCCGGCAACCTTTTCCCATCAAAGAGCCATAATTACCTCTTTCCCACAGTAAAGAAAACACTGGGAGCCACAGCAGCGGCAGCGTCGTGGGTTCTGGTGTTAAACAAGTTTAACTGTTTCTCTTTGCAACAATCTTCACAGGAAGACAAAACGGTTAAATAGCAGGGTTCGCGTTGACCGGATATTTCCCGTATTTGACTGTTTATTTTGATGGAGAAACCTCAAGGCTGCAGATGCGTTGGCATTTTAATCCATGCGCATATCGCAAAGGTAGCTAAATCAATCGAGAAAGGATTCCTATCAGAGCATCTGAGCTGGACCCTGTGCTCGGTGCAGCTCACTGTCAGCACGCACGTAAGGTGGACAGCGAGCTGAAGATGTGGAGATGGGCTTGGATCGCGTTGCAGGACCAAGAGGACATGCGGGAAGATTCCTCTCACTGAAGCGAGTGTTTTCCAAACCCCGTCTCTCAGAGAGACTTGTCATTAGAAAATGTTCCCTGATTATGAAACTTTGGCTGAATAGCGCTTGTTCCTGCCTCCAATGTGGCGACGCACCTATGAGGCTGTTTGAGGAAAAGTCCACAATCTCATATCCCCTTCAGCTCAGAAAGCGCCTATAGAGACATTTGATTACGCACAAGCAGGTGACCTGTCATTTCAGACCTTTATCGTTTTTGTTTAGATTTCAAAAGATGACAATCTTTACATTTAGAATTGACATACAGAGGGAAAATGAGTGCAGTAATATAAAATATATTTTAATTAAATATTCATTCATTATTTTACAAGCACAGAGAACTGCATCGGATGGATGAAAGAGCCTCATGCGTATCGGTCCGATAAATAAAACTGGGACGATATTAACAGCCGATATTTTTTCCATCTTGTTTCTGTTTATCAGTTTTAGAGGGTGAGGGGGGATGTGTGTGTGGTCATTTGACAGTGAATGTAATCATCTCAGAAGCGTAAATGCGCGTGTTGTGTGTACATAATAATGTAAATTCAACTTTAATAGTTTTCATTCTATACAAAATCTGCTGATTTTAGAAGCATTAATGTCAGTATATCGGTATTGGCTAATATCGGTTATTGGCCATAACAGTGATATTCATATTGGTATCAGCCCAAAAATTTCATATCAGTGTGTCACTAATTTGATCCATAGATAACAAAAACACAACTATTCTGGAGGGGGACCATATTCTGATGTTTTTTTTGTGTTTTTGTCACCAGGAAGTGAAGGTGATGGTGGTTCCTTGCCACAGCGTCCAGCCCATAGAGGAGGCTCTGGAAGACTGCACTCGGAACGTGATTCCTGTCATACTCTACGCCATCAACCAGGACTCTCTGAGCGCTGATCAGGTGGCTGAGCTGTGGAAGGTTAAAGAGATGCTCTCCTTCCCCATCTGTTTCCTTCGTGTCCCCGACGCCTCCCTCGCTGCCTCTCCAGAACCTGGCCGCCGGGCTGAGAAGGAGAGGGAGAAAAGCGCCTTACACAAGCACCTAGTCTCGCTTGGCTTCATAAATACCCTGACAGGAAATTGTTCCTGTGGGGCCCCAACGCAGATCACCGCCCCAGGGGCCAAGCCCCAGAGCATGCTGGGTGAATCTTTTGAAAGACTGAATCGGTTGCTGGTCCCGTTCGCTCGCCAGGTCCTCCAAAACCAACAAGTGGAGGCTGCCAACTTGCTTAATGGGGTTCACTGTCGGTGTCTAGATCTTTTCATCAATCAGGTCAGAAGATGGCGTAGGTTTGGTTTTACTACGTCAGTGATGGCGTGTGAAACATGCTCACGGACATTCTGGTCTCAGTGGGTTCTGACCTTCTGTGTTTCAGACTGAGTACTAACAGACCTTGGTCGTCTCTGCTTCGACTCCCTGCAGGCCTTTGACATGCAGCGGGACTTACAGATAACCCCCCGCAGACTGGAGTACACCCGTGAGAAAGAGGGGGAACTCTTCAACTCCTTGATGGCAATCGCTAACCGAAAGCAGGAAGAGATGAAGGAGATGATTGTGGAGACACTCAGCAGCATGAAAGAGCAGCTACTGGAGGATGCAGCCAACTTAGAGTTTACAGGTTAGTGGGGAAACACCTGGGACAAAATCCAAAAGGCTAACCCCCCCAGTTTCTAAGACTGACTTCCTGTTTTAAGTCCTATAGTATAAAACTGCTAAAAGGTTTGTGATTATAGAGGTGGTTGGTCTTCCTGCAGGGAGTCAGCTGTTTTCTCTATATCTGTGATGTGTCAAACAAACCATGCATGTGTGTGAACCCACGTGTGACAAATCACTGGAAAAACAATTCAGTGATGGAAAACAGTATACACCAACATGGATGTCATCAGAGGTCAAGATCCAGACCTGCTGAGTCACACACTTACACGTGCGAGTGCGCGCGCACACACACACACACACTAGTGTTGTCCAAAAAATCGATACCTAGATATAAATCGATGCTAAAAGTGGTATCTAAATTAGATATTCCATCCCTGTGGTATCGATATTATGGACTATGATACACAGCCTTCTTCAAGTACACCGACACGCGTGACAGCCAGATGCCGTAAAGCAGCCTCCGCCTCCCAGACAAACAGAAGAAGAAGACGCCGCATGGCTACATTGCAATTTCCCACACGAGTTGTCTCCGATCCAAGCTTTGTCTGCCAAATAAATAAACAAAAACATAAACAGCGAATTTGGGAGGTGCTTCACAGCCCAACTTAATTAGCATACCAAGTCCGACACTTAGTTGTATATTAACGCTTATGTGCTTAAAGGAAACTCCCGTTTATTGCAACCCGGACTTAATTTCTAGCATGCAGTACGTTTGTTTACTCACGTTGACAACTTTGGTGCTACTTGGATTCCCCGGGGTATTTAGATCCATCGGCGAATCGCCGTCAGCGTATATCCATATAACAGGTGCGGACGGGCACCCATGGTGCAGCCTCGAAATAAGACATTATCTGCACCAGAACATCTCAATGCCGAAAGGTCTTGTTAGGAATCATTAACGTGATTCCCCTGTTCGTTTGGAGCGGGTCTGGTCTGGGATTTCTAGGCGTAAACAGACTAGCTGCGGCTAATCTAACCGGCGCTTTTAATGACGTCACTGCCGTGCGCCAGTCTATTTTTATTAAGATTACCGGTAGATGTACCTTTGTCCTACTGTGGAGAAATTCGTTTTCTCCCTTTATTGACCAACAGAGTTGTTCAGAAGTACAGAACAAAACATATGGCATTACAGCTTATGACAAAAATGCACCTTAAACAGAGTTTAAGCAGCGAAACATCACTCTGCAAATAGTGTATATATAGTGAGACAATTCATGATTTAAAGTGTTAACTTTCGCCAGTTTTTGTATGCACGTTTTAAAAAATGCTGATACTTGAAAGGTTTAAGCACTTTACACACTTAATTCTTAACATTTAATTTTTGCAATATAAATTGAGGAATGTTATTTTTTGAATAAACTTGTTCAATAAATTGGTGTTTTTAATAGTATCGAAATAGAGTATCGAGTCCCCCCCCCCCAGTATCGAATCGAGTTTGAAATTTTAGTATCGTGACAACCCTAACACACACACACACACACACACACACACACACACACACACACACACACACACACACACACACACACACACACACACACACACACAAGGTCCACACGCAAGTAGGGTTGTCACGGTATGAAAATTTAACCTCACGGTTATTGTGACCAAAATTATCACGGTTTTCGGTATTATCACGGTATTTTTTAAACGGTGTTGCATATGTTCAGAAAGCATTGATAGTCCTGTTCTACACAAACTGAAATAGTTTTGAAAAGGTTTAACAGTGTTTATTAAACCTAAAATAACACAAAGCCTTAGCAAAAGTGCAACTTTTCACAAGTAAAGGAACAAATAGCTTCTTTTTCTGGAACATGTTACAGTAGTCAGTGCAGGTTTAAATTATACAAATCCAAACATTCAAAACATAAACAATATGTAAACAAATCAAAGAAACACCACTTGTTTTCTCATATACTTGTTTTCTTCATTATCAAAATGAAAATCTAAAACTCCAGTCCACACTTGACTTGAGCACTGTACAAGTCAACCTTAAAAATATGTATTTAAAATAAATATCCACTTTAAACAAATTACTAAATTAACTACTACACTATGTAATCAAATCCAAATGTTCAAGTATAAATGGCATTGAATAAGTAAACAAATCAATGACAAGGAACTAATTGTATATTTCTCTTCATCATCAACAAATAAGATGCTTCATCCAGCAACAGGGTGTCCGTGACACGGTTTAAATGCTGGCAGAGGACGCTGCGGCTGCAGTATATAGTGACTCGTTGCATTCTCCCTCAACCAAAAGTCCGCACGTCATGCATTTAAGCTAAAATGCTAATGTTAACTTACCTTGCACTGGCTGTAGAGACGTGGGTGATGGTCACGCAGATGTGCCATTAGATTCGAAGTGTTGCTGCCGTTTGCAGACACTTGTTTCCTGCACGTTCTGCAAACGGGATAGCAGTCTTCTATTAACTGTCCCTCAGCATTTTTCAGAAATCCAAAATATGCCCATACTTCCGATTTAGTCTTCTTTGAGGGCTAATGGATGTCCTGGGCGCTGCCGTCGCCTCCTTCGGCCGTTATTTCAGCTTCAAAGTTTTGGTGCCGTTGCAAACTAAAAAGTGCGTGTGCGCGCCGCGGGAACTTCAGCTGAAGCGACGGTGGCTGGTAAGGGTCACCGCGCCGAAACCGCGGCCACGGTAAACCCACCGAGATAATTTAGTTTATTAAAAACTGGACGGTTATTTTTATTGTCAACTTTTTTACCGGGGTTTACCGCTATACCGGTTACCGTGACAACCCTACACGCAAGGTCCAGAACGCAGCGGTGCATCTGTTCTTCAAACAGCCTAAAAGAGCCCATGTCACCCCTCTGTTCATTGAGCTCAATTGGCTACCGCTAGCTGCACGGATCATTGCTAACACTAGCATACAAAGTCCTGGATGGTACAGCTCCCATCTACCTGAATCCTCTTGCAAAGGCTTGCGACTCCACTGAGTGACTTCTTGTCTTCTGCGTATGCGGGCCATGAAGCGTTCACACTGGAGAGAGTTTTATGTCGCATTTCAGTCATAATGTGAACAGCCGCACACAAAAAATCAGATTTACTCAAAAAATCTGAATTTAGCATCAAGGCCTGCCGTGTGAACGTAACCTAAATTGTCCAAAGTTGATGCCAAAGTCGTTTAAAACCAGTGCTGTTCCTGTGCCACCGTCATCTTCTCATCCCAACTCTGGTGCTAAGCCCACCCTATGTCAGTACAAACAGAGCGCTGTGATTGGCCTGACCTAAAACTGTCCAGGCCAATGGTAGAGCTGCTGAGGCTGTAATGGAGCGTGGCAAGACCGACCTGCAGAGCAAAATCTTTGCTACTACTGCAGTTAGTCTAGATTTTTAGGTTACTTGTTTTTTTCTTCTAATGACAAATTAGTTTGCATCTTTCTGCTATCCTACTAAAAGCACACATGTTCAGTTAAAAATAAGTTAATGGAAACCCATCTTTAAAAACAAAGTCCAACAGATGTTCTCCTTATCACAGAACATCAGGATTAAATCTTTTTGGTTTACTTCTGCTAACAAAAGTCTTGATACAGTAGATTTTTATTCCTTCAGGGAAATAAAGTTGCTTTAAATGATCAGTAATTATAATCTGTCAGTGTGGGACATGAGAGCATCTTCTGAAATCTGGTGTTTTTGAAGTGAGATGAATGTAAAGGTAAAAGAAGTGCTGGGCTGTCAGCTCATCACAACCTTTAGTTTTCACGGTTATCTGCTAGTTGTGGTTGTGAATGTTTCAGTTTGTTCTGCAGTTGGAGCAGAAGTTCGCTGCAGAAGAGCTAACTGTTGAAATAATTGCTTCATGTTTGTGTTTCATGTAGTTCCCCTCTAAAGAAAGTAAAACAAACCCACTCTAGGTGTTTTCCTGTATGCATTCATGCTTTACTTAAAACTCTTAATTTATAGTGGTAATGAACAAACCATTTACACATATTAAGGGTTCATGCAGAGTGAAATGTCAGTAAATTAAATTCACAACCAAGATTTCTTCAAAAGCAAAAATGGAAAAAATAAAATGGCAGAGTCATTTTTTTAATTCACGAATAAAAAAAACTGGTCTGAATTAGATCAACAGAATCCCTTGATTAAATGTTTATGGAGATTTATTTAGTAAATGTATCTCCTGATATGACTTAACTCATGCACTAGGCTAGCCCGGCCTGCCAGACTCGTCCTCTGTTTAGTTCTACATATGGGCCATTCCCATCTGTACCGGGTCGGCCCGGGCCGGGTAGCGTAGGTTGTTTACATATCTGGGTGGCCTGGTATTTTTCCGGGCCAATCAAGGCTCATCCTCAGCACTCTTCTCGAGGGGGTCTGCTTCAGGCCGACCAGGGCCAACACACCCACTGCTGACAGCAAATTCACACCTTCCATTAGAGCAAGCCTCTGATTGGTGGGTAGAATCAGCCCACATGGGCTTAAGGCAAGGATGTGTGGAATCAACCGGGCCAGGCTGGGGCCGACTGGGGTTACCCGGCCCGGGCCGACCCGGTACAGATGGGAATGGCCCAATAGAGAACATGCCCTATAGCAGGCGTGGGGAACCCTGGTCCTCAAGGGCCGGTATCCTGCATGTCTTTGCTCCAACACTTCAGATTCAGTGGTTCATTCACCTGTTCTGCAGCTCATCAGGCTCTGCAGAAGCCTGTTAATCACCTGCTGATTTAAATCAGGTGTGTTGAAGCAGGGTTGAAACTAAAATATGCTGGACAGCGGCCCTTGATGGACCAGGGTTACCCACCTCTGCCCTATAGGTTAACAATTGTACGTTTTTTTGGATAAAAGTGTCTACCAAATAAATAAACAAACAGAAATAAAACACACAAGATCTGATTCTCTCAAAACTACACATAAATGGCCTCTGTAAACCTCACAACTGCTCACTTGAACTTTATTTGATTGATTAAATCCTTAATAACTTCTACACAAAAGGTCACAACTCTACTAAACTTGCTTTATTTATATAGAAGGGAGTTTTCCTCTCCACTGTCGCTAAGTGCTTGCTTAGTATGAGGATTGCTGTTAAGACACTGACACTAGTCATTGACTTGATGCAATTTGCTGGGTTCCTTATATAGGAAACTTTTTACTGATTGGCTTAATGAACTGAACTGTATTGGAATGTTTATTATGTGAAGTGCCTTGAGAGGACTCTTGTCGTGATTTGGCACTGTATAAATAAAAAAAAATAAAATAGAATTATTTCTATATACACAATCACTTAACAAATTCATGGTGATTGTGGTTTAGCCCCGCCCCCTTCACACACTAAACTGCACATAAATGATTTATGTCAACCCAGGAACAGCTGAGAGGGATTTAATTTGTCCTCTAGACACATTAGAACTTTAACAACTCCTTTAAAGAAGGTTACAACTAAACCAAACTTGCTCTGTCATCACACAACAGCAGCAAACACAATCACATAATCAGTTACTAAAGCGACAATAGCTGCGCTTTCTCAGATATTGCAAGCTCTGTAAAACACATGCATTCACTGATTTGCACCAAACTGCACATAAATGATCTTTGTCTACCTTAGAACAGCTGATGTTGATGTATTTGATTTTTGTAATGGTGCCCCGTAGATTTTTCCAACCAGCTCTATTTCCATAATGTGACATCAGATCCACACCAAAACACATTGGTGTGGTGACTGTACATCGTTACCCCACCCCCACCCCTAAAACAGAAAAAACTGTAAGCATCAATAGCGTCTGTTTAAAAGCTTTACTACTGAACACAATTTTAAACGCATGTAGTTGCAGCGTAGCAAAGCACTATTGACTGATTTATAGAAGCTCACTCGTTACACAACCTCCTGGTGACATGCACAATTTATTAGCTAGCTTATAGAGCTCCGGACGTCACGTGACTCTCAGAGAGTAGACGCCATGTTGGCAGGCAATAAAGGTAAACAAAATGAACGGGATCGGCTTGGATTTTACTTTGTCGGCGTTTACTTCACACTTTAAAACCAAAGAAATTGTTTTATATAGTCAGAAATTAAATAGACTAAACATCTCCGACCCTTACCATGCCCCCGGGATCGTCATCGTCGTCTTCCTCCGCTTATCCGGGTCGCGGGGGCATTATCCCAACTAGGGAGCTCCAGACCGTCCTCTCCCCGGCCACCTCCACCAGCTCCTCCGGCAGGACCCCAAGGCGTTCCTGGACCAGATTGGAGATGGAACCTCTCCAACGTGTCCTGGGTCGACCCGGGGGCCTCCTGCAGGACATGCCCGAAACACCTCCCCAGGGAGTCGTCCAGGAGGCATCCTGACCAGATGCCCAAACCACCTCAACTGACTCCTTTCGATCAGGAGGAGCAGCGGTTCTACTCCGAGTCCCTCCCGAATGTCCGAGCTCCTCACCCTATCTCTAAGGCTGAGCCCGGCCACCCTATGGAGGAAACTCATTTCGGCCGCTTGTATCCGCGATCTCGTTCTTTCGGTCATTACCCAAAGCTCATGACCATAGGTGAGGATTGGGACGTAGATCGACCGGTAAATCGAGTGCCTGGCTTTCTGGCTCAGCTCCCTCTTCACCACGACAGATCGGCTCAGCGTCTGCATCACTGCAGACGCCGAACCAATCCGCCTGTCGATCTCCTGATCCCTCCTACCCTCACTCGTGAACAAGACCCCGAGATACTTAAACTCCTCCACTTGAGGTAGGACCTCTCCCCCGGCCCGGAGTTGGCAAGCCACCTTTTTCCGCCCCTGGGATACTTTTTAAAAATGCCAGAAGCTGTCGGAGCGGACTTCTTACCGGAAGTTGGCCGGGGAACGCCTTGGGATTCCCCCAGAGGATGCTTGCCCAAGCGGCTGGGGAGAGGGAAGTCTGGGCCTCTCGACGCTACTGTCCCCGCAACCCGACTCCGGATAAGCGGATGAAAATGGATGGATGGATAGACAAATAACAGATTTACACGTAAGTAGTTTAAATAGAGTGCTGTGCTGTTTGAATGTATAAACTGAACGCCAAGAGAAATCACTAGTTTGATTTTTTTTTCCGTGAATAAAATAAATATGTCAGGCAGGAGCGTCTCAGGATCTGTCTGAGATCTGTCTCAGTGAGACGGATAATAGCAATCCAAAGTGCTTTTTATGTGTGATCTGACAATTGATCAACCATTGCTTAAAAATTAAATACAGCTTAGCCGGTTAATTGCTGTGATCATAAAACACGTAAACGGCAGCACGCAGAACTCACGAGGCAACGTTTTACGTGATGTTTACTTGTTGCTATGAGTAATAAGACAGAAAAAGCCACGCCAAAATAAGTTTAGGAAGCCCACTCAGAATCGTAATAAAAGCATTTAAAATAAATACCATACACAGTTGAGGAAACGTTGGTTTAAGTACCTGATATGAAGCGGTCGCTGCATAAGCGAAATCCTTTACTCTCGGGATCCCACAGCTTCATTTTAGCCCGGTCACTAGCGCGTTTTACTACAATGATCCAACGTTTGCGGCACTTCGGATCTTGGGGAATCCTGTAGATGGCTCATTCCTTATGTCATCCGTGTCTGTTCTGCATCCTGGGGCACAACAGGAATCTACCATATTTCCCATTTGATTGAGTTTTCTGACAATAACAAATAGTCCAGCTGCGGGCTTTTGCCTGCCAATATGGCGCCGTTTCGATTTGAACTGTTGCATGCCGGGAGACGTGACGTCAACTCCCGGAGCTCTATAGGACATGTTGAAGAGGGTTTGAGGTGCTGATGATGCGGCTGTACACATTGGCTTATAACACATGGCCACTATCTTGTGCAAATGGGCCCCTTTCAAATTTTCTTCATGAATTTTCTAGTTAATGTTGTACTTTGTTTGCAGTAATATAAACACCAGAATGTTTATGTTTAAAGTTACGACAGAAAACCAACAGAAACAAATTTGGATTTTTACCCAACATCTATAAATCCTTAATATTCAGACCTGAACAGAAGCAGTCAGACAACCAGGAGGGCTGTGGTTTGATCTCTAGTCCAGGTAGCTAAATGTCATGGAGCCCTCCAACCTAAGGTGTGTGTGCATGATGTAGACGAGAAACTCTTCACTGGCAGAAAAACCTGTAGGATCTTGTGCTTTGAGTCTTTTGCAGGACGAACAAATGCAACTAAACATTTTCTCGTTACTGAACACGACTATGTGATGTTATTCTACGGTTTGGGTGATTTAATTCACACTTTTGTTTATTTTGAAAATCTGTGAAAATATCTTCAGTCTTACAGTCTCCACCAAAAGGCTCCTGACATTGATGATGTTTCGGTAACTGGTCACACACGCCACACATTATCTAACAGACTTCTCCTTTCTCTACAGACATCATTGTAACTACCAACGGAGAGCCTGTTACGTCAAAGGAAATAAAATCTTGCATCCACCTGATCCAGGAGCTGATAGTGGTGCGTTTGAATCAGGCCGTGGCTAACAAGCTGATCAGCTCCGTGGACTACCTGAGGGAGAGCTTTGTGGGGACTCTGGAGCGTTGTCTCAGCAGTCTGGAGAAGTCCAACATGGATTCTTCTGTTCACAACATCACTTCTAATCATCTAAAACAGGTGGGCAGGGCGGTGGGAAAAGAGGAGCTTATTTAGTCAGGCGTTCAGGTGAGGATGTTCCTAAACGATGAAGTTCTGTCATGTTTTACTTTGTTGGGGTTTTCACAGAGTTTAACAGATTTTTGACGTTTGGAGCAAACGTCTTTGTCTTTTCTGGCTGCAGAAATTAAAACGGTGAAAATCGTTCTTTCCCAGTAGGTGACCTCAGGACTGCCGGTCAACATTTGTAAATACGTTTGGACCCCACTTATCTTTTCCTGTTTGTCACAGTTATTAAATGCTGCCTATCATGTGGAGGTCACCTTCCATTCTGGATCTTCAGTCACAAGACTCGTCTGGGAGCAAATCAAACAGGTCAGCTTTCAGAAATGAAGCCGCGAGAGCCTGCCGCGATGAATGAATCGTGACTTGATTCTGTTTTTAACCTTTTCTCCCCCAGATAATCCACCGGATAACGCTTGTGAACCCGCCCGCCATCACTCCTGAGTGGAAGAGAAAAGTTGCACAGGACGCCATAGAAAGTCTCAGCGCTGCCAAACTGGCCCGAAGTATCTGCTCCCAGTTCAGAACCCGACTGAATAGCTCTCACGAGGCCTTCGCAGCTTCTTTACGCCAGGTTCAGTTCTTCACTCTTATTCTGAGTCCATGCTGTCATCATCCTCCTCCCTTCAGTCAGTCACTTAAACCAAAGTTAGGATCATTGCTTTACTTTATTATTTCAAAAACACAACAAGCATTTTAATATATTATTTGGTCATTTTGTCTTAAAAGACCATCACAGAAACAAAACGGGTTGTTTCCAGTGTCTTTAACAACATTTTTTTTACAATTCTAAACCTTTCTTGTTTGGACCGACAATCTCATTGGTCCTTCCTGCATTTGACAAAAATAGAAGTTGGCAGGAGTTTTTGGAGCAGCTTGGTGGGCCAATCACGGCACTTTTATCGGTTTGGTCGGCGGGATGTTACTGCGAACGAGCGAAACGACAAAAATGACGACGGCTTGTTTGAAACAGCTTTGGCATCAATTTTGAACTATTTGGACTTGTTTTTTTTTTTTAATACAAGAGCAAACAGAGGTACTTAAGTCCTTTATATAGAAAAGGATGTAATTGCATCTTCTTTGACAGTGCATGGTGTACTGCCCCGTTGACTGACATCCATAGCATTTCAGGGGCGTCACATTGTTCCTGGTCCAATAGCACGTGGAGACCATTTGAAAGACGAGGGTAGATTTCGCCCCACTACCAAGTTCTGTCTAAAGTCAGACATGACACCACGAGCCATTCAAGAAAGCAAATTTTCTTATCACTGTCTTCTTATTGGTCTGTGGGAGAAAACTATAAGGCTTTCACAGTTGGGTCAGCATGGCCCAGCCCTGGTAGATGAAATGTGTTCGCATCTGAGTAATCTGTGCTCAGCTTCCTGCGAAGCTTAAACAACACCCCCACTGCCCGTTGATTGGCCGGATGAAGTTCACTCCTACTTGTAGTGGGAGCCTCTGATTGACTGGTAGAATCAGCCAGCAACGGCTTCCTGAATGTTCATTTTCAGTCTGGATTCAGTGGGGTAAACATCTTCCTATTGGTGGCAGCGCAAGTACAAGGCTGTGAGGAACACGCAGCAGTCTCAGTGTGAGAGAGTAGGAAGCAGGGTGCTTCATATCAGAGTCTCCAAAAGCAACATAGCCTGGTGCTGCACAACCAGTAGGCTTTGGTCACTGGACCTCAGGGACCTGCTGGGGGTGTAGGGACTGAGAAGATCACTGATGTAAGATGGTGCTTGTCCATGTAAGGCCCTATAGACCAGAACCAGGATCTTGAAATGAATCCTGAAGTTGACTGACTGCCAGTGAAGCTGGAGGAGAAGCGGGGTGATGTGGATGTGTTTGGAGAACTTGGTCAGAAGCCGAGCACAGGCATTCTGAACCACCTGTAGACGGTTCAGGGAGGTTCTGCTCAGACCCGTGAAAAGAGAGTTACAGTAGTCTAAGTGTGAGGAGATGAAGGTGTGGATAACTGTCTCAAGTTCAGAGCGGGACAGAATGGGACTCAGCTTAGCAATGTTCCTGAGATGGAAGAAGGAAGAGTGAACAAGAGAACTGACATGAGAATCCATGTCTGTGAGCACGCCCTAGTGTCCGTTGTTATGTAATTGTCAAAGCGAAAGTGAGACTCTCCTCGCTGTGCGTTCGTCTGTTAAACACCTTAGTCTAACAGCAGAAATGTCTCCTTCATTAGTGTCTACAGTAGTGATTCATCACTAAATCAAACAAATCAGCTGTGTTCACAATCTAAAACATGCAGGAAACGTGCTGGAAGCAGACTGTAGCTCCGCCATGTCAGCTCCACTCCACAGCTCCCTCCACCAGCAGGTAGCGGCCCGGCAACTCTGAAGTTGCAATTGAGGTATTCTGGCCACAGAGGATGATGGGTCTGAGTAACATTTCATTAACCCTGTAAAGAGTCACCTAAGCACATAATGGCTAAAGAAAATTCTTTGGAAAATATGAAAAAGTTGTAAAGTATCCCTTTAAGGAAAACACCACTGACTTCTTCGCACATCTTTTGCTCCGCCCACGTGCTCGGAGACATCTGCATTCTGGAGAAGGCTGTGTGAACACAACTTGTCCTTGTGGGGGCAGACTGACGCTACCAAGACCGGACCAGGCCAGACCAGGTGTGAAAACGCCTCTAGAGTACGCACAGAAATCCCAAACATGCGTGAGAATATGCTAACATGCTAACTCCATGCAGAAAAGTTACAGGTGGGATTGTAACCAGCGACCTTCTGCAGCTCTTGAATCTACATACACAAACGTAACTTTTCAATCTGAGTTTGTTCTCTACAGGTGATCAGATTGAAGTTATTTTTGTGATTACCGTGCTAGTTGGGCTTTTGTTTAGCGGCACAAACCAACCTGCCAGTAGGGACACGTTCCATTATTCCTGCGGTTGAAAACATCAAACACAATCTTTCCGTTGAGCTTTGTTTGGTTTCAGCAACAACTGAGGTTTTGGGAGGGGTTAAACTGATCTGTGAAAACAAACCTCTGCCTTCTAGTTCTTTGTGTTTTTATGTAAACCTGTTTCTCACTCAGCATTTGACTGGTTACAAAAATCAGGAGATGCACCCGAAAGTGTCGGATCTGATGTTTATGCAGAGCTGCAGCTGTAGCCTACATGTTTATGTAATCAAACTACCAGAGAGGAAAACTGCTAGCTGCACTGTTTTCACTTTCCCTTTGCTCAGCTACCAGCACCCACTGTTTCCTGTTTGTCAACATTGATGGTTTGAATGGTTTCTGCCCTTTATTGCCTTTGTGGCTTCTTGTGACATAGATTAGAGCTCAATGAAGGAGCTATTTTCTCCTTAGATTACTTTTGAAGCTTGGATTTCCATCAACACTGGAGCCTCCAGGGCTTTTTATAAACTGGTTCCAGTTAGATGGTTTTAATTTTGATCACATGACATATCTGTGCCTACATCTTCATTCTCCTTTTATTCATGATCTGATCACACAGATGCAGTAATCAGCTGTGACAGTCTTGTAGAGGAAGTACACGTGATTGGTGGACATAATTATACTGAGTTATTAGTTGGGCATGCTTGGGATGGAGAAACAGCATCAGAAGGCTTTTACAGTCCAGTTCGAACCAGCAGAAAATCAAGCAGAGCTTGTATAAATCACTGATAAAAACTGTTGTAAAGGGTTAGGGTTATGTTTGCAGTTTATATCACAAACTCAACATTGTGAAATAGAAAAACATTCAAATCTGGGTCAAATATCCACAAACTGAATCTGCTTTAGGTGAGAGATAACGCAAGGAAATCACTTCAGAGCAACTTCTTTTTGCATGCAAATGGCAATAATTTGACAGTTTTATTTATTTATTTTATTTATTTATTTTTTTTTTTGAAAAACAAAATTACATTTTAACATTTGTTTCAAATCAGAGGAGAAAATCTAAAGGATTATCAGCCAGGAGCAACATGTCTTCATTTAGAGCCGTGAAGCTGCAGTGTGTTGTCGATCATATGGCCGCATTCCTGCTAAAATAGGCACGAGTTCATCTGTTGTGTCACACGTGAAAAACGGCCATCGTGAAAAGCTGAGAAGAGTGTTAATAAATGTGTTTATTGGTTATAACATAAAAAAACATTCTCAATAAATCTCTTATTAGTCAAAAATTAATAAATACCCTCAGGAAAATGTGTTTTATAAATAATAATGACATTTTAACAATAACATTTTAAATAAATATAATAATAGTTATTTGACCATAAGCTCTGTTGGAAGCCACACATTACTTATGTTCGGAGGAAATTGGCACGGGTCGTTGTTGCCATCCTGGGGAAAGCAAAGAAGATGTTGGATCAGAAAGCCCTGCACATATTATACTGTGCTTTACTACTGCCATATATGAGTTACTGTGTAGAGGTCTGGGGAAACACATACAAAAGCAACATACAGATGATAACTATAATACAGAAAAAGGCCATTAGAATAAATAATAATGTGGGTTACAGGGACCTTACAAATGCACTCTTTGTTGAAATCCAAGCTATTAAATTCCAGGACTTGGTGAAGCTCCAAACAGCGCAAATAATGTATAAAGTTCAATTCAATAATTTATTTCACTCAAAGTTTAAATATACAAACTTCAAATCAGAATATAAGCATTCGAGTGAAATAGGGGGAGGAAGAAGAAAAAATCTTATATGACAAGATCTTAACTAAGACAAGATAAATAACAAAGAGTACAAAATAGCCTTATACACAAAAAATAAACCGCTCTCTTACTTCCACAAATAATATCACTACTAAAACATTAATCCTCCATCCTCAACTCACCAAATCATACGATTTTAGCATTTTAATTTATCTTTATACATTTTTTAAATTGATCAGTAGTTGTACATTTTTTAATTCATCATCCAGGTTATTCCATAATTTCACACCATATATTGAAATACACATTTGCTTTAATGTAGTACGAAAAAATATCCTTTTAAACTCTGGTTTCTTTCTACTCTTATCATTTTTTGGGATCAAAACAAAGAACCTTTGTAGATTAGTTGGCAGTAAATTATTTCTAGCCTTAAACATAATTAGTAACATTTTCAAGTTAACTAAGTCTTTGAATTTCATAATTTTAGATAGAACAAAATATTTGTTAGTATGTTCTCTCGAATTTGCTTTATATAGAATTAGCAAAACTTTCTTCTGTAACAGAAACAAAGGATTAGTGTTTGTTTTATACGTATTGCCCCAAACCTCAATACAATAAGTTAAGTATGGTAAGATAAATGAATAATATAATGTCTGAAGCGTTGAAATTTCTAGAAAACCTTTGACTTTGTTTAAAATTCCAATACTTTTGGATATTTTTTGTTTTATATATTTTATATGGGATTTCCATGTAAGTTTATGGTCCAAGAGAACCCCTAAGAATCTGACTTCATTTACTCTATCAATTAAAAAACCATCAATAGACAACGTAACTAAATCATTAGTTTTTCTGTTACCAAAAACCATGAATTTTGTTTTATTCCAATTGAGAAATAATTTATTGTCATTAAACCACTTCTTAAGTTTAGACATTTCACAAACCAT